TCCGAAAATGAACTATAAAAAAAGACCAAACTGTTTACGATTTATACAATACTTTTTCATACAATCTCTGTGATTGCAGTTAAATGAAACTCTTTCCGATCTGTTTGCGTGTTCGTTCAATTCGCACATTTGGTTGGCCCTCTGTGGCCCATTTCAATTGTGTTTACTGCACAATAAGCCGAGAGCAATTATATAAAGCACACACAACACATTGTCCCAAATCGGAGGACCCCATGCCAGGCGCAGCCACCAGGTCCGAAAACCCAAACCGACCAGTTCCAGCGCATTTACACTTTGTGCAGCCTGGCAAATTTATGCACTGCTGCGATATTTGGCCGGCGGCATTTTGATTATTGAACCGAACCCGAACCGCAGACCTGATTCCACTGCAAGCTGGGGAAAACTTCTGTGCGGATTGTGGCTGCAACCACCAGAGTTTGCAACTAATTGAATTATTAGCGGCCTTAGCCGGAGTTGGGATATTGGGCTGCCCGAATGTCTGGATGTCTGGATCCCTGGCTCGTTCTCTGAAATTATTGTTGTTCGGTGGTTGACAAGGATCAGTGCCGACGCCTTATTTGTGTTCTTGCTCATTGCACCGGACCCCGACTCCGATTCTGAATCCGATTCCCATTCCGATCCCCTGCCCTCCCGTTGACCTGTCTCTGCCAAAAAACCAGGGCCCTTGGGCAGTGGGTGGCCCAGCATTGGGCAACCTCTAACAAGCGGGTGTTGTGATTCGGATTCAGATTGGGTTTCTGGGTCCTGCTTTTCCACTGGGAGTGACTCTGGAACGCCCTGCCCCGCGGCACTCTGCCCACTCTGCGACATGTGCTCACGTATTGTTCTTGTAAATCATTGATTAATTCTTACGTTTGCATATGATTAGGAAAAGTTGTCGGGGGATAGCTGGAAAAGATTCAGTATTTGCATTTTGACTTTTGTGGCTGCGGTGGTGGATGGGCGAACATGATCCGCTAGTTGAGGTCACAACTAGCAATTAGTTTTATGGTGGGTGAAGCGACCTCAGCTAAATTTGTGGGTAAGGAGGTGCGGCCTTTGATAGGTTAATAAGTTTACACAAAAAGGGAATAGAAATTATGGTATAATGGTACTCGGAACTAGTTATAATATATATTATTAATTTGACACCACACTGACATATGTAAAGTATATACTTTACAGGAATACAATTAGTACTTATAATCTAATGGTTTTAAGCTGCACTTCCAAAAATACCCGTTTGGGTGCTAACTAATTATACAAAAAATAATACCGATTGGATATAATTAAATAATAAATCAATTTTAAATATTATTATGTAATAAAGTTCTTTAAGTAAGGCAAACTCTTTAGTGAAATGGAGCAACCCTTCAGTTATTAACCACCAAAAAACGAGTTCGTGTTCGGATCAGAGTCACAATTTCCCGACATTCAGTTTTCCTTCTGGTTTCGCTCTCATCAGACGAATGTCAAGTGTGTCAGACTGCCAACAATGGTCAGATATGTCCATACATTTATGCTACATGTGATATATCCATCTGACACACTCACTTTTGGCAGACACTAAACTTTTCAATGAAAACTTGTTATCTGAGTAGGCAAAGTTTTGCCTACTTTGTGCAAACTTTCGACCACGACCACAATGCAGAATGCACAGAATATTCATAAACTTTGACACTTTGGCTTCTCCAGCCTCAAACTTGGGCATCGTCAAACACATCGAACAATGTAGGCAAGGTGCTAACATATATATTCCCTCGTAAAGCACGGAAAGGACCAAAACTGGAGCAGACTTCTTCATTCAGGCGAGGGAAAATGTCCTGCGCTTCCGCACAATTAGTTTGTTTCATGCCAGGCCGACTCAACCCATTCCCCCGCTTTTCCGATGGCAATTTGCAAGGTGCTAAGCGCAGCCTGGGAACAACAACAAATCACTTAGCCCTAATGGCTTATGCCTAAGACGGGGAAGGTGGTGCATTTAACCAAAAAACCTCAAGCAGTTAAGCGTCATAGAAGGAGCTGTCAAATGGTTGTCTTTTCTTGTCAGCCCCAACCAAACGAACAAGATGAAAAGTGTGTACTTGGAGAACGAAGCTTAGAATACCCTTATAGACCATGTAATCAAAATATCCTCAAAACATATACAAATTGGGAAACTGTGGTTGGTTAGAAAAAATAAAATACTTTTTTAAGTTTCTTTCTTTTTCGTAGGTTAGTAACTCAATTACCATTTCAATTTAACTGAGGTAATTGGTAGCTAATAAGCCTTTTTTTTATTTTCTTCAATGAGTTTCAAACCTCATCGAAAAAGTGGCATGTCGTCTGAAAAAGGGAAGCTCAGAAACTGGAGCGTTGCACGGTGCTGCCAAAGACTGAACTCGGCTGACAGCCCCAGTCCCTTCCCCAAAACCCTTTATATAATGAGCGACCCAATTAGACAAAGTGAGTGTCGGTGGGAGAGATGCATATGAACCATAAAACAATTGAACAATGTGCAGCAAGCAATTAACCAAGAAACCAGCCAAGCCAGCAAAGGCATCATAAAAGCCATAAAGGCCATAAAAAGATGATGGCAAGACGAGGCAAGGAAAAATGACTTCCTTATGCAAAGAATAAAGAGTGAAAAGCAAGAGCTTGACTCCGTAATTGATATAGTAAACGTTTATTAACCCAGAAAAAATGGGAAATTGATACGGCTTAAAAAATTAATTTAAATTAAAAACTTAAATTCAGGTGGATACCAAAGCTGTTGATATTTATGATCTTAATATTCAACGTGGATTTATAAGATTAAAAATGTTAAGATACATAAACTTACTATTTTCGCAACTAAAAATAATTTAGATAATTAATTAGAACTTCTAATTCAATTAAACTTCTAATTCAATTAAATCAAAAACAACGAACAAGTGGCGAATCTTTTCTTGCCATTAGGTATTACTTGTTAACACATTTTCTCGCTTTTACTTACCACTTCCAGATGCTGGCCATTTCCCATCCATTTAATGAAATCAAAATTAGATACCGCCTCGTCACCACAACATGTGCTTGCAATTTAGCCTTAGCCGATCAATTGCACATAGGTTGTCCGGTTGTCCGGTTGTCTGGCTGTCATTTGTTTATTAGATTTGTCAATGCAACAGTTTTTTCTGCTCTTTTTTCCGGGCAATCGGGGGAGGCAGTCCATTCGCATGGCCATAAAAATCATTGGAATTGCAAATGGACATGGACATGAAGAGCGAAAAAATGGCTAAAACTTTTGGGGACGACAAATGCGCCCTCAAACTTGTTGGCGGTGTCACATGCAGGCGATGCGTATAAATTAGAGACCATCGAGAGGCCATTGTGCGGCATCTTAAATGTCAAAAGTGACACCCTCGCCCCAGCTTTTTGGCCTTTGTCCGGCGCACCTGAAGGCTGAGGCACTCGGGACGTTTGACTCAAACTGCTGGCGAAAACAATAAATTTCCCCTTTGCAGCCAAAGGGCCAGCAAAAAGGAGGACTCGGACATGGCACTACTCATTGTAAGGACACCGGGGGGCGGTGACCGGCGGGGTGGGACAAGAGAAATGATGACCACTGGACGCACGGGTGACCACGGGCCATTCCATTGCATAAAAAACAGCGTTACGGCCAAGGAACAAGTTGCTGGCTAATAAAAAGAGGAAGGGCAGGAAACCCGGGGACAAACCTGTTTCAAATGCATCGCAGGGGATACTGAAAATGTGGCTGGAGGGAGGTCACCATTATGCCCAGGTTGAGGGTGTTTAAGCGGAAAAGGTAAGTGCCATTGATGTGGTTGCTTTTGCCTCTATTGCCACTACTGATGCCAGGGCTTTTAGTCAATATCTCAGGCATTTCGCAATTTTTCTTCATTTTTTAGCACCCTCACAGTGCTGCGGACATATGTGTAAGTTACCCGGAAGTTAAGCTGTTGTTTATGTGTCATAATAAATCATGTTCAATGCACACGAAACAATTTCACCTAAGTGGGTAATGGAAAAGACTCATGTAGCCTTCTTCCTGAAATGGCAGATTCGAATACTTTTTATGAAGCTGCTGTTTCTTAGAAGTGGGGAATGGAAACATATGAAAGAGTTTACCTAAGCAATTCTAAAGATTAGGAAGAAACTAAGTATATGTGAATTCTTAAATATCAAAACTATTTTGAAATATGTTCAGTCAATAAACTTTTATATTAACCGATTTTTTTGTATTTCAGGGAAAGGATATACTAAATCGAATATTCAGTATTGACCCGTCTACAGTAAATTAAAGAGGAAATATGAAAAATTTAGGCCAAAATAATACTCTTAACAGGGATTGTAGCACAATTTCACCAAGCTTTTATTTGGAAAAGGTACTCCATATATCCACCACCATAAGAGCTCCCCACAACTTCCAGAAATTGGTTAATGTATTCACATAAACGCACCCGCAAATCCCAGTTGACTTTTTTTAAACGCTTCTAAATGCAAATAAAAGAAGTCACTTAAAAAATTATTCAGCGACAGGGGACAACCTCCGGAATGAAAAATAAATGTGTTAATGTTCGCCCCGAAACGCTTTTCGAATTCATGTCAGTTTCGGTTTCATGAGGTAACGAAATTCACAAATTGGCGGTGGGTGATTGTGCGGAGGGGCACGCGTGTCACTTACAGTGATTCACTGGGATTGGGATTCCCGAGGGAAATGTTGAGGAAGGAAAGACAACCTATCCACCACAAATGGCGGCTACGTGGTCTGGTTCCAAGCTGGGTCGAAAGAATTGGGCAAAACAACAAGACTGTACGATACAAAAATATTTCTTCATATATGTACTGATGTAAATACTGCATTAAAGGTAAATGTTTTTCAAGAAACTCATTTAAGCGTGGCCAGCTGTTACCTTGAAGTTTGTTTAGCCGGTTCCAAGTTCAGGGCTTAATAAACATTTTAAGCAATAAATATTTGAATCGAATCATGCAACTCCAACAGTTCACTTTCGAACGTGAAAATGTCAACGCGTCGTCATTTCGGGATCGTATTGCTACTATGTAGTATGAGTTTGAGCTCTAACTACAGGCTTTTAGAAAGCCAACATGACCATAATTCATGTCCAGCGCGGAATAAGGATACTATTTTCGAGGAGCCACATTTGAGTGATCAGCATAGGAACTTTTATAACGTCCACGAAATACCAAGAAGACCACTCCCCAACCCAATTAAAAATGAAATTAAATCTGAAAACTGGCTATTGCGGATTATCAATATAAAAAATGTTGAGCAAAAGCCAAGTCAGGAACCAGAAAATCAACGAATGGAAGGATTTTTCAAGCGGTTTCTTAATATCCTAAGCTCATATAATCATAAAAGTGAACCGAAACTCCTTTTCATATTAAAAAAAAACCGTAATCCAACAGAAACGCACGTAGTGAAAAATGAACCTGAGCAATATAATATTATGTGAAATTAAAGCCAAATTAATTAGTTATTTTTTACTTTGCATTTGCATTTACACATATGTTTCCTTTACCCTTATCAAACAATTTTACATAGTTATTAAGATCTATTACCCCTAATTAGGAAAACTTTGTTAGAACAGATGTTCCCAGAAACATGGCAATAAATTAAATCATTTTCCACCGTACCGCAAGGGATTTAAAGCTTCGAGACACATTGAAGAGATTTTTAGCCATAAATAATTTGCTCATATGAAAAACCTCCTTTATGCCACTTGATTGCGGTTTAGAAGAACCCCCCTTCCCATCCACACTCCCACCATAAAAATTATATTATATGCATGACCCCAAATTAATCTAGCGAAACCTTTTCCATTTTGCTACAAACTTCAACCCCTGTTCAAAAGGACATCAAAGCCAGTGAAGTATGACAAACGAAGTTATTTGAATATGGCCGTAAATGTCATAGAAGAACAAATTAAATTTGGCTTATGGACCTGGCTAGCCAGCAGCTCCAAAAATAAAAGGCATTCAAATATTATGGTTTTCAGCTTTTATGTCGACATCAGCAAGGTTTTACTGTTGCTTAAAAAAAGTGTACAAGATATTTAAAATGTATAATATGCATTATAACATTTTCCTAAATAAAATATATATTTTTATGTTTTTCTTTTATAAAAAATTTAAGTTTATAAAAATTCTGTTTCAGCAATACGACTAGAAATTTAGAGGTATTCAAAGTTAATCAAAATACATTTAGAACGTTGTTCAGCTTTTAAAACTTTTCCTGACAATTCATTCAAATTTAGCTGCGAAAGTTTTGCATTCAGAAAACTTAAACGCGTCGAATTTTGCAACATGCCAAGTTCTTTGCAATATGTTGTCGCCAGGAGTGAAATCAAATTATGCAAAAATAACAAAGAAGAAAAAATGGGAAACAAAAGTAAGAAATAGAAACAGAATTTCATTAGCAATGCGAAATTTTGGCTCAGGCGGTGTCCGATTCAGATGCAGACACTTTCCCACTGCCAAAAATAAACTCATTCGCATGCAGTTGCCGTCCCGCAAAGTGGATATTGATATTTTGTCCTTAAATTTTGTTATTTATGTGGTGAATAGGGTGTGTGGGTGGAAAATGTTGTGAAAAGCGTAGCCCCCTCGGCAAACTAAAATAAACGAAACAGAAGTTTAGAATTTGCAGCAGACAAAGTAGCAAAATTTCCGTCAAGTTGTGCAAATTTAACGCGACATTGTCTGGGACGCAGGACTCTCAGTTTGGACCCTCCCCTTATTTTTTACCCTACTGGGGTGTGTGTCCTTTGCCCATTGACATTCAAGTCATGTGTCAGAGCAGAGGCCGATGCTTAACTCTGACAGACCAAACCCCGAAAAGTTTGCTCATAAATTGTTGCAAAAAAACCAAAATGTTTCAACACATTGAGAGGAAAACCTTGTTTGACACAGCCACTTGAAATTTTTCAATTGCCAGCAAATTTATTTTAAGAGAGCGTGAAATTTATGATTGACAAATTGAATTTGAAAATTGAGCAATATTTTTAAATAATTTTACTTGGGCAAGGAATAAAGAATAATATTTATTTTGGTAATCTTTAAGAACCATTTTTTACCCTCCCAAAAAATGTAGCTATTAAAATGATAAATGATCCTTCAATCGTTCTGCCTCATCATATCACAGGAAAGTAGTCAATTCGTCATGGCTTTGAAATGTTTGACCAGCAAACTAGCCTGCAGGAAATTCGGTTCAGCAGTCATTTAAGCTTTTTCTGTATTGTTTCTGAGTGAGGAAAATCACTAAACACTCCATAAACAAAACCATTAAACGTGGCCCCATTAGTGGAGGGAATTTCCCAAGTCAAAATCAAAAAGAAAGCACACACAAAATACGCAGTACACTGTTTTTTATCATCTTTATGGTTGCCTTGAGTATGTGGGCGTAATGGTATAAATCTTCATGTTTATAAATCAGAACTCGATTTTCGTGCCCTTGGGACCTTCGAGGAAGTGGTGGGGCTGCCCTATCGAACAGTAATGGTATATTTAAGAAAATTAATATAACTATGTGTTTGAAATTCTTTTTAAGAATCAAATACCATGAATTGAAGAAATTAAAAAATGATATGTACAATATTATTCAATATACGTTTTTAAAGCTTGCTTTAAACAAGTGTTGACCTTGAACTGCAAGCCATATTTTTCCCATTTCCCTCTTAAAATGTCCCACAAAGAAAATCAAATGTCCATTGTTAGAGATTTTTTTAATATGTAAATAATTTGCTGGCCAAATAGCAACCAACTGTGACCCGGCAGATGACAATGACACTGCCAACGCCCTCGAACGGAACCAAGAAGGAATGCGAGTCGCCGGGATCTGCAAAAAGTCAAGTCGAGAACAATGCGAATGCCTACTTGCACTTGTAAGAAAGTTCCGCCTCGTTTTATGAATATCTCAGTCGTCCCCTTTTCGGCCACATTTGTGTGTGACACACAGTTGACAGCTGCGGTCGCCGTTATCCTGGCCATGGGGTCCTGTTCCTGGTCCGGATGCCACGGAGTGGTGGCTCTTGCTCCGGCTCAAACTTTGACTCCGGTGATGCGTGGCCATTGTGCGCATTTGACGTTTGGTTTATTAATCAGTTTGGCCTGCGGCCATGGACCGACCAACGTCACAATTTTCCACAAATGAATAATTTTCGTACAACAGAAAATGTAAGGCAGAAGCCAAAAAGGCAGACCCACAGAAAATGTGTCACACAAGGGACTTACTTTTATACACACTCAGTTAGCTGGGTACTAAAGGTTTTAGATGAATTTTGTAAGCCAATATACACGAGGAATATCATTTTAATAATGGGGCTATGAGTTAGCACACACATATTGCATTTATAGAAGTTCAGACCCAAATTGTATCACTTATTCCCATATTTTACTTATTTTAAAAAAATAATTTAGAAAAAAGAAGTAAAATTTGTTGTCTGTCTAATCTTAGCTTAACTTATATAATAATATTAATAGTAATTTTATATATTATTATATTGAAAAAATGTTCAAATAAAAAAGGGTGTTTAAAAGTTTGGTACTCCGTACTTCGATTCATATTTTTTGTGCGAAGCGGGTTTCGCATTTTAATTTCAACAGGGAGAAGCGAAAGTCAAACAAATGTCAGTCGCGTGTTAATCAAGTGTAAATAAATGGCGCAAAGATTAGAGAGCACCGCCAAGGCAGCAACTGGCACCACAACAACAATGAAACACTGTGAAAAGCCCACAAAACAAATAAAAAATAAAAAGGAGGAATTCCCGAAAAATGGGGGGTGTGATGCAGACAAATAAAAAAACAGAAAAAAGTGGCAAAAACATTTAATGGTTTTTTAAATGTTTTTTAAATGTGCGTGAAAAATCTGTCACTCGATGCAAAAGAACTTGAAAACGCTTAAAGTTTTCTTTGCGACCCCCGCCACTGTATCATGCAAATTAGCCGCCAAAGTTGTTATCATCGAAGCCCGAACCCAAATCCCGAAGCCATTGGCCAGGACCCAAGCAACGCCTACGCCAAAGTAAGTCCTTGGACCCCGGACCCAGACAAATCCTGCCCTCCGTGTCCGCCTTTGAAAATTGGGTTGGGGTGTACTGAAGTGGTGTTGATGATACTATTATCTTAAATCGCGAAGGGAAAGGAGCTGAGACCCATGCGAAGCTGTCAGCGGACGCGGCCACTTCAATTGTCCTTTTTCGGCAAGGCATTTACAATTCATAGATAGAGACGAAAAAATCGTTTTATTGGCTTTAAGGTCCTTTTTGTCGCCTCAGCGACATGAATAAAGGAGCAGCAACAAGGACATAAACCGCAAATAACTTGAACACTCTGCGGCCAGAGGGTTCCCTTTGTTATTGCATTTCCCTGTGATTTGTGTTTTCTCGGGGCGGCGGAAGAGTTTGAATTTTACAATTTTTTCGCCACCTCCAATGCACAGTGAAGCAAAACGTAGAGAAAAGGTTAAAGTATATTTGATTCGCTGTTATTAATATTATTCTTTATTTTTTAGCAATAAATACATTTTAAAGAGGTCTAGTTAAAAAGCATTAATTAAATTTAACCCCAAACCAATTTAAATGATTAGGCTCGTACATATACAGAAAAAAATAGAAGAATAAAAAACAATAAGTCATATTAAAAAAATAGGCGATTGAAAAAAAAATCAATTTTTTAAGTAACATACATACATACATATAGTGAAAATATCCTTTTACGTGTAGTCTGGATTTATTTAATAGAATCATAAAAATGTAATATCCCAAAATAAAAGTTAATTCAAATTAAGACACCAAACAAATTAAAAAAAAAATCTTAAAACAACAGGAAAAATTGTAAACCAATTGGAATTCTTCAAGGCAGAAAAACATTATACCACGGCTTTTTTGAGATTGTCTAGCTAAAGGGGTGCAAATGCTGCAATTTGTAACATTATTTGTTTTTCTTTTTGGGCCTCCCCCACCAATGCCCCACCGCTAAAAGGACATTGCTTGAAGACACAATGCTATCTAATCTTATTTGGTATTATTTCTGCGTTAAACCTGCATTTCAGCACTTTCCCATTTTACAATAGCCAGACAATTGTTGTCCTTAACAAGGAGACGAAACTTTAAACTTCCGCAGCGTAAGCTGTACGGGACCCTTTGCCTTGAAGGGCACTTTTAATGATATTTACAGGAAGTGGCAGAATCGCATCAATCATTTGTCAGCCATAAAAATTCGTCACACACGAGAATTAAATTATACAACGAAAAAAGCCAGAATATCTCGGCTGAAAAAAAAAACGGAAAAAATTCTTAATGGTTGCGTGCAATGAAATGACCTTGTAAGTTATGAGACCTGTGGGGGGCCGGACTTAACAGTTGGTCTGACAAAAATCCTGGGAGAAGTGAACCCAAGGCTTAACGATGGACGGTCATTCCTGCGAGGCATCGAATGGATTGGGATCCTGGCATGTGTGTGTCCTCGTCCTGAATGCTTTAACCCACACCCACCAGCTCACCCGCCTGTTGTGCCCACTCACATGTGAACATTTATTGGAAAACATTATTATTTATGGCTTTTTGAATGACATCGCTTGAACTTTTCAAGCAATAAAGTAACGAACAATAATATTTCCTTATAGCGGAAATAGCAAACGCAATTTTTTTCTAAAATATCTCAAAAAAAGAACAATTTTGAGTTTTGATTTATGAAGATATTCATTAGTTTGGTTGATCGGAATTGAGTAAAATATTTAACTTGATTTACAACCAGGGGGAATAATATTAATAACAGTGTGCTTGTCTTTATTTTGTGAAAATATGATGAATGCTTTGATAAGCAGTTAAAAAATACATTCAATATTATTTTAAAACAAGTCCATTTTCTTAAAAATGTGAATTTTGTATTTCTTGGACAATCAACATTTTTATTTGTGACTTCAGCTTTAGCTATAAATTAATTTAAATAAAACTATAATTAAAATAGATAGAAATATAAGAGAAAGGTACGTAAAAATATTGTAACATATAAACGCATATAAAACAAAGGGAAAGTCGAGCAAAAAAAGAAATGCTAAATAAATGTCGATGCAATCTAAAATGAAAATCTTAAGCAACTTAATTCCAAGCAATTGATGTGCAAGAATCCCGATAGTTAAAGGGTTTGGGATTACGGAGTTCAAGTCCTTGGCAATCTTGGCATGTAAGGGATGCGTTGCCGTTTAAGATTTGATCAAATAACCACATGCAAAAAGGATTATTTTAAGTAATTGCTAGACATTGTTTAGTGGGATGTTAAGGACACGGGGAGGACCTTACGGCATGGGGTGGTTTGTGAGGAAATTGGGTTCGACTTTAAAGTAAAATATCAGCAAAGCTGAGGCATTTGTTTTTATTTACTTAACCAATGCACGATTACATAGGCAGCCTCGGCTTATTTACTGCCCTCCGTATGTATTATCTGCGTGTATATCTCCGAGTTATATATGTTAGATACGGGCTCCAGGCGCATGACCCATTCCTGAACTCGTGCAAAGCTTTTTGCTGGCGACGGCGCCACGAGCCTCGTCCTTCTCGCTCTAAGCCACATGATGCCATCCTTGTCGGCTGTGTGTGTAGGGTGCCGTGGAGTCAAAGTGTAGATAGCAAGCTGCCATAGGACGACGACGACAACGATGTTGAATACATATAAAAATGTCTAAGGTGGAGCAGAAGCCATGACTGCGGCCATGACAGCGATAATGTATACGGGAGTGGGGCGGGATCCGCATCCGCATCCCGGGGGCGAGGTGGAGGGTCCCGGCGAAGTTGTAGGGTTGCCAGGACTCATCCACATCCCACCCACATGGCCTCCCCCTTCCCACCCACTGGCCTCCCACTTTCCAACGTTCTCGGGCCTTCTCGCTATTTGAGTTTGGGTCCTGGTTTACTTTGTGGGTATTAAGTTCGTTTTGAGGCTAAAGACAAACGTCTCCGTCTCTTTCCTCGTAACTTTCTCCATCTCTTTCACTTATAGCCGGGTTGCACTTTTTGTGCGCCTGCCAAACGAAACCCGTACGGCTGAAGGTGAGGCAAAGTCTTTAAAGTTGCACAAAGGGGATTATGATTGTTCCCACATAATTAATCAGCTGGCATTCTGCCATTACCACATTAACTTTTAGCTTTAAAATAAGATTTTATATAACTCTCATCTCACAAGAAGTGGCAACTCAAAAGTTAAATATTTTAATGGGCTATACTATATACTTTACTATAACAAAATACATACAAATTATATATTTGGTTTTAAAAATAGGAATCTGTTTCAATATACCTTTTATGTAAGTATTTAAAATGCGACTAAGTATAGTATTTATTTTTTTTTTTATTGAGAATATTGTGTTAAAATTTTAGATTGATCCGAGTAAAACTTCTGAACTTATGGGCAGTTGAACGTAGGTAAGTAAGCGCGTTTTATATTCAATTTTTGGGTGTCCCAAACTTTAAAACGCTCTCCTGAAAAGTTGCTATTTTAAAGTCGGTGTACACGATCCTCCAAAATCTATCAAACGGATCGTTTTGAGATTTTGCACAGTATTTCTCTACTGAATTCCTCAGGTAACACTGTCAAGCTTTTTTTTTAATTTATTATTTTTAGAGCAACAAATATCTCGACGGTTTGGGCGAAAATCGAGGTTTTTAACTTTCAAGTGCCTTAAAAAATCGAAAAAAAAAATAATGACAGCGTTACCTGAGGAATCTTGCCCTTTAACTAATGCAATTTGATTTTTTCATTTCATATGATTCTGTAACCAGTTATCGTGTACACCGCAAAACGTGTTTTCTTCGAGGAGCCGCCGGAGATTGCCTGTATCTCTCTCAATTTTTAATAATTTTGGATGAAAAAATTCACACATGTTGTTTAAATGTTGCCCTATCACATCCAAAATTGAGCTGAGACCAATAAAAATTCTTAATAAATGACCGATTTTGCACCGAATTAACTATACTCCCCCTTAAAAACATTGACTTTTTAGTATCAAAATAAAGTCTTTTAAAGCATTTTGAACAAAAATAATAATATTATTGAGCTCATTGCATTTCTTAATGTTTATCGACATGGAGACAAGGAAAAAGCCAGACCGGTCACTTTTTATGACACATTTAGTTAAGCGATATGGACCAGGGAAAAGCAGGGGTAACCAAAGCTCATGGAAAGTGGTCTTCAGAGACAACCCCAAGGAATTTGATGCAGCTTCCAAGTTGACAGCCCTTCCTTATCCGCCCTTCGTTGAGGGATTTGTTTTGGTCTCGGACGCCGTTTTTTTACCGAGCTGATGGGCCGAGCGGGAGACTTTTGTTTTATCGGAGGCAATACATCAGCCATCAATATGATTAACTCACACGGAATGTGCCAAAGTGCCGAAAATCAAATTAAATTGCCCTGATGTAAGTGTTAGTGACACATTCAGACAGTGTCCATCGCTTGATTTATGCATTGCAAATCGATAGTTTGCGTTTGTCCTTAGAGAAAAGGGATCAGTGTCAAATGCGTGCAGGCGGTAAAAATATAATTTATATTCACATCTCCAAGATATATTCTATACATGGGAAGTACAAAAATTCTTAAGAAAGTAGATGTAGAGCTGTCATTTCTTATTCGTGCGCTGCTCATACTTTTCCTCAATAAACTTGAATATGGAATCTATGGCCGAGTAAGAGGTCCACTCATGTTTGGTGTGGCCAGCAGAGACCCTTCGAATGCTGTTCTTTGACTGCGAGATGGGTGTGTCTAAAGGTGTATTGCTGGCGACCCAATCGCAGGTCACATTACACAGGTAGTCCCTGTACTTCGACTGGGGACTACCCATAACCGAATCGGTGAAGGCAATCGCAAAAACAGATTCTTTGAAAAAATCCAAAAAATGTTCCACCTACATAGAGATGAAAAATGTTAATACGATATTTAAATTTATTTTTGACATTATTCCTCACTAGATCTAATGTTAGACATCCACCATAGCTGTGGGCCACAATGGCCACACTCTCCGGTTTCGAAGGCAACACGATATTTTTCCACACATACTTGGTATGCTTTAGAGGAGTTTCAACGCCCTCGATAATATTTTCCTTTCCATTGTAGAATCGGCTACAATCATTGGTATTGGTGATAAGCAAATCGTATCCCAGCTTCTGGGCTTGTCGCACATAAGGCAGCTGAGAGCCGTGGTCCAGCGAGTTGTTAATGATTAAACTATAAATGCAAAATTATAAATAAATAAATATGAGCTTTTATAAATTGGAATAAATGTAAAAAAAAAGTACAGCAATTTAAAAATCGCAAACTGTTCCCAAATGACCTATTTACTTATTGTGACTTTAATTGACTTCAAGAACCACCCAAAACAAATCTGATAAGCTATTCATTTATAAGTTTAGCAAGTGTCGTTATCAATTTCCTCACGAACTCTTAAGAATAATGTCTAAAACTGAAACCGATGGTTAATAAAAAAAAAACCATAATTTACAATTTTAATAATTTGAAGAAATTTACTTAACTATTTCCCATTTGATCAGATATTTTGTTTTGATTCGCGTGAAGGCGCCAAATACATAATGTGGTAGCATACAAACCTTCTGGCCCATTGTCCGGCCTTAACAAGTCCACTGCCATGAATGAGGACAAGCAACTTCTTGGACTGCGACAGCTTTGCTGGTTGGGAATATATAAAGGACGATCGCTGTGGATCCTTGTGAAGTGGAATATAGGTGCGACTGAGACCGTTTTTCTCCAGCAGAGCGTAGACAATTTCCGGGATTTGCTAAGAACAATAAAAATATTACACAATAAAAATAAATAATAAATCTACCATGTTGTAGGACTCGCTTATTGGATCACATTTAAAGGTGGACCAACAAATTTATAAATAATGTCTAATAAATAGCGGAATACCTTAAATGTTTGTAACAATAATGATGGTGAATATTCAATTATACCTCACAAATAAAAAATACAATTTTCGGAATTTACAGAATTATGATTGAACATTTTTTAATTTCTCTAACGTAGATCTTTTAGGCAAAAAAAAAAAAACACCTGCTGGATATCATAACTAGTCAGGGATTTATCCTTTTGTCACACTTTATAATAAAAATTAAAATGTTTATTTCTTAATTTTAAAAATGTGTTATATATGTACATATTCGCATAATCTGTAAATGTTGTCATCTTAAATGTATGGACCAAATTTGAATAACATTTGTAAACAACTTTTTGAGATAGAGCCGGTTTCAAAAAAGTCGTGTCAAGAAACGCGTGTTTAATAAACGTCAGGCTAAATGATCTGAAGGAAGCATCTTCCAGTTTAACCCTAATAAAACACGGTACATACGTTGGCCAGGTTCTGGTAGTGCTTCTCGTTTTCGTTGCCGTCGTCGCTGACGTTATAGGAAAATTGTTCCGTGCCCGGCTCTCCAGTGGCGGGATCGATTTTGCGCAGGATTCCGGCTGCAGGAGAAGATGCGAATTTATGATCATCCTGATGGAAATCTCTACTATATCTGGGATCTCACTTACCTTCGTCAAAGGCGTACCCAAAGTTCTTCAGCTGGATCAGAGCCTGCTCACAATTGGTGACTGGTGAGTCTGGCATTTTTAAGTTCCTGCGAGGGCGAAATAATTTGTAAATCCTTGACCACATTTCAATAGGGCGGTGGTCTACACGAACGGTCACTTACTGAATAACAATGCGGATGCAGAAAGGTTTATTTTATACACAATTGTTGCTCGCGTTTTGTTTTGATTTCTTGATAAAAGCTAAACTAGGGATGGAATACCGGCGCCATCTACAGGCCAAAAAGCTCACATTGATAACATGGCGATATTTATCGGCACGAGTTAAAGGCGACTCACACCCAGATGCATCAGCGACAAAACATCGTCGAATGAACTCCTCCCGTTTTACTATAATAGCCGGTTTCCACTGTCCGATATTTCCATATTCTAACAAATAATCATATTTAAAACGAGAACTCAAGCTAACTTCGGCAACCTTAAACTTCATTCCACCGAGAAATTTCCAAATATAATTCCCAATAATAATTTAACAATAAACGATTCAATATATTTGATGCAATCATTTCTGTGGCGTACAATGAACCATAAAAAAAATAAAAAGGATTTCTTTTATTAAAAATTTAACAAAGTTTAATCTATAGTTTTCTTTTAGTATGCACAGGTATTTAAAGGATCTTACTTTTAGGTAAAATACATACGGATCTAAGCAATTTAGATCCTATAAAAATAACAATACGTCAAGCTGTTTTATTTTAGGAGACTCTATTTTATTTACAATTTCAAAGAGCGTTGTTTTTCCAGTCTCTCCATACAGTTCGATTAACCTTAATGATATGCACTTTCATTTGATCCATAGTTTTCTTTATCCAAGTCGAGTATACGCTAACACGGGTGAAAGCATAGGGCTTCAATGGTGTGCACGCTTTTCTTCCGTATGAAAGTAAACCATAGAGGTTCTTTTTACATCACTCACCAACGGGGCTCCTGAGTCTCCCTAAAGAACCAATTTTTATTGGAGGTCAAAAATGGCAACATTACTAGATGATAATCAATCTGATCTTATTTATTATCCACCAAAGAATGTGGTACCATCTCAAGAAATATTTTCTTTACTACGTTAAGTATCGCTCAATATTACAGAAATCCCGTCCTAAAGAAACTTTATTGTTAAAATTTAAATAATTTTTAAGCTTGAAACCAAACACCTCAGCGATCCAAGTTCTACAAAGATTTCAGTGTACAACCCTAATTCGAACCCTAAAAAATTAAATTAAATTCAATTCAAAACAGAATTAAACATTTTTTGTAAGGTAATCGAGCTGTTTTAGGCTATCTACAATTCGGTTAGATTTAAAAACCGTTGAGTTTCTTTGGAAGTGATTTCTAAAATATCCCCGAAAGTCTTTAAATATGTCAGATTGATCTACGAATATTTTTTCTGTGTATATCTGAATAAGCTCCACTTACGTCGCAGGGGCCTTTAGGTCCTCTCAGGTGTATTGCACAAATGTCCGTTCTAGTGAGAAACACGAATCGATGCTTCTTCATACACATATCATTTTCGATCGTCTTGAAAGGCAACTCCTGAATCTTAACTTTCTTGCTGGTCTTTACTCGTCCCCAGCCAACTAGAGTAGTCCTCACGCCACTATCCTTTTGCGGCTTGTCTTTGTAGCTAATACTCCGGAATCGGATGTCGTCCAGCTGGAATTTCGGGTAGACCCTCAACAGCCCAATGTCGTGACCACCGAGCATCTTAAACTTGGGATGCCACCTAACTTCGACTACGAAAAAGCGAATCTGCTTCCGGCTATTGAGCATATCGGCACCACCAGCAACATACATTCTTGTCGGGGGGTTCTTTTTCGTTTTGATGCAGTGGGCAGCACTGAGCACAAACTCTTCCGAAATTATCACACCCACACAGAGGTGCTTGTAGTATCCTTTAACGTTCTCACCAATAGAGACAACATAAGGATATCGGGAGCGGTAAACTATTGGCTTCTTCGTTATCGAAGATGTGCTTATCTGTGGGTTGATGGAAGCAGTCTCCTCTTCGTCTGACATAACGATAAACAGAGCCATCATGCACAGATAACTCCAACGACACATATCGGCCGACCACGTCCCGGTTTGAATAACATGGCTACATCTTGAGGTGCAACTTCCCCCAACGAACAGCAAAACTCTAACAAGCCATGAAATTAAAAAGGTTCTGCCAGTTTTAACATTGATGAAGTGAAAATAAGTAGTATTTTTCACTCAAAATTTAAACTCCATTATATTTTGGGACTTCACAGAGTAGAGTAATATTTTGTTTCAGAATTATCTTATTTACGAATAATTTTGCAATGGATATACTTTTGATTAAAGCGATAAGAAAACCATCATTTAAAAATTCTAATTATCATTTTAATTCCTTGAATTCCATAATTGTAATGGATTTGCTTTCATTACTTTTTAATATTTTGAATAAAAAGGTTATTGATTAGTGGCAGAGTCTTTAAGGCTCTGCTTTAGATTGGCCACCTGGTTAAGCTTGGCAAGGCGCTTCATCATCTCAAGCTCCTTAATAAACGTTGCTAGGGCCTCTTTGGTGGAGGAGATATCCCCATCTTTTAAATCCTCCAGGCTGTCTTCTTTTTCAAGTTCTAAAAGAAATTAAATTATAATATATTTTTATTTTCAATGTAAGCCTGTCAATACTGTAATAATCGTACTAACCATCCATTTCTGCCTCGATGTCGTTGAGCCGACTGGTGACCAACGCCTGCTGCACTTTTACATGCTCTATTAAGCGGTACTGACACTCCTCTGGATCGATGGCGGCCTCTGGTTGCGGAACGTTTGGAAGGTCAGGAGTCTCCATCTTTGGACGCTTCACCGGCGTCAAAGCAGAAGCATCCACGTTGTCCTCGTCCCACTTTTTAGCCCACAGATACAGCTTAGGATGACAGCGGTTGCGTGCGATGTTGATCTTTACCAACAGCGAGTGCATCGATCGTTTGGCGTCCAGTAAGTTTCCGGTTAGAGTGTGCGACCGCTTCAGTAACTCAAATTGTTTGCTGGCCTGTGGATTTGCGCTGTGGTACGCGGCCACCGGCAACTTGCCTTCAAACAGCCAATCCTGGTCATGCTTAAACCTCATGGAATCGCGGCCCCTTTGCGGGTTACGACAGATGTAGCACACATACTTGTCCGGCACATCCGACTCCTTTACAATCCCGTTGCATGCGCCATGCTGCCAGCACAGACACAACTCGCACTGGATCATCAGACCGTCCTCTTCGCCATACTCGCAGATGCAGTTGATGATCTCCTCCTGCCTCATGCGGACGATTCGAATTAGCTCCCCGTTTTCCTTGATGTACTGCGGAGCTTTATTGTGAATATCCGCTGGTGGAGGCGCCAGAGCGGCATTAATGTCCGCCTGGTCATTAGAGGACGGAGTGGATATCGAGTCAGCTGTGGCTGGTGAGTCAATCGAGCTGATTGGAGTGGCTGCCGTACCAACCCGGCGTTTCTTTGAGTCGCTGCGTACATCCGGAGTGGGCGTGTTAAAGGATTGGCGCGTCTCCTCTGCATCTTGTTCGTTCAAGGAATGACTAGCCGGGCTGTCAGTCAAATTGCCGCGACGTTGAGAGCGCTGGCGGTTGCTCTTTCTCGAACCAGAGGGGCGCTTCGTTGGCGATAAGCGTGCCCGCTTGCAGGAGCGGTTTAGTGAGGGATTCAACGAGAAGGTAGCTCCAGCCTCCAGAGAAACATCTTCCGGATTAACCCCACTTTCAACAGTTGGCGTCATCGTGCCTGGTGGCTCCATCTTTGGAGATAAAAGTCCTTTAGCAGGCGATATTCCAGGTGGGGTTCCTGGTGTTCCGGGGGATGTGACCGTAGTTGGGACCGATTGACGTTTAAATGACCGCGATTGCTGTAAATCCTGCTGGTGCAACTTGGCAAAGAATTGCTGGTTTGGTATTTGGTTCTTGGGTACCTGATCTACCTGTTCGATGGATGAGGGATGTGTACGCTTGACTGCCAGTTCCTGCATCTTGGGGCAGTGGCTCACGTATCTACGAAGTTAAAGTAAGTTAAAAATTTTCAATTAATTTGTATAAAAGGAACTTACTCGGCGAACTCTTTGTGGTAATGGCGTATATGGATAAGCAGAAAGTCCTCCTTCCGATATGTCTTGCCGCAGCCTTCCCGCGGACATACATACAGATTATCCTGAATTTGTACCTTTAGACCGCCAATAAAAGCTAAAGGACAGAAAAATAATTGGTATAATACAAATATTAAACAAAGTGCATACGTTCTTATATTTCTACTTACCAAAGCCATTTTCTACCAGAGGAGGATCTCCTTGCTGAACCTGAGCGTGACCCCCGTCAATGGCCACAACTACTGGTTCTGGGTTTGTCTTGGCCTTTGCCTCATCAGTAAGCTGAGCTTGCGGCGACATTAGTTCTGCGGGGGGCATTAGCGAGGCAACCGGGGCCTCCATGTACTGACTTTCTTTTACCGGCATCGGGGTAGATGGCAACGAAGGTTGCGTTGTGTTGCTTTGGTCCAGCGTGGAGTCCAACGACACATCCATGGACTTGGGCTTGGGCGGTGGCTGCGGATTGTAGTCGTGGGTGTAGACATAGGCGTTGATGTCCTTGGCCCGGCGACGGTGAATGCTAAAGTCATACACATCCGGATTGTAGACTAGGTCTTGCGACTCAAGGAACAATTTCAGGTCGGACTTGGAGCGGAAACGCTTGCCACTGGGCGAAACCAAAATGACATCCCACTTTCCGAGCACATTAGAGCGTTGATACATGTGCTTAATCCAGCCCGGCGGCAGGCGCCAGTCTTGCACGATAACAGTCGGCTTCTGGTGCTCGCCCACGATCAGGAAGCCCTCTGTCCCAATTGGCTGGTCGTTCACCCAGTGGCACGTCCACTCACCGTCGTGCGGAATCTCTGGGAGGCCTAGAGATGCTGTTGGATATAGAATGCAAGAAGTTAACCAATGTTTATAATTAAAAAACTTTTTTTTTATAGATTTTAAGAATAACGGAAGTTAATTTAGAAGCCAAAGATTTATAATACATTTTTAATTTACCCTATCCTTATCACAATCAAAATTAATTAAAATGTATATTTAATTACCTATTTTAAACTCTGATTCCATTTTTTACACATAAAACTAAAGTGCTAAATGCAAATTCTACTGAATATGTCAATAAAAACTATTTTTTATTTATTGACTTTTCAGTTTGGTATACTGCATTATTATTTAAATATACTTATCATTATTTTTTTAAGGTCAATTACTTGATTCAACTGCATTTTTTAAAAATTAATACTGGATTGCTTCAGACCAAAAAAAACTACTTTACAAGATCTAAACGCCAAGCTTATATCGCCCCTACTGCCTTTGCCCAACTTGCCTATATCCAGACTGGCCATGTCCAGCAGCGGCCAATCCCTGCGCTGTGGCGTGCTCTTGCTCTTCTTGCTGCTCGAGAATCCGCTGCCTCCACTCCCGCTGCCCGTGCTGGCCCTCTTGGGAGCCAGAGAAACGGCGCCAACTGGGGTTCCAACAGGAGTGGGCACCTTGGAAGCTCCACCATCCGGTGCTTGGACAGCTGGCAGCTGCTTGGGCAGCTTGTTCATGTGCACGGCGCGCACGTTCTTGATGTACCCGTCGTCAAAAAGTACCTCGTAGGTGTCGTTTCCCAGCAGTTTTCGGATGGTACCGGGGAACTTGCGCGGCCCCGACCAGCGGGCCATGCACTTCTCTTCCAGCTCGAAGACCGGCAGGACGCGGGTGCTGAGGCGCTGTCTTAGCCGCTCCGACTTGATGGCCATCCACTCCTGAAAGCTGCCGCTTGTCGAGGGCGACACCTTCAACTTGTGATTGCGCTCAAAACGCACGAGGAGAGTCTGCTCCGTCTCGTTGACTTCGACGATGCGGGCGGGCAACCAGTTGCCCTCTACGCTTAGGGCCTCCAGACGGGCTCCGATGGTCAGGTTGTGTGGATTGCTGTACTTGGCCGGTGAGCCGGGAAGCGGGGAGTTACAGTTGGAGGCAGTTTCGACAGCCGGCGCTGCAGAATCACTGATTGAGGGTCCAGGAGCAGCAGGTGATTCCTCCACAGCTGCCTTGGCTGCATCTTCGCTGGGTTCGGGAGTTGGTTTTGCAGAATCATCCTCCTTGTCTGTTTTGGTCTCCTCCGCGGCATCCGAGGCATTTCGTTCCGCCGTTTCCGCCAGGATTTGTGCCACTATTTGGTCAACGGTAGCCTTGATCACATCCTCGTTGGCTGATGATTGAGCAGTTCCCGGTGCTCCTGAGGTGCCCTCCACGCTGGCGTGCTGCAGTGCCCGGTGGTCCGCCTCGATCTCCGTGGAGTCCATCTTACCCCACGGGAACACGGTGGGAAAGACGCGCGGCTTGAGCAGGTACTTGCCATTGCGAATAGTGTTGAAGTCCAGGCGACGAAAGTGGCGCGAGCAGACGAGGACACTCTTGGTGATCTGGCGCTCCAGGCTTATGCGAGAGTTCTTTATCCAAATGGCCCGGATGATTGGATCCAGGGGAAAGGAGTGGTACGTCACGCCGTGGTGCTCCAGCAGACGCGACGTCGACGGACAGTTGGCCACGCAGCAGCGGCGACCCATTGCGTTATATTCTTCCGTTAGTCACAAAATACAACTTAGTTATATCGCCTATTAGGATTCTTCGTTATTTTCCTGTGACGAAATAAAAACCGACGCGATATTTGCCCAGCAAAAACACAGCACAATAAAAAAAGTGTGACCATTCGAGCAGCCAAGCAATGCTGCCCAATGGTGCTATCGATATTTTTATTTCGACTATCGCTTAAAGTGTTGATTATTCAGCTATATTGTAGCCAGATTAGTCAATTTGCACGGGAAATATATAGAAAATAAGTTCTAGCTTTTATTTAGTTAATTAGTAAGTACAAAAGCCTGTCTCCAGCTTGATGAGATTTAATATTCTGTTTCAATTAATAAGTTGAATCCTTTAAACAGCAGGACGAAAACTGAACGGAAAAATAGTTAAAAAATTTATTTAAGAAAGTTCAGTAATTATAAATATTTTATGTAGCTACAATTCGGATGGTCAAATATGCAATAGTTTTCAACAACATATGACAAGGTTTCAATTGTTATGGTTTCTTGAGCCTTTGAGAGAGTGTTAACACTAACAGCGAAGACCATGCTTAGGCCGTTAAGCTAAAAGTAATTTTTAAATTTGGAAATTTAAAACCTACTTTACTTTACTATGCTCACGTAAAAACAGCAATCTTCTTTTTATCCGCGATTAAAGGACAGTTTTTTAGAAGTCAGAACAAAAAGAGGACTAGGAGTCTCTTTATCTGATTTATTTAAAGCTACCATGTTTTGCGCTTTATAGCACGTTTTTGTGATTGGCAGCACTTTTTTATTCTTCCTAGTTCTAGTAATTTACAGGCGTCCAGAAATCAGATTTACATTTACAATTATTTTACTTTTGTTTTACTTTTAACCTGACATTAAAGAGATCTCCAGACTTCATCCTTTTGTTAACGTAATACTTTGAAAATATCCGGTGCATTATTTAAATTAATCGGTGTGTTAATGCATCTCAGGAAAGTGAGCGTCCCATAAATTTACCAGTTCGGCAAAATAAGGATCACGTGCCGGTAAGCCAGGTTCCCAAGGCCATCGAAAACCTATTTGAAATGCAATTAATGTACGCCTATGGGCTTACATGTCACCACGATCGCCAAAAGGCAGACACCTTGCAAAAAAAACCAATAACCGAAAGAAATACGAAATCGCCCATTCGAAAATACTTCTGGAACTGTGTTTCAACACTTGTTTCCAAAGTTTAAGGAGGAGCATTCAATGTGAGTTGCTGAAATATACGTTTGTGGTAGTTTGTAATTAAAAATTGTCTCCTAGTCATTAGCATGCAAGAAACAACATACCACAGTCAACATTTGTGGCGCCAGCGGCTTGGTCATCAGCCAAAAAAAAACCAACAAATCGGTCAAAGTTTGGAGAACCTTGGCCTTCAAAGTTAAAAATGGCTTCCCAATTTTTCAAATTTGTTAAGTCTAAAAAAAACATACTGTTTATATTCACTTTATATCATTTTATTTTAGCTTTTTGAATTTTAAACTCAATGAGGAAACAATGATTACAAATCACTCATAAAATAGCGGGTAACATTACTTCCTGTTGATTCTAAATTCTGTCCTATAAACAAGGTCTCTGGGTCAATATGTTCACCTAGATCTTGAAAGTGTTTGCGAAATTCACACGGAGCCAATATCAAATAGTGTTGACTTTGATCCAGCGGAATGCTAATATTTGAAATCAAATCACGGTTGGAGCATAAAGCAAACTTTAATTATAAAATGTTTTTATTGTCATATGCAGCTGACATAAATATTAAATAACTTGAATAATTGCGTTGCTAGGCCGAATAATTTAGTTTTTAATTTTGGGCAGCCCAAAACTGACATTGATAGGGGCCACTCGAGGGGAAATCCAAATAAGTAAACACAACTAAATATCCGTTTGCATAACTATTAGTGAACATATTTGCATAAATTATCGACACTTGAGGAAATTGGGACGACTGCACCTGAACTCACTCTCTTTTTGTGCAAATAATTAAACAATATGTAACTTGTGCAAAAATATTTCAAAAATGAAAAAACAGCTCCAGTACAAAACTCTTGGCCCAACTGACGGCGGCACTTTCTCCTTTAATATTTACCCAACTCATCGACAAATTGGCCAGGCCCATGCCCCAGCCTCATCTCGGTTCCAGTACCATCCGCGAACCCCTTCCCCGATCCCGTCTGGGAACTCATTGCGTAAATATGTGGGTATGCGATGCGGTAATTGCGAATAGGCCTCGCGACTCTTGACAGTTGAGCCAAGTTCCCGCTCCTTATCACATAAATATTACCAAAAACTGATCATTAAACGCTGATGATAATTTTCAGAGAGTGCCCACGGGAAATCATGTAACGCAGAAAGCTCATACAAATTAAATAAATTATGCTTGCCCAAAACATGGCCAAAATAAATACGTGTTGACCATGTAAATGGGTTGCCTAATTTTTTATAATTTTTATTGGTCTTTGTCACTAGCTATTGTAGACAGCGCACTTTAAATTTGAAATTTAATATCTGGAATTTCTCAATGTAAAACATTTGGAGTTTCCCAGACTGCAATTGTAAACATAAAATAGCTTGACAGACTGTCATTTCCGTTAAAATATATTAGGCAGTGTTTTACATTTTTCCTATTGCAATCAATATATTATACATCACAATCGATGGATTACTGTTATAACAATATCACCCAAAATCAATTTCTGTGAACGCTGTGCACAAAAAATTGAAATTCCTCAAAAAATATTTCGCTGCATGGGCGTGGCATGACTTAGCTCTCAGCATAAACCACGAAGTGTCCCACGAGATACATATGTCAGGTAATGAGCGGCACCTGCCTTCGTGTAACTTTTGCCGTTTTACCGATTGCCGTAAAGTACGATTTAACGGCGGCAGAAACCTTTATTTTTTCCCCATGATTTTTTTGGCTTTGTAGGGTCGACATGCTCGACTGCACGTGAGGCGGAGATGTAAAGGAGAAGAGGAGACAAAACTTATCGAGGCGATCATGTTGAAATGCGTGAACTGGGCTTGGGTTTGGGTTTGGGTTTTTGGGGTTTACGGACTTACTCTTCACTTTCAACTGGTGAAATTTTCGTACTCATCGCGGCTGACCTTGATCTGGGTCCCAAGCTGTGGAGAAAATAATGCAGATGGGCTCGCATCATTTCTTATGCTTATGCAATGACAAGTGTGTTTGTATATTTCTTCTGGCTATTTATGGGCCATTACGTAATGTTTGACAACTCTGTAAGCTGTTAAATTCCCGCCCCATTACAAAGGCAAAACCATTCGTAAGATTTTAAGTATATTCGAAGAACTTTCCTAAAATAAAATTATCCAATATATATGTCACTTGCGGAATTCAATCGACATAAACTGTTGGTCAACAATTCAGTTTAGATTATGCAATAACTGAAACGACAAAAGCACTGACAAATACATATTTCCGAAACAAAGCAAACAATAGCGCAAAATGCATTTATTTATGCAAAGAGACAGAAGACGCACCACAAAAAAAACGAAATTTCCGTGCCAAAAAGATTTTGGCTCAAGTTGCGGCGTGTTTGTGAAGCTAATTAGATGGGAGTTAGGCCAATCCATTCGACGACCATTCAACGCAAAAATGGTGCAAAATGATGGGCAAGCTTAAGAGGCATCACCCATCACCACCTGCTCCCCTTTCATGCACCACTTTGGCCACTTAACATTCATGATTGCATGTTAAGCAGGGCGCAGTCGAACACTCCATTTTTCACGTGCTAAAATTTACGCTTCAAACTCCTCTCAAAAATAGTAAGAAAATCTTCTCGAACCCATTCTCACATCATCGTGTCATCTCATAATGTCGTAGCTATTTTTAAGTTTGTTTATTTTAAATTCACATGTTTGTGTCACGCAGTTTTAAATGTTTTCTTAGCAATTCAGATAACTATTTGGGTGGTTTCTGTTTGCTAAATTTTTCCAACAAAAACTTTTTACATTATTTCAAATATTTCAACACTTTATAGTAGATTATAATAATAACATCTTAAAAAGATACGTTTGACTTTGTTATTATTATTAACAATAAATTTAAATAGGGAAAACCATTTTCGGCTTTCTAAAATTGTCTTCCGTTCGCATCTTACTACTTCTCATAGTGACTCCTTAAAAATATATACAATTTGTTTTTCATTTTAAAAAGAAAGACCCTTTTAAAACACCACTGCTTATTGAATAAACCTTTTTTGAGTGTAGAACTGACACCAAACAAAAACAAGAAAGGAAAGATAACTTCGGGCGGAGCCGACGTTGAAATACCCTTGCAGAATATTCTGCAAACTATATTCTCCAAAATTATTTATATGATGCAGTCTTAATACTCATAAAAAATCCCACCTTCCTAACTTTAAAAACACCAAAGTTATGGCATTTCCAATCGTTCAGTTATATGGCAGCTACAGGATATAGTCGGCCGATCCATATGAAATTTGGTAGGTCGGATTAATTGGCCAAAAATAAAACCCGTAGGAAATCCCAACTTTCTAACTTTACAAACACCAAAGTTATTTCATTTCCGATCAATCAGTTATATGGCAGCTATAAGATATAGCCGGCCGATCCTTATGAAATTTGGTACGTCGGATTGATTGGCCAAATATAAAACCCATAGAAAGTCCCAACTTCCTAACTTAACAAACAGCAGAGTTATGGCATTTCCGATCAATCAGTTATATGGCAGCTATAGGATATAGTCGGCCGATCCCGGCCGTTCCGACTTATATACTGCGTGCAAAGGAAAGAAAGGTGTGTGTAAAGTTTGAATTCGATATCTTTAAAACTGAGAGACTAGTTCGCGTAGAAACAGACAGACGGACAGACAGACGGACAGACAGACGGACAGACGGACATGCTTATATCAACTCAGGAGGTGATCCTGATCAATAATATATATACTTTATAGGGTCGGAGATGTCTCCTTCACTGCGTTGCACACTTTTGACCAAAATTATAATACCCTCTGCAAGGGTATAAAAACAGTCTCCCCACTTGGTCTCTCTTTCGCCTCTGTCTCTCTCATGGAATTGAGTGGATCGGCGTGGCTCCGTGGTCGTATATAAGGCGGGGTTCCCCAATGTTTTTGACATTCCAGTTGATCAGTGCCAGCCGATCGGTCGGTAGAAAAAAAGAAGCGCGTCGCGAGCCGAAAAAATCGAACATACAGAAAGTGCCAGTGTGCCAGTGCATAGACTGTAAAGAAAAACAAAAATGAAAGCTTTCATTATCGCCGGGGTGTGTGTGTTGAGCGTGCTGAGTCTGGGATCTGCTCAGTTTCAGAACGGACGCCTGGAACCACCAAACCCGCAACTCTGTGCCCAGCGTGTCATTCACGAGAAGACTCCCGACGGCAAGGGGTGAGTCTGCAGGATTCGCCACAAAAATACGGTTTCCTCACAGTTGTTTGTTTTTCCCCTCAGTTACTTCTTCTCGTGGCGCGATCCTCAGCTGAAGGGCGTGGAGGAGGATTGGCTGACGGCCAGGAACTATTGCCGCAGGCGGTGCATGGACTCCGTTTCCCTGGAGACCAGCCTGGAGAATGAGTGGATCAAGCAGTTCGTCGTGCGCGAGAATGTAAGTACCAATTCCAATGAAGAGCTATCTAAAATTATGAACTTTGGTTAACATTTTTTGGAACATATTGAGGGAATAATTTTAATTATGAAGTGGAGTTCGAGGTAAATTAGAATCGAAAAATAAAACAACAAAACCTGCTTTGAAGATAAGCTAAAATCTAGTAAAGAAATCAAAAGACTTAAGCAACAAACTGAGAACTGAACAAATTTTAGGTTTGTCCAATCTGGCCCACATATGTCAGCTTTCTTAACTGTTTACAGTATTTCATAAAAATGTTAAGTCAATAAATCGATTATCCCCACCCCAAAAAAGCCTTATATAAGCCCCATTCAGTCGGGAAATAAAACCAAACCCAAGCAAATAAATTTGGCTTTCGTTCACTGCACCTGTTTGATCAACAGGTAAGCTTTGATAAATAGATCAAACAAATGATCGCAATAATACACCGAAATATGCAACTCATTGACTATATATAAATGTTTTCGGCGAAAGCTATTTTAAATGCACAATAAAACACATGTATTTATTTAGACCCTATCATAGTTTCCTTTTACACCTTGATGGAGAAGTGGGAGACAGTCACAAAAGCTTGCCAATAATTTATTATGTCTGCATTTATCAATTTTTGTCTTTACTATTTTTCACCTATTTTGCATGACATTATGTCACCTTTTTAATTTGTTTGGTAAGTTAAATAACGTCCGTTTAGCCGCGTGTGAAGCATTTAGCGCGTTTTGTTTGACAGCTCAGACGACGCTCAACAAAAAACTGACCTTAATTTTGAGGATGCTGCGGCAGACAAAATTAATGGCGAAACCTGACATTAACATCGCTCTACAAAGTTCAATGTGAAATTACACATAAAAACTGAATGAAAAGACAAAATACGAATCATAAAAATACAAGTTGTTGCCTCTGTAATTTCGCACACAAATGGAGCCGAATGGAGCTGCTCTTACGCAACACTCTTGAGATGGACAAGTGTCAAGTTTAGAGATGTGGTCAGGCAGGCGCATCTTGCATGCCATCTTCCAACTCATTGCTCACCTCTTTGTTTTTGTGGCATGAGAAAGTGATGTTGGCCAAATTGAAATCGAAAGTTCATGTGTGTGGTGGGAAAGCCTTGCCGGAAAAGCTACTGAACAAAATTACTTAACAAATTAGCAAACTCTGAACACGCAAACGGATTTAATGCTAGCGAATTTTGCGTAAAATCAAAGAGGAAATTAAACACAAACCAAAAACTTGAGCCAAAAACTTAGAGAAAAAAGAAAATTATGAATTTGTACTTATTTGGCTTAATTGTGATGAGGTGATGTTTATAAATGGCTTCATTACATTTTAAAATGTTTTTTGAAAAAACCTTGAGTTTTATAAAATAATACCTGCTATTTATTTTAAAGGGTATGAAATCCCTCAATACAATTTTTTTTTAATGTTTTCATTTTAAAGTACCAATATGAAAGTGGTTTCTTTATAAATTCTATTTTGAGTGGATTAGTTTTAGGCAACTCTATTTTGAAGTTTAAGAATTGACCAGTAAGCTGATTTATGACTTATTTTTATTGTGGAATGACGCTCCACTTTTCATGCCATTAAAGGCGTCTTCCTAATGAAAGGCCCCTTATCAACAAGTGGAGTTCACTTTTACATCGCCCCCCAAAAGCATGTAACCGACAGGTGCACAAGCACAATCCACTGGGGCTTCCGCCATGGAGCAAATGCATACATAGTCCGAGTTTTAAGCAATTACAAAGCCCACTTCCACCGCCAATGAAACGCCAAAACCGCCACCGACAAAACCGAACTCAATGTCCATAAATTTGTTTCAACTTTACGCTCATTGGAGTTTTCCAAAAGGGCAGACAGCCCAACCGAGCCGTCTGGGCCTTTGTTCGTGGGCCTCTTTTACAAAACAATTTTTATGGCCCATCGGGTGAAAGTGACTGATGATCGCTAAGCTGCGGCTGCGCTGCGCTGCTTCTGCTCACCTGAAATGTTGACAGTATCGGGTGCGCCAGCTCCAAAAGGGCGCGGACTCGGATTGGGAATGGGTTCGCTTTCAGCGATAATAATAGTTGTTTGGGCGTGACAGGCCCATAAGAGTTACTGCATGAAATTTCTACCACTTTTTTGATGCCAACAGCGCTGCATTTTCTTGCGTAGGCGCAATTGATTGGGGAAATCTATTTCTTTTTAGGTATCCGCAAGGGGCAATGAACCATGAGAAACTTTATTGATTCGGCTTCCTTAAAACTGAATACACTTTCAACACATTGTAGTTTTTATGCTAGCAAACATGCTTTTACAACTAATTAAACTGTACGACCAAAACTGGATTTTGGAATGATAGTATGGTCCTGGGTGCCAAAAATTTAGTAAAATAGTTTTTTAAAATATTGACCCATGTATTTACTTTGCATTTTTAAATTACTTTTTTTTTGGTTTTAGTGCAATTGTCAGAAATACGATTACTTGCTCCTAAAAAGTGTTATAATATAATAAAAGCAGTTGGCATACATTTTTGGGGTCCTCGAACAAAACTTGTTTTATCATCTATCTATTTTCACATGAATTAAATTCGGAATCCAAATTAAATCTCAAATGTATTTTGATATTTTCAAATCCTTTTAACATCAGAGCCCTCTTCTTAACTTTTTAGGTGAAATACATCTGGACCAGCGGCCGCGTGTGCGACTTCAAGGGCTGCGACCGCCCCGACCTGCAGCCCACGAACATTAACGGCTGGTTCTGGACCGCCACCCTGCAGAAACTGGCCCCCACCACGGAGCGCTCCCAGGGCGACTGGTCGCCCACCGGCGGAATCGGCCTGCCCCAGCCGGATAACCGCGAGTTCAAGCAGAACGGTGCGGTGGAGAGCTGTGTGGCCCTGCTGAACCAGTTCTACAACGACGGAGTCAACTGGCACGACGTTGCCTGCCATCACAAGAAATCGTTTGTTTGCGAGGAGAACGACGCCCTGCTGAAGTACGTGCGCTACACGAACCCCAATCTGCGCATCTAAGTGGATTGGGATGAGGATGAGGATGAGGACGAGGGCTGGCGGAAGGACCAGCGACTCGCCAACTAAAACCAAAAATGATATTCTCTTAAACGACAGCGGTGAACGATGATCGAAGTTTGCTAGCTGCCCTCCGATTGTCTATAAAAGCGAACAGTTTTCTGGCTAAATTGCTGCATGACATATGATCCTTTTCCTGGTAACAACCTTCAAATTCTCTGTGCTCTATTCTGTCTCATCAACTAGTTTAATTTTTAATTTTGTATTAATTTATGATTTCTTTAATTATAATAAAACATTCGAAACGACTTTCAAAAGAAATCTGTTGTCTTATTGCTTGTATATTCTTACAAATGATATTAAAAGTTTAGTGAGTTGTTAAGTCAACTCTAGGTGTAGTAGATTTGGATTCGAATGGAATAAAATCTAAGACGTGCTATTCTGCCAGTACAATTTTATTCATGTTGGTTCTGCTCAGCTTTTGGAAACTTTTGAAACGCTTATGATTATTATCTATTCTAATAGATGTCTAAAAAAATACGTCTATGCGTGTCCAATATGATATTTTCGTTGTGGTGTTGGTTTCACTTCGTATTACCAATAGAAGGTTCGTAAACATAAACCAATTTGTAGACATTTTATTTATGCCTTATATAATAAGAGCTAATCCCATCCTTACTTGTTAGCTGATAAGAGAAATGTTAGCTGAATATTTGTCAATTCTGAGAATTGGGAAAGTATATTAGAGAAGAGAGGAGCAAAGATAGTTAGAAAAGTGTTTGAGTAATGATAACAGACTATTTTATAAATTTTTTTTCACTTTACACTAATATAAACTACTTATAAGTAGAAACTGCAAGCGGCTGCGCATTATCCTAAAATGTTTCCCAATACCCTCTAATAATCAGGCGAGAGCAAAATGAACAAGGAAGCAAACTTCGGCAAGCCGAAGTTTATATACCCTTGCAGTTATTACAAATCTACTACATTTCGATTTATATGCTATATTACTAAAAACAATGAAGCTGTGTCATCTTTGCGCTGCATTTTGCCATCGTTTCTATGGCAGCTATATGATATTTTTGTCCGATTTTAATTTAATTAAAACCGTAATTCCATAACAAAGTTATATTTTTTTTGAATTTTTTTCCGATTATACTTGCAAGACTTCCTTCTTTTTATATGACCAGACAAAATATCAGACAGAGCATTTAATAACAGTGACACAGTACAATATGAATAGTAGAGTAACGAAACTAAGGGATTCGGCTTCTCTAACTTGAAATTTTTAAACTGAATACGTTACGTACAAATTTCACTTCTCTTCAATTTAAATCTTCAAAATTACAAAAACGTTTGATTAAAAGTGCTTAGCCAATATTTAAAATGCCATTCCTCTGGTTGTCTTGTCTTGGTTGTAGAGTTTATCAGTGCTTCTGTTTGAATACAGTTTAACACTACATTAATTAAAATAAAATTTGTTTTACGGAAGGTTTAAAAATGTCAAGGAAAACATTTTGAACATAGCCCATGCGATTAACTAGCCAGAATTATGATTTTTTGTCAGGCCAGAATGAAGTTTGAAAAATGAAGTAGAATTTAACTGATCGCCTGTAACTATGCAGCAAACTATTAGGTGGCATACTGCAAATTTAGTTGCCCAAAACTATGCAATGATTTTAACGAATTAAATACCTTATTTTATAATTCAGGGGATACTCGACTTTAGCCGATTTTCTTAATTTTTATACGATCAACAAAACAAGGGACAATATTAAGACATGCAAATAATTTGGTTGAGCGACCTCGAAAACGAATGATTGAATAAACATAAAAACTCTTTGACGACAATAGGGGGATCTTAGAAAATACCGGCCAATTTGACCAGATCCAAAAGAGAGTGTGCTGGCTTCTCTATTGGGTTCCGTTCCTGACCATCGACTGCACTCGAAGAAAGGTCCTGCAGGATATTATTACGGGCTCTGTATGCCCGACATTTGTCCAGCACGCGCTCGAACTCCGCCACGGCGTAGTCTTGCGAGAAAGAGGGATCTTTCGGATCCAGAGCCTCCATTGAAGACTCCCACTGGGCCCGTTGTGGATGCTGGACATCGAAGGTTATCACTGCCTGTCCGTCGGCTGCATTGATGGTGGCCACTGCTGCTCCGGCTCCTTCAATCATGGCCAAGACCAGACAGCCCACGAAGGCACTGTTGGCCATGGCTCGAATGCCATTGCGGGCAGCCAAAATCCCGCCCGTGGCTGCTCCACTGATAATCGAGTTCCAGGCATCCTCCCGCTGGCGATAGGAGACCATGACGCAGTCGAACGTGCTGAAGGTGGCACCCCAAATGGCAAAGCTGCCGGCAATGGACGGAGTCCTCATCTTCACCGAATCAAAGCCGCCGTACAGTCCGCGCCTTAAGCCGGAAGGAGCATTGCGGAAACCCTTGATGAACTCGAACAGCGATCCTCCAATGGTGCCCATCATGAAGGCGCATCCACAATCCTCCACAATCCTGATGGGACACGGCTGGCGATTGTATTCCATGATCACTGTTCCTTGTGCCTAACTCTAAAACTTGATAGTGCGGTCCTTGCTATTTTCTTGACTTCTTATCGAAAATGTGTATTTTGGATTTGATTTTTGAGTATTCATTATGTGGAGAGTGTAGGCGTGTGACATTTGAATCATTTCTATTCGATAAATTGGAATTAATTTGGGGTTGCTTATATCAAGCCATTCTTGATAATAGTAATACAAATGTATACCCATGAAATGGTTGAGTTTCCTAACTTAATTCTTTCTTTAGCTATTTATTTAAAACACAAATAAGCACAATCGAATTTTACTTATTAACATTTAGTGTAGGCAGAAACTTAGTTGAATCTTTAGTTAGTCAGCTTAGGTTAAATGTTTATTGATAAGAACCAAGGGAAAAAAGTCGAGATTAAAATGATCAGTTGTCGAAGTATTTCCGGAACTCCTGGCAACCAGCCCAGTTTTCCTCCCAGCCGGGAGTGAGTTTCTTGGCCTGCTCATACCAGCGGGCCACGTTGGCATACCGCTTGAAATCGAATCCGGCCACATCGAAGGTGGAAACGGAGGCCAGGAAGGCGACGTCGGCCAGGCTATAGTCTTCGCCAGCGGTGAAGGTCTGTCCTTCCAGGAAGGTGTTCAGGAAGTTGAAGGCGACTTCGATCTTCTTGTAGTTCTCCTCATTGGCAGGCAACTTCAGGAAAATCTGGGGATAATAGTACTCGGAGAAGCTTTTATAAAGGGTTCCCATATCGAAGTACAAGCGCTGGTTTATCAAAGCCTGCTTCTGAATATCCTTGGGAAAAAGCTTGTCGTCCTTGCCGTACTTCTCCACCAGATAAACCATAATTGCACGCGATTCCCACAAAGCCAAGCCATTATCGTTCAGAGTGGGGATCGTGTGCTGGGGATTGATCTTCAGGTATTCCGGCTTGAATTGCTCTCTAGCACGAGTGTCTATAATTGTCTTCTTATCGAAGTCCACACCCAGGGCCTTGGCTGTCATCAGAACAGAACGGCAGGGAGCAGATCCGGGTCTGTAGTAGAAGTCCATTTCACGGTTCAGGAATCTCTGCAAAAACAGCAATTCATCAAGATCAGAAGGTGTCACAGTAGATGAATAATACACCGAATGGCTGGCTAATCACTTTCATTAAACGCACCCAGTAAATTTGGGTACGCAATCTCCATAACAAATCGACAAAAATAATAATACAAGTTTGTGCGGTGGTCGAACTTACGAGATAAGTAAAAATACACGGTTGCTCTGCAGAAGTCGAAGCACGGGAAACAACTGAACAATGCTCTGCAGGTTATTCGTGTTTTATAGACACAACCAAAAAACCTGAAGATAACCGCATATACAATATTTTGTGGGCTGATAGATCAATTAAGTGCAGGTGATAATTGGCAAATATTTTTTTTGGTAGATACGTGAGATGTTTCTAGAAATAGAGAACTATGCCAGTATAAGAGCGATAAAGTAGTCAAAGCTGGGTGTTTTTGATTTTATTTTGATTAGTTATTAGCCTTTTACATATTTTAATTAGGTCTCAGGTAAAATTTACTTTATGGAAGCCTGTAATAAGTTCAGCTGTTTTCTTAAAATTGCTATATCTTAATTGTTTTTGCTATCAGCAAACTCTCATCAGCTTATATTAGCGCAAACTGGCACGTATCATAATCTTATCGCACTGAAAAATGTTTGAGGTGTCGTACCCCAACGTATTTCACAAGAGCTTGGCCCCCCTGTCTTATCAGAATCCAAAAGTCAACGACTCTTTGACCATTATTCTCTTAATAATGCGACCAAGTACACTCTTTATTGAAATAGTGCTTTAAATTCGTCATGATGTACATTGAAGATTGTTAATTAGAGCCAAGTCATTGTTTGTTCAAAATGCCGCCCAGATACAATTTCTTGTAGTACTCGCAGCCCTCCCAGTTCTCCTCCCAGCCGGGAATGACTTTCTTGGCATTATCGTACCACCTGACCACATTCGGATACTTTCCAAAGTCGTACTCTGAGATTTCAAAAGTGGATACAGTGGCCAGGAGGCTAAAGTCGGCTAGAGTCAACTTGTTTAGGGCGGCGTACTGCTGACCTTCCAAAAGGGTGTTGAACATAGCGAAGGCTGCATCGATCTTCTTCAGATTCTCGGGATCAGCCGGCTTCTTTACGTCCTCAAACAACTGGGGATAGTAGTAGTAGACATAGCTCTGGTAGAGGGTGCCCAGATCGAAGAACAAACGTTGATTAACCACGGCCCTCTGCTGGGGATCCTTGGGATACAGTGAGTCATCCTTCGCGTATTTTTCAGCCAGATAAATTAGAATGGCCCTCGACTCCCAGACGGAAAAATCTCCATCCACCAGAGTGGGAATCGAGTGCTGGGGGTTGATCTTGACGAACTCGGGCTTCAGATGATCACCGGCATCCAGATCGACCTCCTTCTTGTTCAGCTCCAATCCCAAGGCATGGGCAGTCATCAAGATTGAACGGCAGGGTGCCGAGTACAGCATATAGTAGAAGTCCAACATGATTCTTCAGCAAGCTGTAAAATCGAACTGAGTTAATATTTTTATACAATTCATTAGAGACAACACTAAAAATGAAACTCAATTCAGCGAACACTTGATTTGCTTTAGATTTCTTTCTCTAAAATTATTTGTATTTTACGTATACAGATTCCAAGAAGTTACAGGTTTTATATGCCAATATCAGTTCGCAAACACGATTAGTATTACAAAACGTAAGTTATACAGTGTAAACAAGTAATATGTTTGGTGGACTTGTCGTCAACCTATTGGTTTTTGTGCTAATGGAAATTGTTACTTTGCTTCAGTAATGTATATGATAAAATAATGATATATAATCACATACTCTATCAACATGATAAGATTAATATTACATTGTATTTTCTAAGCATTGACGCAATCATATAAATCTAATGCGATAAACTTTTTTATAGAAACATCATCATTTAATATTAGTTTATTAAATACAAAAAAAAAAACCGCTCAATTGTAAGGTTCGTTCAGGTATATTTTGCTCACAGAAAATTAAGGGTGCTTTAATAAAAAATATATTGTTTAAAAATGGATATCACATTTGACAAAAAGTTGAGTTCCCGATATAATACATTTAACTTGGTTTGTTTTACACCCTTTTCAAATGATTTCTGTGCTTCTCCGTCGTGGTTTCCGACAATCTCCCTTCACCAATTTGAACTGACGAACCGCCGGCAAATAGCGGAGCTTTTATTGCTTTTTGTCTCGAAAGAGATAGTTTAAGGGAACTTACGGTTTTGCATACTCTTTCCGAATCACCCTATTTTCGCTGAAGAGCGAAAAACGCGCCAGAAGAGCACTATTATCCAATTGTTGCTGCCCACACCCACTATATGGTATATAGTATAGATATTTAAAAAACGTATTCATTTTGTGCATTCAAAAAAGCGAACACTTATTTATTGTCTTTGGAGACGGTCTAATTTGGAATTGTTGTGTGAACGTGAATATAAATATTACTCAAATGTACGGGTATTAAATACGGTAATATCAGGCTTAGTCGAAGTACTTCTTGAACTCCAGGCATCCGGCCCAGTTATCCTCCCATCCGGGAACGACCTTCTTGGTGTTCTCGTACCACTTGTTGACGTTGGCGTACTTGCTGAAATCGAATCCGGCCACCTCGAAGGTGGAGACGGAGGCGATCAGGGCGATGTCGGCGACGGTGAGGGAGTCTCCGGCGGCGAACTCCTGTCCCTCCAGGAAGGTGTTCAGAAACTCGAAGGCGGCCTCGATCTTCTTGTAGGCCTCGGGATCGGCGGGGGCCTTGGCGAACACCTGGGGGTAGTAGTAGTTGGACAAGCTCTGGTACAGGGTTCCCATGTCGAAGTACAGGCGCTGGTTGATCACGGCGCGCTTCTTGGGGCACTTGGGGTACAGAGAGTCGGTCTTGCCGTACTTCTCCACCAGGTAAACCTGGATGGCACGCGACTCCCACAGGGAGAATCCGTTGTCCACCAGGGTGGGGATGGTGTGCTGGGGGTTGAGCTTCAGGAACTCCGGCTTCAGATGCTCACCGGCCTGCAGGTTGAGCAGCTTCTTGTTCAGCTCGACGCCCACGGCCTTGGCGGTCATGATCACGGAGCGGCAAGGAGCGGAGCCGGGCAGGTAGTAGAAGTCAGCCATTTTACTGCAGAGAGAAAATATTGAGATATAGCAGGTTAATAAAGTGATCACTGTAATTAATTTGGAAACACATTAAATGGAACATTTTAAAAATTCAGTTTGAAAAATAAATTCGCAATTTTGAATTGCATTGAAAAAGCTGACTAAGAGGTGTGTTATATTTATTTTAACGATTTTACAAAAATAAATGTATTTAAAACTAAAAAAAACTTTTTCAGATTACTTAAAGCACCTCATTCCGACATTTTTAATTTCTGTTCTTCATGTCTTTTTGTGTCTCTGTTTTAAACTTTTTCAGAAAAGATATGCCGTAATTAGACGCGCTCTATAATTACGAGTTGAGACAAAAGCCGACTTTAATTGGGCCGTCATTACAAAAATTCACTTGGCAAACAGATTCCCCTAGAATGGATGACATCATTCTGCCTGTTTCTATCAAACCAATTGCGTTTTGGTAATTTTCCATGCATATTTCTTTTGTACACATTTTTCCTTTATTTTTTGCCCAGAAACAAACACAATCACACAACTATAAAGGGTCGAAAACTTACAGTTTTGTTTGTTGAAATCTCGCGATGTACACTGTACCAAATGAGAAGCAGCACTGAACGGAATTCGGAGAGCGGGACGGCTTTTATAGCAATAGCTGGCGGTCGCCATAATGCCGGCAAACAAAAGTTGTTGTTTGACGATACGAGGGGCGGCTGCGGGCAGGGGGCGTGACGGGGGAGTCACCATTAAGAGAGGCCGCTAGTTGTTTTTGTGTCTGGGTTTTTGTCTTTTTTTGCTTGCCCACACATACCAGTAATATCAGGCAAAAATGTGACGTTAGCAGCGTGATTAATACGAGCATGTGGATCTAGTGGTTGTTGCACACTGCCCCCCAATACTCCCCAAAAGAAAGCTGCAACTTTCTAATAATCCTTCATTGGAACGCCGCCTTTTTCTCTTTAGAACACATTTTTGTGTATATGTATGTTTTTTATTTTTTTATATTTGTTATGATTATGCAGAGGGCATTTTAATTATATTTAAATTTCAGTCCGTACCGAAAGAGTCACCTTTTTCTATGCGATTTATTCCGTCAAGGTAAAATATGGTACAAAATACTACATTTAAAATAGTATTTTTTATGCTCCGATAGGTAATATTTAGAACGGATATAAGATTTGCAAAATCTAATTAACGAATAACTGTGTGTATCCAATAGCTGCTAAAAGCACGATCATGACAAAATACATGTTTGACTTTCCTTAAAACTTTGAGAGTAAAACAACTTCGACTTTGCTTTGCTCGTTCACATTTGGTGCACTCAATTTGCTCGGATACACATTTTTGCATTTCTAATGAACATGTGTGAGCTTAAAAATAAATTATTCTTTCAATGTGGAAAAAATGAAAAATATAAATGCTGGCAAACAGAAACCAGATAACAACTCAAGCCGGCCGGCAAACATTCATATCAGGCAAACAAACAGCAACAGTTGGCGAGAATTCCCAACTGAATTGTACATACTTTTGTATAAACAAATCGCGAGATACTGTACTTGCTAACTAATAAGTCCACAAAAATATAACCACGCGATGAGCCCTAGGAAATGCAGAAATATTTCCATAAGTTCTGACTCAATATGGGTTAAACCCAATATGAGTGATGTTAACCGTATGATATGTACATAGATAAATACCAAACCCTTAGTAATTTATGCGTCAAGGGACATCTCACATTAAAAGTCCTCATTTCCAATGTAATTATCTTTATGACCACCAGCAATAAATCTATTGAAATGGATTGTTTGCGTTTTGACGGTCTTGGGCGGTTAGAAATAATTGTTATGGCCACATTACATGAAAAGGAAAATGGATCCAAACTTAAATTTTATTTCTTTGGAAGTATTCGATACAATCGTAGCAATGCACTCAGAAATTCCTGCTCAATTCGCGTGGGGTTGCTTTTTTCCCCAAAAAAACAATTAATTTTTATCAATTTCACAATAGCAACTATCAGCATGACAAGGAAAAAATACTTAAATAACAATAACAAGTTGGAAAATAATGAAAGAGCATTTTTGAGGCTGACGCGTTTAAATTGCTTTCTCTTAAGTCCAGAACAATCCAAAACTCGCTTGTGAAATCAGAAAAGCTCAAAATACAGACTTCGAGAATTACTCATTTGAACATAATGCCGAAATCCACTGAATCATGGGAAACACGAGATCGTAAACACAATAAGTTCGCCAATAACTGGTTAGGTTAATTCTCTAAAAGTCGGTCCAAAATGTAGAGAAAGGTCACTGTGTTTGCCGCTGCAGATCAAGAGAACCAGTTAGACGGCATTGGCTAAGTATGCGTCACAAACAAAAAGGCAGAAAACAACACTAGCCAAAGAGCAGAGACTAAGAGATATTCATGTGTAGATGGCCAAAGAGAGTTGATGGGGCGAAGAGCCGGTCTCTTATTTTCACATCATCGAAAAGTCTGTCGATCTGCCATACAAACATACCTATTCCCTGATATATGTACACATATTTACTTTTGGATTCCACTTGCCGGCGATTCTTATTTTGTGTACAGCTGCGTTGACTTTAGCTTTAGTCTTTCACTGATCTCGGCTCGAGAAAAGACAAATAACTGTTTGCTTATATTCAATGGAATGATTGAAAAGCTCTGTCACTCTACGTATTAAATTATTTGCTTTGCTTTGTATTAAAAAAGTGTATTGTTTTCCTATTCACAGACAAACAGCTTAAAAATTTAAATTTTTGTTTTGGTTTTTGCTTATTAAATTAAAAATGTACCTAATTATGTGAATATCAATGTTTCCACACGTATGTGCATTGTACATACATACATCAATCACATTATCTTTTTAATTAACGGTACAGATAACCCAAAGCAACTCCAATCATAGGTGCAAACTATTTAGCAGTCGAATTAATCAATGCCATGCACATATGTACATACATACGTATGTATGCTGTTGCATTTATAAATATTAAGGCTTAGTCATAAATATTGGGCTAAAGTCTTGATTTAGTTTATATTCCCTTGATAATGAATCATATAGGGAAAAGCAAATTATCGAAGAAATGTTTAAAGTTTTATCACAGCTGCACCTAACATTAATCTATTTTAAATAGACAACACCTTCTGCCCGTTATCACTCACTTAATAGATGACTCATAACAGCTAACCCTTTTAAATCAGTCCCATTCATATATGTACATATGATAACATAACAGCTCAACCAGTATGCACCTGAAATTATCATTGACGTGTGTCCAAACCGAATAAACGGTAGTGTTCCGGTTTCCCCTTTTCAACATTTAATACTTGTTCGTTTTGCACGAATTGCAATATAAAAGGCTGTTTAAATACATAAAAAAAAACAACTCATTTTCATATTTATATAATTGTAAATGGTATTGTACTGTGCCTAAGTCTAAGTGTTTAAAACACAACTTAAGTATAAGGTCTAAATGTCTTGAAAGCTAAAATCAGAACAGACCTGATAATAAGCACCCAAAATATGAAAACGCGAAGAACACATAAGTATTGGGCTACCAAATTTGGCTATATAAGTACCAGCCATTGCTTGTTGTAGTCAGTTCTCATTCTCGCCCGGAGGTAACAACACATCAACGTTCAACATGGATTTCTACTATATGCCCGGTAGCGCTGGATGCCGCACAGTAATTATGGTGGCTAAGGCACTTGGACTCGAGCTGAACAAGAAGCTGGTAAACACAATGGAGGGCGATCAGCTGAAGCCGGAGTTCCTGAAGCTCAATCCCCAGCACACCATTCCCACCCTGGTGGATAATGGATTCTCCATTTGGGAGTCCCGCGCCATCGCCGTTTACCTGGTAGAGAAATACGGCAAGGACGACTCCCTCTATCCCAAGGACCCCAAGAAACAAGCCGTGGTCAACCAGCGCCTGTACTTCGACATGGGCAGCCTGAGCGACTCCTTTGCGAAATACTACTATCCCTATTTCCGCACTGGAAAGCTGGGCACTGAAGAGGACTTGAAGAAAATCGAAACCGTCTTCGGTTTCCTTGACACCTTCCTAGAAGGAAAGGACTACGTGGCCGGAGACCAGCTCACTGTTGCCGATTTTGCCATCCTGGCCAATGTCTCTACCTATGATGTTGTTGAGTTCGACTTCAGCAAGTACTCCAATGTGGTCAGGTGGTACGCCAATGCCAAGAAGGTGACTCCCGGATGGGCTGAGAACTGGGAGGGCCTGCAGCAGATGAAGGAATTCTTCGAGTCCCGTGCTGCACTTGCACAGTAAATGATACTTAGATAATTCACGATTTTTGTGTTACTTCTTATAAATTGAAATAAAAGAGACTTAAATGTATACATATTAAACAGCGCTTTACTTAAGGGCATATTTAAAAATAATAATATTAATATTTTAGAATTACAAGCGAGTCTTTAAAAACTGGAAAGATTTTTGGGAGCATTGCTTTTGGAATAACCCTAAGCTAAATGAATATAAACACAATTGATCACAATTTTCTTTAATTTTTACACATATGCCTTTCAAGGTCTGCATAATGGCTTGAAGGTTTATTAGGTATACGTACTGTTGCCTTTGATAAAACTTTAATGCCGTTAGGCATACCATTGTTATACCCCTGCAGAGAGTATAATAATTTCAGCCAAAATTGTTCACCGATGTTTTTTAAAATGTACTGATACACTTCGTGAAATAGTTTGTGGCACGTTAAATCCACCCTAATAGACGGTTATAGTAAAGTTTTTTTTTAACTCCTTTAATATACATACTTAAGTAAAAATATCCGAAATATAAATAAATTAGTTTAGATGCCCATTGAAAAGACCCTCGTACATAATATCTAATATATATTTCGTTCGTGATACTAACTATCTAACTATATTTCGTTCGTAATACAAAGTTTTGTTTTTGTGATCTAAAAAAATAAACGTTTTTACCGAGTAATCAATTAAATTCATGATTAAGGTGTGTTATCTGGGAAAGTTATGATGCCGTCAATTTGCTGTCGCACAAGTCGGTAGGAAATTCGGACAGCAAAATGTAAAAAAAGGGGAATTTTTATATACTAAAAATATATTTTATGCAAAATATACATATATAAATTAGTATAATGTTATCTTAACTACTTCAAAATTATTTCAAAGTGTCCGGCTGACATACATAACTCACATATTTTTTTATTCATAGAAGCTGATTTCTTTAAATCGTTCCATTTCCTTTACGATAACCAACAACCCTTAAGAACGGCCCAACCGATCTTAAATCAAAAGTATATTAGAGACATTGTCTCTTCCATGAGATGTGTTTTTGTTTGTCTTTTTAATTTTCTTACATATTTTATTTTATTACTTATCTTATTTTCTTACATATCTTATTGATAAGATTTAACTTGCCTATAAATTCATCTAAAACAGAAAATACATAATAATCCTCTTATATTTACGAACATCTTTTATAAGTGGGTAATTCTAAGAGAGTATTTACTTATCACTTAAATTGCAATTTTCCGCGAACTAAAATTTAATACCAACGAGTCTTTTATATATTTATTTGGCGACAAATGGTCATATGAACATATATTTGTATGTACAATGTTTTCCAGAAATTCTAGAAGCTGATTTTACATAGAACGTAATAACGAAGAAATTGATATAATTTTCTGCCTACCCATACATGAGAAACATACACTATCACGAATACAATCAATTAACATGGCATAACATAGAGAAAGAGAGCTATTTTCGCCATGAAATTATATGAAAAAAGCTTTATAGGTAGAAACCCGTGGGGTCCCGAACAGTTCTCTTTTTCCACTCGAACGAGTAGCACGAAACGATCGCAGTCTCCAACATGGATCTATACTACCTGCCTCTGGTCAGCGCATGTCGCTCCGTTCTCATGGTAGCCAAGGCCCTGAACCTTGACCTGAACAAGAAGCTGCTGAACACCCTGAAAGGAGAGCAGCTTAACCCGGATTTCATCAAGATCAATCCCCAGCACACCATCCCCACTCTGGTAGACAATGGATTCACCATCTGGGAGTCGCGTGCCGTCGCCGTGTACTTGATAGAGCAGTACGGCAAGGACGATTCGCTGTACCCCAAGGATCCTAAGAAACAAGCCGTGATCAATCAGCGCCTTTATTTCGACATGGGCTCAATGTATCCCTCGCTGGCCAACTACTATTACAAGGTGTTTATCACCGGACAGTACGGCAGCGAAGAGGAGTTCAAGAAGGTCCAAGACGCCTTTGATTTCCTGAACACCTTCCTGGAGGGTCAGGAGTTCGTGGCTGGTGACCAGTACACCGTGGCCGACATTGCCATCCTCGCCAGTGTATCCACCTTCGATGCTCTCGAATTCGACCTCAGCAAGTACCCGAATGTGGCCAAGTGGTATGCCAATGCCAAGAAGATTACTCCTGGCTGGGAGGAAAACTGGGCAGGCGCGCAGGATGTAAAGAAAGTGGTCGATGAGAAAAAGAATGCAGCGAAATAATTTAGACATAAATGTGTAATATTTTTAAGTTCTTATGCAATTTTTATTTGCCTATAAATTTTCAGTTTTATAAAATACTGTCCAGCCTGAGTGGTTAGAAATGTTTGAATATAATTGTATAGCTGCTGGAAAATATAAATAAAGTATGAATATTTAAATTAGCAAATATTTTAAACTATTCCTATTCTAAGTGTTCAAGAAGCTAAATATAAAAAAATTTAATCAATGAGAATCCCATTTCTGAAAAATAAATTATAATCAACTCATAAAACATAAGCAAATCTACCATATTTTTTTTACAAAATAGATAAAGTCAAAAAATGTGAACCCATCGTGATGATTATAGTCACAAATTGGTGAGCACAAACTCTGAAAGGCGTAATTTGATATAATTTGAAATTTAATATGTTTGTTAAGCCTACCTCATTGGTAGGTATGCCAATTTTGACAATAACAATGATGACTAGCAATTTCCAAAACACATCGGAGAGCATATACAAAATCAATTATAACCATTTCTCTATATAAGAGAGAACCATTGCTGGTCGCAATCAGTTCCGTTTTTGCTCTTCGGCGAATAGCACACACTAAGCGCACGCCCAAAATGGATTTCTACTACTCGGGTCGTGGGTCTGGATGCCGCTCAATTATAATGGTGGCCAAAGCTCTCGGTTTGGAGCTGAACAAGAAGCAGTTGCGACTCTCAGAGGGCGAGCACCTTAAGCCAGAGTTCCTGAAGCTCAATCCCCAACACACCGTCCCCACTCTGGTGGACAACGGATTCTCCATTTGGGAGTCGCGCGCCATCGCCGTTTATCTGGTGGAGAAATACGGCAAGGACGACTCCCTCTATCCCAAGGATCCTCAGAAGCGGGCCTTGATCAATCAGCGCCTGTACTTTGATTTGGGAACCCTGTTCGATTCCTTCTTCAAATACTATTACCCCTTCATCCGTAATGGTCAGTATGGAACTGCCGAAGACTTCAAGAAGGTCGAAGCTGCCTTTGAGTTCCTTAACATTTTTCTCGAGGGTCAGGATTACGTGGCTTGCAACCAGTTCACTGTAGCCGACATTGCCATCCTGGCCACCGTTTCCACTTTCGAAATCGTTGAGTTTGACATTGCCAAGTACCCCAACGTAGCCAGGTGGTACGCCAATGCAAAGAAATTCACTCCCGGATGGGAAGAAAACTGGGAGAAAATGCTGCCAATGAAGACAATATTCGAGGACCGAAAGGCCGCAGCAAAATAAAACTATGTTTAATATTTATTTGACTATTTTATTTAAAGCTTAAGGCTTGACAAACTTGTATATTTACACATAAATAAATATTTATTTAATGAGAAAATGATTATTAATATTTAATTAATAGATTTAATGCTAAGAGTATTCCCTTTTTCGTAATAATCCATTGAAATTGAGAACTATTCTCTTGGGTTGCACAGAAATCTTAGTATTTCATATACACAGAAATGAAAGTGTTTAATTAACAAACATCAAGGCAACAACCTGTTCCCTATTATGAACACAGTCAGCTCACAATCAGCTAAATAAACAAAATAATAAAGAGTGATAAGATTTCTAAAGAATAATCATTTTTCTAGTGTTTTTTCTTAGTTCTTGTTTGTCCCTCCAGCGGGTAGCACCACGCAGATATGGATTTCTACTATACGCCTCTAGGCAGTGGATGTCGCATTGTTGTTATGGTAGCGAAGGCCGTAGGAGTTGATCTGGATAGGAAGCATTTGGATACCTCAAAGATGGAACACCTTAAGCCTGAGTTTCTGAAAATCAACCCCCAACACACCATTCCCACACTAGTCGATCATGGATATTCTTTTTGGGAATCTCGTGCTGTCGCAGTCTATTTGGTGGAACAATATGGAAAAGACGACACCCTTTTCCCAAAGGATCCCAAGATACAAGCTGTTATTAACCAGCGTCTTTATTTTGACATGGGAACTTTGTACGTGGCTTTAGCCGATTATTATTATAAAGTTTTTGCCACCGGCCATTTCGGCACTGCTGAGCAATTCAAAAAAGTGGAAGACAGCTTCGAGTTGTTGAATACCTTTTTAGAGTGCCAGGACTACGTAGCTGGTGATCACCTCACGGTGGCTGATATTGCCATCCTCGGCAGTGTTTCCACTTTCGATGCCCTCGAATTCGACGTAAACAAATATCCCAATGTTGCCAAGTGGTATACGAATGCAAAAAAGATTACTCCTGGTTGGGAAGAAAACTGGGAAGGTGCCATGGAGTTAAAGAAGGTAATTGAAAAGAAAAAATGCAGCACAACAAATAAATCCTAAATAATTTAAATTAAAAAAAAAAAAATTTAAAAACACCTGTAAATTTATATGATTATTTATTAGCATTTTGAAAGCAAGGATAAATATCTTTCCTTGCAGTAATTATTGGTACTATCAATTTCATTGAGCTATGTACAATACTAAAACAACTTTTAAGTGTTTTTGGTCACTTTAATAACGAAAGAATAAATACAAAATAATATACAAAACCGGTTTTATTTGTATACTAATAGTGTAATTTGTTGACAATCGGGCGCATCGAAGATAAGCGAATACAGAGAGGTAATTTCACAACCACATTCAATCATAAAAACGTTTAAGGCTTATATGATAGACCCCACTGAAGAACCGTCGAGCAAACAATTATTATCAGTATGTGCGAGATATGTTATTTCACAACCGTGTTGCTATAAAAACGAGAGCCAATGCTGGTCACAATTAATTCTGATCTTGCTCTCCAGCGAATAACACAAAGTTTTACAAAATGGATTTTTATTACTCGCCTCGCGGAAGTGGATGTCGCACAGTCATTATGGTGGCGAAGGCTCTTGGACTGGAGCTAAACAAGAAGCTAGTGAGCACTTTGGACGGCGATCAGCTGAAGCCAGAATTCGTGAAGCTGAATCCCCAGCACACCATTCCCACCCTGGTGGATAATGGCTTCTCTGTTTGGGAATCCCGCGCCATCGCCGTTTATTTGGTAGAGAAATACGGCAAGGATGATTCCCTCTTCCCGAAGGATCCCCAGAAACAGGCCGAGGTCAATCAGCGTCTTTACTTTGACATGGGAACGCTGTATGACAGCTTTGCCAAGTACTACTATCCTCTTTTCCGAACTGGCAAGCCCGGCACTGCCGAGGACTTCAAGAAGATCGAGACCTCCTTCGAGTACCTGAACACTTTCCTGGAGGGCCAGGACTACGTGGCCGCTAACCAGTTCACCGTGGCCGACATTGCCATCGTGTCCACAGTTTCCACTTTCGAGATCTTCGATTTCGACCTCAGCAAGTACCCAAATGTGGCCAGGTGGTACGCCAATGCGAAGAAGGTGACTCCCGGATGGGACGAGAACTGGAGTGGTCTTCTGGAACTGAAGGCAGTCTTTGAGGCCCGCCATGGGGCAGCTAAGTAAAAGATATGGAGACATTTTAATTTAACTTATGTGAAGTTGGTATAATAAATATAAAATAAGAATTCGCTTAGATATGTTGACGACTTTCGATACTATATGTTACGTTAGATCTTGAAAAGCAAATACCGCAATTTTATCTTTAATGCTTCAAATTGGGTTTTCTGAAAACTGATAACAGTTTCCCCAAAATGAAGCGGGCTATAAATAAATACTGGTGGAAGTAGTTTAGAATTAGAATATAATTAGATTACGCCCGAAAATAATCTTAACGAGGATGCAAATTTAACAAACTAAATGGAGATGGATATCACCATCAGATTTGTATTACGTTTAGTTGTTTTGTTGTCTAAAATTATTATTATTATTTTGATTTCGAACAAACATTTTATTCTATTTCAGTAATAAAAAGTATTAATATAATTTTTAAAAACGATTTCAAACTTTTTCGGCGAGTGAGAGTGTTAAAACAAATCACATGAGGTTTTTATTTCCCAATCATAAGAAATAGACAAGGTTTTTTATACATATATACAGATAATTTTAATCGGCTCATAACATGTTTGCTATATAAGCGGTAATTTCGCCGAGAGGCAAATTAGTTTGTTTTCTCCATTCCAGCGGGTCAGTCATAATAAAAGCTATTCTTAGCATGGATCTCTACAACATGGCCGGTTCTCCGAGCACCCGAGCTATTATAATGACCGCCAAAGCTGTGGGAGTCGAGCTGAACTCGATAAATGTCAATACCTTTGTGGGGGAGCAACTAAAGCCAGAGTTTGTGAAGATAAACCCCCAGCACACCATTCCCACCCTGGTGGACCATGGATTCGTAATCTGGGAGTCCCGTGCCATTGTTGTTTATCTGGTGGAGCAGTACGGGAAGGATGATTCTCTGTACCCCAAGGATCCTCAAAAGCAAGCTCTGATCAACCGGCTGCTCTACTTTGATATGGGCACTCTGTACGAAGCCATTGCCAAGTACTTTTTTCCTCTTCTGCGTACTGGCAAACCAGGAAGCCAGGAGAACTTGGAGAAACTCAATGCTGCCTTTGATCTCCTGAACACTTTCCTGGAGGGACACGATTACTTGACCGGAAACCAACTGTCCGTGGCCGATATCGTCATCTTGGCCACCGTTTCTACAATCGAAATGGTTGACTTCGAATTAAATAAATTTCCGAACGTGGACAGATGGTACAAGAATGCCCAGAAGGTTACTCCCGGTTGGGACGAAAACATAAAAAGGATTCAAAATGCCAAAAAATTCCTAGCCGAAAACCTAATAGAAAAGTTATAAAGGTTTTTACTACAAATTTTTTTTTGTTCTAAAAGGCATTTTATTAAGCATTTTATTTTATATTAAGGCTTTTTTTAACTTTAATTATACAAATAAAGAAAAAATTCTCTACGACACTTACAAGTTTGAAAAAGTAAAATTATTCTGCTAATTATATTAGTTATCGTCACAGCATGTCAATAATGCCCAAATGGAAATAATAAACGTATTTGAATAGCATTGTTTTGATTCTTGCTGACTTGGATCTAGGTAAATAGACAAGGTTTTGTAACAGACTTATGACATCGTTGTTATGATAGACAATAGAAGCTTAGGAGCAACATTATTATTATTTCAGAGGGTTTTTTAATGTATTTTGCGCCGTCTAGAAGTTTACTTCTGGAAATTCTTGATCCACCTCTCCAAAATCGGAAATTTCGGTCGGGGACTAATTGGCCAAAATTACGATATTAGCCAAGGTCAGGCAACTTCCTGTCGTCCTGTTTTCAGGGAAGGTATTGAGGAACTTAAAGATACCCTTGCTATTATACAAAGCTTTCGGAGCTTGCAGTTTTCCAGTGCGGAAGAGGGAGAAGTACCAGCTGGACATAGAGTCATAGAGGGGTTCTACATCGAAGAACCGACGCTAGTGTCTTGGGATCCTTGCACAGGATAAATTATAGTAATGTTTGATTAAACTGGCTCAAACCAAACTTAAAGTTTTGTTAGTTCCTTTTGTCAACACAGATGTTTCTGGAAATATTTGGAAGCATGATAAGGGCACCCGTTCATTGTTATCATAAAAGCTAATTTTTGATAGTCTATGACAAGGCATAAATGTTTGGTGAAATATGATGACAAACTGACTGGTGTTGAGAAAGATTTTGCTTTGTTAGTTGCCATGACAGATAGTTGTATTATTTGTTTATTAGCAGCCGGAATTATTAAATTAGAAAACATTCTCATTTATAATTATTAACTCAAAATTTTATCAGCATAGAAGTCAATAGTGGCTAATTTATATATAAGAATGCATAAACTATATATACATTGAAATCAAAATGACACCTTCATTGGCTCTTTGTGTTTCAGTAATCTGTTGATGGGACTGTGAGTCATATGTTAATATGGGTTGATGTCTTTCTTAAGCTTTCGAACCTTATCATTATTCGATAATTAGTTCCAGCTCATTTGGTCAAAGCTACTACTGTTAGTTAAAAAAAATTAAAACAAGAGAGAACGTTATAGTCGGGTGCCCCGACTATCAGATACCCGTTACTCAGGTAAAGGGAGTGCGAGGGAGATGGAGATAGAAACTTTGATCACGCATAACTTTTTAACTAATGGTCCGATTTGAAAAATTTCTTCTACATTTCGATAGGTATTGATAAACACAATAAAACTGCATTTTTACTTTTCCGAAATATTTAAATTTTTAAAATCGTATATAAGCGATTGTGGGCGTTAAAGGGGGCGTGGCACCTTTTTGAAACAAACTTGCGCTGCGTAGGAACTCCTAGAATCTGCATGCAAAATGCCAATCTTCTAGCTTTTATAGTTTCCGAGATCTCAGCGTTCATACGGACAGACAGACAGACAGACGGACAGACAGACGGACAGACAGACGGACAGACGGACAGACGGACATGGCTATATCGACTCGGCTAGTGACCCTGATCAAGAATATATATACTTTATAGGGTCGGAAACGCTTCCTTCTAGCTGTTACATACTTTTGCACGAATACAATATACCCTTTTACTCTACGAGTAACGGGTATAAACATAAAAATTGAGTTCTCACAATGACAAATACTATTCGTATTATCTTGGCAATGAGCGATAACGCAGTTGCTATTCTGCTATATATACGGGGCCCTCAGATAGCGTCACATTAGTTTACTATTTGCACTCCAGCGAAATTCACGATACATTAGCAATGACCAACATGGATCTCTACAACATGCCCGGTGCTCCGGCCAGCCGTGCCATCCAGATGACTGCCAAGGCCTTGGGCCTTGAACTGAACACCAAGTTCATAAACACAATGGCGGGAGATCAACTGAAGCCGGAGTTCGTGAAAATCAACCCACAGCACACCATTCCCACCCTGGTGGACAACGGATTCGTCGTCTGGGAGTCCCGTGCCATCGTGGTTTACCTGGTGGAGAAGTACGGCAAGACCGATTCCCCACTCTTCCCCAAGGATCCCAAGAAGCGAGCTCTGATCAACCAGCGGCTGTACTTCGACATGGGAACCCTCTATGACGCCCTGTCCAAGTACATATTCCCCATCTTCCGCACGGGCCAGGTGGGAGGCCAGGAGGCTTTGGATAAGTTCAATGCTGCCTTCGAGCTCCTCAACACCTTCCTGGAGGGCCAGGATTACCTGGCAGGCAGTGAATTCTCTGTGGCCGACATCGTCATCCTGGCCACAGTCTCCACCATCGAAATGATCACGTTTGACTTGCAGAAGTTCCCTAACGTGGAGAGGTGGTACAAAAACGCCGAGAAGGTCGCTCCTGGTTGGGCCGAGAACTTGGAGAGCATTAAGCAGCTCCAGAGCCAGCTGGCAAAGTTGGCGGAAAAGAAGTAAATTTAAATTAATTAATTTAAATTATTAATAAAAATCTATGTAAAATAAAATTATTGTCGTTCAATTGTTTGAAAATTTTTGTTTTTTTCAAAGTTAGAAGATTGTAGGGTAGGTATATCTAGACCAAAAGTAAGCACCTTGGAGTGCGAGATTGCTTTAATATATTTTGGAAATATATTTTTTTGTCACGATTTACATTCTGAACAAGTGTGTCAAGTGACAGAGATTTATAAAGCTCATGCTTATATAGCTAAAGCATTTCACGGAATTTTATTGTTTTGATAATTCATACAGGCAGAAAAAAATTAGAACTTAAAGTCTTTGAACATTAATCATTTTTTTTCTGAGCTAACCCCATTCAGTTCCCAATAATTCAAAATAACACATTTCTGTACATTTAATGTACATAATGCAACTAGAATAAGTTTAAAGTAAATAAGCCATGTACCTCTTTTATGAAACTATACCACTCATAATCGTAACAGTTAATTATTACTTTCTTCCTTGCTCTATATTTCGATTTCAGGCTTATGCCTGTTCGATCGTTATTATGGCAGCTATATGATATAGTTGTCCGATGTTTACAAACTTCAATCCGAAATTCTATTTTTTTCAAAAGTTACTATATATTTTTACTATTAGTATATTCTTTATTTTGAAAAACAACAAAATTATAAATTTTCCTTTCGTCCAATGGGAGCTATATAATATAGTCGCCCGATCCGGCCCGTTCCGGCTTATTTATAACATACGTGAAAGGAAGAAATTATTCGATCGTATATAAATAAAATGCAATCCGAAATTCTAAGTTTTTTCAAAAGTCACTATGAATATTTACTATTTACTAATTTATCCCTTTATATAGAAAAACAGGGGTATACAAATAAATCATAGTTCAGTCGTCTCTTCAATATGTATTAATACTTATTAATACTTATACTTGTTTGTTTTATTTTATCCATATGATTTTGTCCACGTTAATGTTTCCTTATTGAATTGTAGCTCATTTCGACACAACTAATTTGTGTTTGCCCAAACGAAATACATTAAAAGTGTGATCTAAGAATGACAAACGCTATTCGAATATAATCTTGGCAATGACTGATAATTTCGTAGCTATATAAGAGGGCTTGCAGCTGGAGCTAAATCAGTTTATTTTTCCACTCCAGCGCCTCCAGTAGATTCGCAATGCCCAACATGGACTTCTACAACATGCCCGGTGCTCCGGCCAGCCGTGCCATTCAAATGATCGCCAAGGCCGTGGGCGTCGAACTGAACTCCAAGTTCATGAACACAATGGAGGGAGATCAACTGAAGCCGGAGTTCGTGAAAATCAACCCACAGCACACCATTCCCACCCTGGTCGACGATGGATTCGCCATCTGGGAGTCGCGTGCCATCGCTGTTTATCTGGTGGAGAAGTACGGCAAGGCCGATTCCCCACTCTATCCCAAGGATCCCAAGAAGCGGGCTCTGATCAACCAGCGGCTGTACTTCGACATGGGCACCCTCTATGACGCCCAGGCCAAATACTTCTTCCCGCTCTTCCGCACTGGCAAACTTGGAGATCAGGAGGCATTGGACAAAGTTAATACCGCCTTCGGATTCCTCAACACCTTCCTGGAGGGACAGGATTTCGTGACCGGCAGCGAACTGACCGTGGCTGACCTCGTTATCCTGGCCACCGTCTCCACCATCGAAATGATTCCGTTTGACATTCAAAAGTTCCCGAACGTGGAGAGGTGGTACAAGAATGCCCCAAAAGTAGCTCCAGGCTGGGACGAAAACTTGGAGAGCCTCAAGAATGCTAAGAAGTTCCTGGAGGAGAAATTAGCGGAAAAGAAGTAAGCTGTATAAATGAGTATAAATAAAATGTAATGATTGCATGTAGTTTGTAAAAGCTATTGGTTTTAATTTTTTGCTTTTTCATGCTGACTTAAGGTCATGCTATCACATCAGACTTAAGAATGGGAATTCTAATACACCTCCGCGGGTGATGTATTTCCTATCAGGTAAGGGTTTGATGTTTAATTGTTCGAAATAATTGATAACCGCAAATCAAACAATATTTTTCCATAAGACCTCGGGTACCTGATAAGAATAATTCATTACCTTCTGTTCAAGGACAGGGAAGCCACTATTTGTGCCGGTATTTTGAGTCATTTTTTTACCCTTGCAGAAAGTATTATAATTTCAGTCAAAAGTTTGCAACGCTGTGAAGGAGACTTTTCCGACCCTATAAAGTATATATATTCTTGATCAGCATCACCACAAGAGTCGATCTAGACATGTCCGTCCGTCCGTTTCTACGCAAACTAGTCCCTCAGTCCTTTCAACTTTAACAAAAGATGTCTTTCTATTGCAGGTAGTATATAAGTCGGAACGAACCGGATCAGGCGACTATATCATTTAGCTCTCATTGGAACAATCAGAAAAAAAATTTTAAAATTAAAACTTTGTTGTTTTTAATTTTTTTGTTGTTCTGTGGTATTTGGAAATATTTAGATACTATGGAATTACGGTTTAATTAAACTTAAAATCGGGCTCCCACACAAAATCAAAAAATTAAAAAAAAAAAATTGAAAATAAAAGATTTATTTTACTTTTTTTTCTATTTATCAAAATATTTCTTTGAGATATATTATATGCAGCGCAAAATCGAGAAAGATTTGTTGTTTTTAGTAATATAGGCATATAAATCGTAATGTCGTTTTGTAATAACTGCTAGGGTATAAAAACTTCGGCTTGCCGAAATTTGCTTCCTTTCTTGGTAAACTTAAAATCAGTCGATTTAAAAATAGACTGGCATACCGATTATGGTCTTATCAGGGATTATTTGCCAATAAAGATTTCTTTATTTGAAAACGAAAATGCAAGTTGAAGTTTTAATACCATTGCAGCCATAGCGAAAATGAGTGAGTGAACTTGGCTAGAGTAAAAAGAAAAGATTATTCAGATAAGACGATTCAAAAAGTTTAAAGTATCTACCTTTTATACTGAATTCGAAATCGGTATATATAATAAGCATACGGATATGGGTATTTCAATACTGATCCAGGATATGTACTCTTTTCCTCCTTCACTTGTGACCAAAATTATAATACCTTCTCAAAGGTAAAAAAAATAGAAGGTACAGTTTTATAAGCCGTTTTTCTGTCCGCCTATTTAATGTAATTTTACTATCGTTAAACATCATTTTCCTTGACCCCTCTAACATTGACCTTTCTCTTCGTGACATTCTATTCCGTCGTACAACTCTAACGACCTGTCATTAACTTGTAATTACTGCATTAAAAATAAATCAAATTTAAAAGTAAATTCAAATTGGTAGCCGTAACTTTGGTACCCTTGTACCCCTAAAAGTATATTTCTGTTCATTGCCTGGCCATTAGCTAAACACTTCTAATTACACTGAATCGTTATCACCGATAGCAATACCACTCGGGAAAGTCGCACGACACTGGATGACTATATATGGAAATCGATTTGATTTCGGGCGTCGTTTTCTCTGGCTATAAAAGCCGTTGGAATTATTTCGCTGCGGTCAGTTAAGGGCAACTACTGCAGAACCTTTCATCATGGACTTCTACTACCATCCTTGCTCGGCTCCTTGCCGCTCCGTTATGATGACAGCCAAGGCCCTGGGTGTTGAGCTGAATATGAAGCTAGTGAAAGTCATGGACGGGGAGCAACTGAAGCCGGAGTTTGTGAAACTCAATCCGCAGCACACCATCCCAACCCTGGTGGACAATGGATTCTCCATCTGGGAGTCCCGCGCTATATTGATTTACCTGGTGGAGAAGTACGGCCAGGATGACTCTCTATATCCGAGCGATCCCGAGAAGAAGGCAGTGGTTAATCAGCGGCTCTACTTCGATATGGGCACCCTGTTCCACAGTTTCATACAGGCCATCTACCCGCAGTTCAGGAACAAAAAGCCAGCCGATCCGGAGGCCATGCAGAAGGTGGACAGCGCCTTCGGGCACCTGGACACCTTCCTGGAGGGCCAGGACTATGTGGCTGGCGACTGCCTCACCGTGGCTGACATTGCGCTGTTGGCCTCAGTCTCGACCTTCGAGGTGGTCGACTTCGATATTGGCCAATACCCGAACGTGGCCAGATGGTACGAGAATGCCAAGGAGGTCACTCCCGGATGGGAAGAGAACTGGGAGGGTGTCCAGTTGATCAAAAAGTTCGTCCAGGAAAACAGCCAGAAAGATTGATTTCATTAATATATATATGTATATCTACACCAAATTATACCTCAGCACATTGTTGCCATATATCGTTATGCTGTATTAACACGAATAAATTCAATGATTGTTTATTTGCTTGATTTGTGAACTAACTGTGAGAATAAGAGTATACTTTACTGTTTAAATACGTTATATAAAGACCGCCCTCAGTCAAAAAACGTTCTATTACTTTATTTATTCCCTTGACCGTTAATTAATGTGTAGAGAATTACAAATCGAGTTATGAATCGGTTACCTAAATCATCCTCTATCGTAATTACAAATTCCAATCTCTGTCATGGATCATAAAAATGCGATTGTGTTAAATTCTACGACACATTCCCTTACTGCAGTTGAATGCACGCGATGATTTCACTGGCATATTAGCACACTGGGACCCCATTTCCCCCCAGTGAACTACGAATAGGGGGGCCATTGACCGACAGACTATTATAATAGTCATTAAAATAGTCGCGGGATTAGTTACCTAATAAACGTGCTGCTAAAGTCATTGAAGAAGTAAAAATTACATATGCAAATGCTCACATATTTAACATTGCTCACTGTGCCATAGAAACCTTGAGAGGGATGTCAGAGAAGTTCTAAAATTTCTATTCACTGATGGTCTGTTTTAATATATGATTTAACAAGTAAAATGATTCCTATAATAAATCCATTTTTATAAAGCAAAAAATTCTGTCTACAAATAAGAATTGAGCAATTTATCTTGTGTTGACCATTTACTTTTCACCAGACCACAAATTTTTATTTCACTATGCAATGAAATAATATATTTTTGGTTATTAATAAGATTTTAGACGAAACCCAAATATTCCCATTCAAATTCTATATTTACAACCGATAAAGAAACCCATGTGAAATTGTTTTTATAGCGTCATTAAAAGTATATATTTTGCATTCCACCTAATTTACGAGCCAGCACTAAACCTAAATTCCATTACGCCATCCCTAGTTGGACAGCTCGGTCACCGCCTCCGAAGCCTCCACTAGCTTCTGTAGCTGGCGGTACTTCCGAATGGCGTTCCGCACGAACTCCGTGGCCCGACGCACCCGTTCCGGGGTCATCTCCTCGGCCAGCATGCGACCCACATCCTGGGCTCCACCGGTGCGCAGGATATTCACAGCCCGGGCGGGTATTTCGCAGATGGGGGTGATCCGGCACAAGGCGCTGGTGATGGCGCCGCCAAAGAGGATGACCCCCACGGCAGACAGGACCACGGCGGCGATGCGGAAGAGAGTGGACATCAGGATCGAGGGCAGCAGATTGGAAGCGAAGGCCAGCAGTGGATTGGAGGATGGGGAGGAGTTCGGCTGGGTAGCCACCACAGTGGTGCCGTCCGATTGCCCGGCAACGTTGGCGGGCATCAGAAATCCCTCGTAGCCCGACTGCATCACAATGGGACCCGGAAACGGATAGATGCCAGGTGGTGCTCCCGCAACAGGAGCTGGATAAGAGCCCGCCAACGGAGCATAGGCTGCGTACTGACTCAGATAGTGCTGGAAGGCCTCGGGAGTGAGGATTCCGCCGCCGTAAACGGTGGTGGCATCAATGCTGCTCCCACTGGCCACATTGTCAGGCTGTGGAGTGAAAAATAAGTATATTAGAAATTTAATAGTCTTTGTTTTTCCCTTTTACTTAAAGATACAATCTAAATTTACAAAAAACTTTAAAATTGTGTATATTTAAAAGATTCTACTGAGACTTATCTCAAAAATGTAACTGAAGTCGGATATTAACCTTGAATAGATTCTGAATGAAAATTCTCTTTAAAGAGTGTACAACAAGTTTGATCATATCTTTAAGAATGTTCTTTAAAAGTTATTTAACTTAATTTTTTTTTAATAAATATTAATCATTAATCTTTGCTGTACTCACCACCGCTGTCTCCGAGTTTTCTGTGGCTGGGGGGATCGTTTCATTGCTGATTGTGGGAGCTCCATCCTGGGGGGCAGTACCCGTCTCGCCACTCCCCTCGAGCAGCTTGTCCGACTCTTCGATGGTGTTGGGCGTGGCAGCCGGAGGAGCGACATCCAGGGCTGGCACACATAGCGATCCGCGGATCATCAACACCAGGAGCAACAGCAAATACGATCTGCACTTTTTCAGGAACATCTTCTTCACTTGGTAATAAACAAACAACTGATCCTGGCTATGGACCGATCAGTTCTTTTTATAGCATCGCTGGGATCGGCCATTTTCCAATATTATTTTGCAATTTATGTCACATTTTCCGGGAATCGTTAGCCTGTCGAAGGTCCCTTTCTCCTAATCCTTCACACAAAGCATTTTCCCTATCTTACCTGCTAGGAAAATAACAGGTAGAAGATGCCGACACCGTAGGACCTCGTCACCTGGAACATTTATGTGCCGGCTAATTACCACTGTACCGGCCATGTCCTTGAGGGACCCTAAGAAATGTCAAGCACGCGATGAAGTCGTGACTGTCGAAAAATGTTTGATGTAAACACGTTGAGTTTCAAGTGATGCCAATCAAGCCCCCAACCACCTTTATCAGGTGCTCTGAATCGGAAAATCTGTTAGCAATCAATAAAAAGGTAAAAGGAAAGGCATAGCTTGGGATATTATGTAGACATATAATTTTAGACACGAGCATTTTGACCGAGTTTCGGGACCGCCCACACCCCCAGCCACGCCCCCACCTCCCTTTGGTCGAAACAGGTGAACACTCGGGCGGTCTGTCGTCCCTGGCAACGTTCGTTATGAAAACTAAACGAAAACAAATGCGTCCAAAGACAGCGAGACAACATGCTCTGAAAATTGGAGAAGTCAGACAGCGGATACATCCGTGAACAGCGACGTCGGCAAGTTGGGACAGCCGAGGCAGATTCCATCGCTGGGATAGGACAGGATCCCACGCACCTCCTCCTTCAGCATCATCGGCGCCGGTTGTAGGAGTCCTTGTTAGTCCCCAACAGTCCTTGCCACAGCTCCGGCGAACGCGGACTCGGACTCGGTCTCGGCGACACTCGACGGCATACTGGGGAACTGTATAGACATCGACTCGGTGGCCGTGGTGCAGCACAAGCTGGTGCACAGAATTGTGTGAGTAGCCAACCGGTCCGTTCCAACGCCTTCTGTGCATATTCCATAATGAATAAATAAGTGAGTGCAATTAAGTGCGGGCCACAGCACAGCGATTTCCATTTTAGATGGCATTCCTCTGGGAATGTGTTTGGACGGCTCACATTCCCTCTAAGATTTAACGAAAGAATTTTCAAAATTAAAAAAATAAATTGAACATTTTATTTAGTAGTAGCTTAGACACTATTTTATCTCAGTTGTTCGATAAAATTAGATTTTACACGCTATCATTTTACATGCATTTTTTTAATAAAACTCACTGCATACTTTTAGGCAGTCAGACTGTCAAATGAAACACAAATTTGGAACACAACCCAAAAATAAATTAATGTTTTAATTTGACTTTTAAACGTTTATGGTACCAAATTCTTAATTTTTTTGCTTATAGTTTTTATTCTGCACTTCATTCATTCAATTCAATTCATTTTATTTATGGTCGAAAACAATTGTTTAATTTTTGTATTTTATTCAGTAGCATATTGAGAATTTCTTCGTTTTTGTACCAATCAGTTTTAAAAAAATATATATATAAAATGTATACATATTTTAAAAGTTAAAGAATACAGGGAGAAGTATTCTTTAGAAAACGTTTAAAAATAGCAAACCAGACTTTACATACCCGAATTCTAAAAAAGCTTAGGACCCATGCAAATAACAATTGGCATTAATTAACTAGAGAAATAAAATCGATGCATTGATTATTTTTCGTTGACCACCAAGTTTTTCGGGGCTGCGTGTGCCAAAGTGACCGACTGGTGTCGGCCAACTTGGCATTCCAGTTTCGGCCAATGAGCGACACGAAGCGTATTGTAACCGAATTCGTTTATTGCCTGCTCCTCAGAGGTGGCAAGATGTCTCCGCCCGTGCTGTACTACCTGCCGCCCAGCCCGCCCTGCCGCAGCATCCTCCTGCTGGCCAAGATGCTCGACCTTGACTTCGAGCTGAAGATCGTCAACATCCTGGAGGGGGAGCAGCTGAAGCCGGACTTCGTGGCCATGAACCCGCAGCACTGTGTGCCGACCATGAACGACGAGGGCCTGGTGTTGTGGGAGAGGTGAGTTGTGCCCCCTTCCTGACGCACCTTCAACACCCCTACCTTGCAGTCGAGCGATCCTCTCCTATCTGGTGGCAGCCTACGGCAAGAGTGACGAACTGTATCCCACGGACATCCGCGTGAGGGCCTTGGTTGACCAGCGGCTCCACTTCGATCTGGGCACCCTATACATGCGACTCACGGACTACTATGTAAGTGCAATGTGGCATAGCCTTTATCAAAAATAAAACATTAATGGAACACTTTAGAAACGCGATATGTACATTAGGGCGGTGAAAAGTCTTATGAATATTTTAAGCTTCCACTATCACCCCCACATACTATCAGTATTGCGCATTTAAGGCAAACCAGAAAGACTTTTATTGAATAAAAAGCGTTTTAGGAACTGCGCATTATATCTCAATTTTATCACGTAACGTTGCCCTTTTCTAAAAATTTATTTTAACTTACATAACGTGGTGTATGAACAATTTATACGGAAACTAGAACTTAAAATAGTTTTTTTTATTTTCGAGCACATTTTCTGCACACTAATATCTACCACATTAAACCATAGGAGAAGTTTGTTTTGGGGTCACCCTAATAACGTAACGTAACGTATTTTTATACCCTTGCAGAGGGTATTATAATTTCAGTCAAAAGTTTGCAACGCAGTGAAGGAGACATTTCCGACCCTATAAAGTATATATATTCTTGATCAGCATCACCAGGAGAGTCGATCTAGCCATGTCCGTCTGTCCGTCCGTCTGTCCGTCTGTCCGTCCGTTTCTACGCAAACTAGTCCCTCAGTTTTAAAGCTATCTGCTTGAAACTTTCCCAAAAGTTGTCTTTCTATTGCAGGTAGTATATAAGTCGGAACGAGCCGGATCGGGCCACTATATCATATAGCTGCCATATAACTGAACGATCGGAAAAGCCATAACTTTGGTGTTTTTAAAGTTAGGAAGTTGGGATTTGCTATGGGTTTTATTTTTGGATAATCAATCCGACCTGCCAAATTTCATAAGGATCGGACGACTATATCCTATAGCCGCCTTATAACTGATTGATCGGAAATGCCATAGCTTTGGTGTTTGTAAAGTTAGGAAGTTGGGATTTTCTATGGGTTTTATTTTTGGCCAATCAATCCGACCTACCAAATTTTATAAGGATCGGCCGACTATATCTTATATCTGCCATATAACTGAACGATTGGAAATGACATAACTTTGGTGTTTTTAAAGTTAGGAAGTTGGGACTTTTTATGAGTATTAAGAATGCATCATATGAATAATTTTGGAGAATATAATTTATAGAATATTCTGCAAGGGTATATCAACTTCGGCTCCGCCCGAAGTTAGCTTTCCTTTCTTGTTTTATCTAGTTTCAGCATTAGATCAAATAAATAATTTTTTTACATTTTTTTTTAACCGGGATACGTTTTTGTTTCTAGTTCCCCACAATGTTTATTGGAGCCCCGTTGGACGAAGGAAAGCGGGCCAAACTGGCTGAAGCTGTGGGCTGGCTGAACACGATTTTGGAGGGAAGACAGTATGCAGCCGCCGAGCACTTCACCATTGCAGATCTTACGCTTTTGGTGACCGTTTCCCAGCTGGAGGCCTTCGAATTCGAACTGAGACCCTACAAACATATTCGCCAGTGGCTCGATCGCTGCAAGGAGCACATGGCGCCGTTTGACTACGAGGAGTTGAATGCCAACAAGGCCAATCTGCTGGCCGATATGTTTAAGGCCAAGATGAACCAATCTGCCGCCTCATAAGTCTCGTATAAACAGTCTTAAAAAAAATCAGTTTTGTAAGTGTTGTATTGAATAAATGTGTTGTTCTGTGAGTCGCGCCACATTTCTTGACCTTGACCATCAAATAATCCAAAAATAACAGTATGATACGTATTTTACAAGTCAAGTCTTTTCCAGTCTTTGTCTATTTTTCAAATTTGTTGAATTCATTTTGGTTATTTATTAAATTAAAAAATGGTTTTAATACAGTTTGAATTCTTTTTCCGACCACTGCGGAGGACATTAATTTTACATTAGTGGTAAAAAAAACCACCAAAATTTTTTCCTCTGAATTCCTAGATAAAATACTCGTATATTATTTTATACATCGTGTTTTATATACGGTATCCTTCAATCTTCCCCGCACTGCCGTTAATAGTATCATATTAATAAGTATCCTTCAGCCGTGCCAAAACGATGTTCAAATGCAATTTTCATCTGAATTGGCAGTTAACTTAATTGAGTTTCAGTCCCCGAAGTGTGACAATCTAGATGAATTGACTGGTTTCAAGTGGGCCGAAATGAGCTGTTAACTGGCGACCGGTCGCCCACAAAAAGACGACATGACACACATTTTAAAAATACCGCCACCCAAAAACAGAGTCCAAAGGACGCTGCTCCAAATGGCTGCAGGCAAATAACAGTATTAACTTGTGTGTTTGGACGTGGTCAAAAGGGCGGGAACTAGGTGGCAGCAAACTAGCGGATGCTGATGGCGGCACCTGTAAACCTCAACTGAAATTTAATGGCCCGACAGCAAAAAAGGCGGAGGAGCACAGTTCTATGAGAGGAGCGGGCTATTTTTAAACCGGACATCGGAGCCCGCAGCTAGACGGCAGGATAATGGAATCCGGCTTCACAGTCTCACTTTGGCCGCTCACAATGGCGGCCGCAACTTTGGCTTTGGGATTAGCCGTGTCCGTGGCCCTGATGGCTGCCGGAAATGGGCAACTGCATCAGCAAGTGGCCACCAGCAAGCAGTCGCAACTCTGGCTTGGTGAGTTTTAAGAAGTCCGGTGCAATTTACATAGTTTTTTTGATATCATTATTATTTTTATACCCTTGCAGAGGGTATTATAATTTCAGTCAAAAGTTTGCAACGCAGTGAAGGAGACATTTCCGACCCTATAAAGTATATATATTCTTGATCAGCATCACCAGGAGAGTCGATCTAGCCATGTCCGTCTCTCCGTCCGTCTGTCCGTCTGTCCGTCTGTCCGTCCGTTTCTACGCAAACTAGTCCCTCAGTTTTAAAGCTATCTGCTTGAAACTTTCCCAAAAGTTGTCTTTCTATTGCAGGTAGTATATAAGTCGGAACGAGCCGGATCGGGCCACTATATCATATAGCTGCCATATAACTGAACGATCGGAAATGCCATATCTTTGGTGTTTTTAAAGTTAGGAAGTTGGGATCTTCTATGGATTTTATATTTGGTTAATCAATCCGACCTACCAAATTTCATAAGGATCGGCCGACTATATCTTATAGCTGCCATATAACTGATTGATCGGAAATGCCATAACATTGGTGTTTGTAAAGTTAGGAGGCTGGGATCTTCTATGGATTTTATATTTGGTTAATCAATCCGACCTACCAAATTTCATAAGGATCGGCCGACTATATCTTATAGCTGCCATATAACTGAACGATTGGAAATTACATAACTTTGTTGTTTTTAAAGTTAGGAAGTTGGGACTTTTTTTAAGTATTAAGAATGCATCATATGAATAATTTTGGAGAATATAATTTATAGAATATTCTGCAAGGGTATATCAACTTCGGCTCCGCCCGAAGTTAGCTTTCCTTTCTTGTTCTTTAATACATTAAGAAACGTATTACTTATTTGGAATAAATAAATATTATTTTATATTTTATGAAGATTATATTTATATTTATTTTATATCTAATATTACAATCCATTTTATGTTAAAACTTTTAAAAATTGAAATACTTGTTTAATTTAAGTGTCAGCTTTTTTTTCAAGTAAATTTTCTTTAAGTTTTAATACACTTCTTTTTATACTAATTGATAAGTATTGAACATTCTCTTTTTCCATCTTGATTTTAAATAAATTTAAATTGAAAAGGTTAAATTATTTTATCATGAATTATTCCTTTCTTTTCAGATTGTTCCTGCCTACATTTTAACGAGCGGAATGCCACTCAATGGGGCAGGTTGGCCATTAATGCCAGCCAGGCGCTGGGCGCCAAGAACAACTGCCTGATGATCTTCATTGCCGGCATGGATGACGAGCTGGTGGCCTTTCGGCTCGAGCAGTTGCAGCTGCGCCCCGGGTGAGTGGCCATGCTTCCGGCGAAATTCCGGGATCCGTGATCGGTGTGGGGGACGGGAAACGGGGACTGGGGCCGATTGGATCTCGAATCGGCGGACAGCTGCCTGCGACAGCCATCAAAATCGAATCCGTCGATGGATAAGGCTGGCGTCCGTCGAGGAAATGCCGTGGCCAAAAGGGGAATGGGGCTGAAGCCAAATCCCCACCGCAACGGCAATGTAATTAAAATACCTTGCGAAGGCCATGTGGGCGGTCCGTTTTGGTGGAGCCGTGGTCGCCGGCACGCCTGGTTATTTATATAAATCCCGCAAATTTGTGTCAATTTATGCAAAATTGTATGCATCCACATTTGCGCCATAAAAATAACGCACACAATATTTCGGAATCGATTTGTCAATAAAATTGGAGAGCACTGGCCAAGCACATTTCAGTGGAGCTTGGACCGAGTGTGCCGCCGAACGTATGAGTAATATTTAGGGTGGATCAGTCGCTGGGAAAACGCGTACGAGTCGTTGGGAAATCGCACGCAATTCGATCGTCCTAGTCGGTGGTTTAAAGTGTCAGTGTTCGAAGTCGGAAAGAAACCGCAGTTGAACCGCTGGTAAATCGCTCTTCAACCGCTCGAAAATCGCGCTTAAATCGCCGGAGAACATTTGATCAAATTCAGAGAAAATATCACTTAAAATAACCATTTTTTCATAAATTCAAAAAATTTAAATAAATTAGATACTTTTACCTTATTATTTTAAAGGAGAAATCAAAATTCTAGCAAAATCTCAGATTTTCTTTTCTAAATTAAAAATTTTATTAAACCAAAATAAAAAATGGATTAAGGGTAGCTTAAGCCTAAGAATTACCTTTTTTAAATTTTTAAATTCTGATGGCAAAGGATTCGCAGAAACTAAAATATGTGAATTTTTGAAATAGTATAAATAAGGTATTTTCTCTGAGTGAGAGAGAGAACTAATAAAACTAATTAATTTTATCAAAGTTGGTGTAACGCCTGCAAAGCAGGTTTGTGACGAATCTAAACCAAAACGCGTTCAAAATGTCCATGGATCCATCGGTTTCCTTAGAGGATCTGGAGCGTGTGAGTGAAAAATGTTTTTGTGAAAAACTGTCCGTAAATGAGAGCAACCTGATTTCCAATCCAGCGTCGACGTCGCACCAGTTCCGCCCGCAAGCAGTCACAACCACCTTCGCACCTGGCGGATTCGGAGGCCATGGCCGTGATCAATGAGATTTTCAATCCCACGCTGAAGCTGCCGGAGTCCAGTGGCCATTACACGTTGCCGGAGGAGATGAGTGCCGATGACCATGTGGCGCCCCATGAACTGGACATTGCCAAACTGGCGGAGCTGAAAGAAGTAAGTGTATAGAGTGTTGACTGGCAGAGATTGATTCCTCCGTGGCATATCCGAAGGTCTTCTCACTCTTCGACACGGATTGCGATGGACTGATCTCGAAGGAGGATCTGCGGTTCACATACACAGCCTTGGGAAACGAGCCAAACGAGCAGCTGATGGAGCAGATGATGCAGGAGGCCAAGGAACCGCTCGACTACGAGGCCTTTGTGCGGCTGATGAGCCGACGTACCCAGGAACTGGATCCCGAGGATGTGCTGCTCGAGGCATGGAGCAAGTGGGATGACCACGGCACGGGCATGATCGAAGAACGCAAGTGGGTGCCACTCGAAAAACATGGCTAGAACAACCATTGACCACTTTATACCAACACTTCCCAGAATCTATGAAGAGCTGACCAACTATGGCGACAAAATGACCCTTAACGAGGCCAAGGAGGCCCTTAGCCATGCGCCGATGGCCAAACCCAAGTCCTTGGAGGAGCCGCCTATGATTGATTATCCGGCCTTCTGTCGCATGCTAAGCGGAATGCGCAAGCGAAAAGGGGAATAACTGACGTGGAGTACACTAAATTGGTTGAAGGAATTTTTATATATTTTCGTTAAATTTAAAAACTTGAAATTTATAAAAGCGTTTACTTTAAATGAGGTATTTGTAAATTAACTACCCTTAGCCAATGAACTGAAAGCTTGTTTCCCTGAAAACGAAAAAAAACATTATTTATTCCTGTAGAAATTATTATCCCATTAAATGTTATAATAATACTCCTTTGGGGTTTCTTAATTCACAGTACTTTCTTACTTAGTTATTTAACAAAAAAATGGCTTTTTAATTTATTTAAAGAAATTTGTATATTTATACGTAATTAGTCTGCGGGTAAATTTTTCAAGTTGTATCCAAACTTTAGTTTATTGGCTATATATATTGTTTTTATTTTGTTGCATTTCAGAGGCTAACCTTTGGCGTACATTTTATTTTAATTAATTTGTATTTAAGTTTTTAAATTGATAGGCTCCTTGTTAATTTGTTGCAAATTACTTAAAGCTTCTTAGCTATTGGCAACTGTATTAGCCTTAACGCCAACTTTTGTTCGACTTTTTATCAAAATAAATCGTGAAGAACCAACAGAGCGTTGGGAATTATTTCTTAATGGCCAATTGCTGGTTGGCGAGCGGATATTTATAGGCCGGCTAGCTGGCTGACCAACGAGCCAGCCCCAAAAGTATCGGCCAATAAATTTTAGACATCATTACGCATCTGGCCTGGCCAATGCAGGCGGCCTGCGAAATTCCTCTCTCTGTTCCGTTTTTACCTCATCAAATGCAATTTCGTGACAGCTGCTTGGACAGCGTGGACGTCTTTCCCTTTTTGCGGGAGCCCGTCATCGAGAACGCGACGCTGGCGGCGGACACCTTCTGCCAGCACAGCCGGAACCGCAGTGCCACGCCTATTTATAGCGCGGGTCGATTGCTCGGGCTGCGCCTCCGCTTCCAGCAGCCGCCCACCGACTTGGCCAGCTGGAACTTGACCCTAACCGCCAGCTATCGATTTCTGAAGCGGGGTGAGTTCACTTTATTGCACAACAAAAAAATCGTTAGATTTTAAGTTTTCCATCCTACTAGTCTTGTAATAGTCTTCAAGTTGTTCTTTTAATATTACAATATTTTAAATTAATTAAAAAAACCAAATTTAAATTCAAACTCAAATGTATTTTCAATCGCCAGTGATTCATATGCCAAAAATAAAACTTATAAATGAGACTTAAATATACATGGTGTGAATTATAATTAATAAAAAATGTTGAGCTTAGTTTTGTATTTTTAATTATGGTCAAGACAAAACCCAAATTCAGCATTTAAAGAGAATATAACTCTCTAATGTTTTTTAAGAGGAATACAATTCGGCTTTACAAAGTTTTCAAAATGCTTTATTAGAAAATTAAAACATTTTTAAGAAGGACATGTATGAAATAACTTTATGTTTGCGCTCATTTCTTTAGAAAACATTTTACATTCTGAGCACTCAAATATTGCATTAATTTAATAAAATACATATGACTTAATGATAATAATTTAATGATCAAATTCGCCTTAGAAAACTTTCGCACCGATGGGCGCTTGGTGCCGCACAGCTTCTGCGACTTCTACTTCTTCGCCAGTTTGTCCGGCGAGGAGGGCAGCGTGGGCCAAGGCTACTTCCACTCGCCCCAGTTCCCCGCCCACTATCCGGCGCACATCAAGTGTGCCTACAAGTTCATCGGTCGGCCGGACACCCACGTGGAGATCCTGTTCGAGGAACTGGAGCTGCCGCCGGTGGCCAGCGGCGGATGCCAGTTGGATGCACTTACTCTGTTCGACGCCGAGTCCGCCCACATGAGCTCAGTCATCGACGTGCTCTGCTCGACCCGTCCCACCCGCCGGCTGGTGAGCAGTGGCCCCGATCTGCTGCTCGAGTTCAACGCCAGCTCCAATCGCACGGCCAAAGGATTCCGGGGCAAGTACAAGTTCGTGCAGAATGAGCTGGTACTGCCGGAAACCTCACCCCCGCCCCCTCCTTCGGCCGTTTTGGAGGCAGCCAGTGTGGCGGTTAGGCCGGAGAAGCTCCAGCAGCAGCTGCCCCTCGCCGCCAAGGCCAACAGTCTGCCGACGGAAGCGGAGCTGTCGAAGCCCGCACGTTCATTTGGTGAGTTGGCGCCCCATAAATTAGCCTTAGATTCAGCGACTTAATTCCATGGCTCACTCTTCGCCATGCACTAAGAGAAATTGGGCTAAACATTTGTATACCAGAGCCTTTAGTTATCTAACTAAAGTATATGGTTAAAAATGTTAAATCAGTGTATTCAATTGCAAAGTCATTGAACATAATGCCTCTCCGTTCTCAACATTTTATGATCTATCATTTAAATCCAAAAACTAACTAAGAAAATGTATTTATTTACCATATGTATGGGAAAGGTGAAGAGCCCTCATTACCAGTAAAATAAGCCCTTCATGACCGAAATTGTTTCACTAGAGCACAAGAAACTTAATTTTAACTTTAAAGAAATGGTACCACAAATGAAATTCAAAGTGTTGTTCATCTCAGGAGTAAATTATCGATTAAATGTATATCTTTATAATAATATGTATTTATAATTATACATTTTTGAAAATTTATGAAAAGACTAGAATTTGACTAAAAGACTACATTTTATTATTATATAAATTATTAAAAATATATACATTTAATCGACATTTCACTCGACAATTTTGCTCTTCATAATGAACCATTCATAATAATTTTTGTTAGTGCCCTCCCTCAATCCTGCCCCTTTTGAAAGGCCCACGACCCAATCAAATTAAGTTAATCGATGGAAAATGGCAGCAGAACTAGTTTCTCGCGCGGAGCGACGCTCGACAGCTTCCGTCTGCCTTGGTCTCGCTTGGTCCGGATTCCGAGGCGGAAACGGATGTGGCCAATTCACAGGGCCCGGGCCTGAGTATTCGGCCATGTAAATGGTTTAATGCCTCGGGTATGGCTCAGTCTGCTGCCAACTGTTGTCCCGTTCAAATGGCGGTCTTCGCATCGGTCTTCATTAAACTTAGTCTCTGGTGTCTTTACGTCCACCAATCGGCGGCATCCTGTTCCCCTTTGCCCACCAGTGAGTCTAGCGCTTTTCACATTAGCCAAAATATTTATTAAACTACAAACAATCAACGTACTTCCCTTGTGTGTGCCCGTGTGAGTTCGCTTATATAAACAGGCTGAAGAGGCGTTTAAATATGGACCACAGAAGGGCAGCAGCACCGCTGCAAAGAGCCAACTTCAGGATCCGATGGAGAAGTTGAAACCTGTGAAATATAACTATAGAATTCCATCGAGAAACAATAAGCCTTCAGTAAACCGAAGTGTGTATACCCTTTGCCACTATACTTTTTTTTCCGAGTTTAATCAATAATGAAAATTATTTATCTTCTATATATATAATATATAGTTTTTAAAAATGAAAATACCTCAAAAAGGTATAGTTTATAATCACACCACTTAATTATAAATAAATGAATAGCTTCTTTAAGTAGTGACAAAAAGAACGAAGCTATCGTTCCTCTTTAAGCTAAAGAATATGGTTTCAAGCAAGTAGATTTATAGCAGAAGGACGTGATATAAATATATTGAAAACTATAAAGTCTCCAACTCACCTTCTGTAGATCTTTCGGCCCCTTTTCAAACTCTCAGGTCCCGGTTTCTCCTTGCCGAGGTAAAGACGAACTCCGCCCAGTGCCTGCAGGAAGTAATCGTCCCAGTCGACACTGCCCAAGTCAAAGTCGTAGAGCTTCTGATCCTCGGCAGACATACGGCTCCACAGCTGGTGGGTGTTATGCGTGTCGAACTGCCAGGACGTGTCCACAAAGGGGACCAGAATGTCGATATTTTTGTGTATCTTGTCGTACAGCTTGATCATCCGCGGCTTGCGACCTCGCAGACGGAGCACCAGGTCGATGGCATAGCCGGGCAGCAGGTGGTAGAAGCAGGCCAGGAACCGAAACACCCAGGGCGTGGTGGTGCAGTGCAGGAAGGGAATCCACATCATCTGGGTCAGTGGGAAGTTGTACCTCAGCAGCGCCGCCTTGTCCCGGAATCCGCCCCAGGTGATCAAGTTGTCCTTGGGGGGCGTAAAGTTGTAGATGGGTGGCTCCGGGGGCAGTTTAATCCTGCTTTCCCGGGCCGTGTGCCACGCGCAGGCGATCAACATGTTGACGCAGTAGTCCACCGGAACGATTCCGGCGTCGGCCTTCAAGTTCAGCCGCGTGATGCGCAGTACGCCGATGGCTGCCCCGTAGAGAACGGCAATGGGTCCGTACAGGTTGTCGATCCAGCCGTTCATGGGCTCCCTGTAGCTGGCAATTACTGGGGGATATGCACACGGATTAGTGGAGCCCCGACGACCCAAACGACCTTCACCTACTGACGCCAGGACGAAAGATGCAGAGCGGCAGATCGCCCGACTCCTGCTGCACCAGCTGCTCGGCCAGAGCCTTGGTGTAGGTGTAGGTATTAGGGAACCTGCCCAGCAATGCCGGTGTCATTTTGTCCAAAAGCTCTGGAGAAATGCTGTCGTGCAACTCCAGGACCTTGTTGGCGGGGCAGGTCAAGTTCTCCGGATAGAAGCGCTCGCTGATGTGCTCCAGCACGCAGTTGGAGAACGCGGTGGACACATGGACAAAGGCCTCCAGGCGGGGCATCTCCTTCGCCAGTTGAATCATGAGCCGAGTGGCCCGTGTATTGACGTCCAAAGCGATGTGCAACGGCTCCACAAACCGCACCGTGGCTGCACTGTGGAGCACAATCTGCACCTCATCCACCAATACCTGGCGATCGGGAATGCTCAGCCCAAGATCCGGTTCCTGACAGTCGCCGCCAAGGGGCACCACCCGCTTCAACGCGTCTGGATTTATTTTCATTAGGTTAACAAAGACCTGTCATGGTTAAATTTTAATCAATTAGGAACCTCCAAGTGCGAAAATGTCATTTTTGATCATTTTTGAACTTTAAAGTCAGGCGAACGGATTCTAGTTTCCAAAATTCTTTATCAACATGGCAAAGTGCAACTACTTGGCCTCTGTTTCCAAGCAATTTAAAGATTTGATTTAACGAAGTTATAGAAGAAAGAATACCAATAGCTCAGATCCCATACCTTTTATTAGACAACATTTGTATTTTTTTCTAAAACGGCTGTCAAAGAATTTAAATAAAATCAACATTTGAAAGCAATAGAAACTGATATAAGGAACATAAATTGTAAAACGAGTATAAAAATTGATCTGCTAAATCAAAATGTAACTTGTTTTACCGTTTTTAAAAGCAATGCTCCGAAAAATCTCTACAAACTTTAATTAATGTTTAAAATTCGAAGAAGGCCAATTCTTGAATTAAAACCTTTATGTTTGGCGAAATAAAAATCACTCACAGGCTCTTTTTCCCAGGCGGCGCATCGCTCCTGCATTTCCTGGCCGCGCTTGGAGCGGAGCAGCACATAGATGCGCCTCACCTCCGTGGTGCGGAGTAGCTTCTCAATGGTCACTGAAAAGGCAATGAACTTGAACTTAATTTCGAACTTGAACTAATATATAACCGTGGCAGCCGGTTAAGCAAATCCATGTTATATATGAAGATAGACGCGAGATATGAAAATATATGTAAAAGTCCGGAGAAAAAGGCATGGCCTAATTTAGTCCTAATAAGTAGTTAATATTCTTTTTAAGAGCGGCAGAGATATGAGATTATAGAAAATATATAAATTGTAGTCAGATAATAATACTCTGAAAGTATCATGCAAGTCATTTTAAGAATTAATTTGGACGAATATAACAAGTAACAAGCATAGTTTTACGGTTGGCTAGGGAGGGTAAATTAATTAACACTACTCTATTAGAATAAGAAGGTAAGATAAGACTTGCATCCCAGTTTAGGTGCCGTTAAAAAAAAAGAGATCGGCCTTTTTTATACCCTTGCAGAGGGTATTATAATTTTGGTCAAAAGTGTGCAACGCAGTGAAGGAGACATCTCCGACCATATAAAGTATATATATTCTTGATCAGGATCACCTCCTGAGTTGATATAGCCATGTCCGTCTGTCCGTCTGTCCGTCTGTCCGTCTGTCCGTCTGTCCGTCTGTCTGTCCGTCTGTCCGTCTGTCCGTCTGTCTGTTTCTACGCAAACTAGTCTCTCAGTTTTAAAGCTATCGAATTGAAACTTTGCACACACCCTTCTTTCCTTTGCACGCAGTATATAAGTCGGAACGGCCGGGATCGGCCGACTATATCCTATAGCTGCCATATAACTGATTAATCGGAAATGCCATTACTTTGGTGTTTGTAAAGTTAGGAAGCTGGGATTTACTATGGGTTTTATATTTGGCCAATCAATCCGACCTACCAAATTTCATAAGGATCGGCCGACTATATCCTATAGCTGCCATATAACTGATTGATCGGAAATGCCATAACTTTTGTGTTTGCAAAGTTAGGAAGCTGGGATTTCCTATGAGTTTTATATTTGGCCAATCAATCCGACCTACCAAATTTCATAAGGATCGGCCGACTATATTCTATAGCTGCCATATAACTGATTGATCGGAAATGCCATAACTTTGGTGTTTGTAAAGTTAGGAAGCTGGGATTTCCTATGGGTTTTATATTTGGCCAATCAATCCGACCTACCGAATTTCATAAGGATCGGCCGACTATATTCTATAGCTGCCATATAACTGATTGATCGGAAATGCCATAACTTTTGTGTTTTTAAAGTTAGAAAGTTGGGATTTTTTATGAGTATTAAGAATGCATCATATGAATAATTTTGGAGAATATAATTTACAGAGTATTCTGCAAGGGTATATCAACTTCGGCTCCGCCCGAAGTTAGCTTTCCTTTCTTGTTTTTAACTGATTCAATGCGGTCAATATGTATTGCTTATTGGGACTCCAGGCGAGAGACCCATACTACAGAATCATACGGACAGATCAGAGAAATAACTAAAGTCTTAGTAACATAAAAATCATGGAATTATTTTGAACATCTCTTAATAAAACCAAGCACGCCACTGGCTTTAAAAATAACAACCACTTTAAACCCCAAAATCCAATCCAATCCAAATCCAATGCCGATTATTTTTGGTTCGTGGTTCATAATGCATTGGGAATAAACTTGAAAAACTTTTTATTTATAGTCAGCAAATGTAACTCGGAATACCTTTTCCCAGGAATCCACTGCCGCCTGTTAGAAAGACTATTTTGTCTTTGTAAAATGATTGCACTTCCGTTGCCATTTTCGGTGGGCTTATGTCTCGAATCTTATTGAACACATATATACTGGAAATCCTGGTTCACTTATCCGATATTAGATGACCGACGTAGAACGGCGACGACGCGACTGATGATTAAATACGAGAGTTGTTCTGTGCTTTTAGCCGTTATTTATACCCGAACACTAATCGCAAAAAATCATTTGCACAGATCCGAAGATAGATGGAATCGTAAATTTCGCGTCGTAAAAATTTACTTTCCCGTAAAAGCTGTATTCCCCAAGTTGCTGCATTCGAGTATTACGTATACGCCGATTTAAGCATGGTCCATTAAAGCATGAGCATTGTGACTGACCTGCTTTGTAAACAATTAGCTCTGCCTTTCCTATACTGAAATTGGAACCTTGTGGTGCAGAGGATTTCTGCCCATGTGTCAAGTGGCGTGGCGCCCTGTGATCCATCCATTTGGCTAATTGGAAAACGCTGTTGCTTTGGCCTCTTACCGGGAATGCCAGAGGTAAAGTGCAACTCAGGGAAAGTGTGAAACTCGGTAGTTGGTCAGAATAGGTATACGTAATTTAAACCGAGTGTCCGCACCCATGGGGTGAGTGTTTGGACAGTGAGTGCTGTCCAAGTCTAATGAATGTGTTCAGATAATGAGTGGCCGTGTGACTGCCTAATTTATACAGGAAATCGGAATGCAGACGAGTTAATTATATTCATTACAACGTAATCATATAGTAGAAGATTACGTAATACATGCACAAACAAAAAGCCCTTCGATTACAATTAAACAGTGTCACTGTTGTTGCCTAAACCTGAATATTTATATTGCGATTGTCGGCAGTACAAGCAAACGAAAATAATCAGGATTTCGCTAATCATAATTAGCAGACTTTAACCTTTTCTTCTAAGCATACTTGCCCTTTCCAAAACCTTGGCCCCAAAAAAAAAGGTTTTCTGGTTTTACATGTAAGCTTTATTCCTTTTTATATTCACTTAGAGCACAACTTTATATATTCACTTTTCATTTTTAAAGGAAGACTTTCTTCTACAAAGTTTAAAGGTCACAATTTATCTCTTTTTCAACGTTTCTATTTAAAGTAAAGCCCTTAATTAAATGCTAGTTTTAACAAATACCAAATAAAGGTCCCCAATAGGACAAAAAGTACGAATTTAATGGTTCTGTCCCATAGGTAATACCTGCAAAAGCCGAAGTGTCTTACAATAAGCATATTGAAGGTTATTCATTGCCACTTACCTATTGAGAATCCGCTTTCCCTTGGCCACGGATTCTGGCGTCGGGAGATCCTTGAACAAATAGAGTCGCATTCCGTACATGCTGGCCGAGAAATAATCAACCCAGCTTAGGTTGACCATATCGAAGTGAAAGATTTTCTTATCCGTTGGCGTCATCGACTGCCACAGCTGGTCGGTATTATTCGTCTCCATGGTAAAGGATTGTTTGCTAAAGTGATACAAAAGTCTCACACCTTCGTGGACCTTGTGATAGGTTTTTATCATGACTGGTTTTTTACCTTTCAGTCGTAGGACCGTATCGAGCAGGAGGGCGGGCAGCATGTGGTAGAGGTAAATCCCAACGCTAAAGAGCCAGGGACAATTGGTCCTATGGGTAAATGGGTACCAAATCATCTTGGTATTTGGTACGGGCATTGCATTTATGTAGCATTGTTCTATAATTTCGTTATAGGTAATTTCATTCGATTGGCAGGGTGCGAAAGTGAAAATGGGAGGAACGCTCTTTTTAGCTTGACTGGCTTTCTTTGCTATCTGAACAGGTGTAGCGATGGCCACGTTGACGCAGTAGTCGGCCGGAACTATTGAAGCGTTTGCTTTACCATTAATAAGTACCAAATGCAGAATTCCGTACGCAGATCCATAAATCATGCCTCCTATCCCCTGCAATCCATCAACCCAACCTGGCAATGGCTCCTTGAAGATGGAAAAAACTGCAAGTTAAAAAGGTCGGGTTTAAAAAATGTCCTACTAAAAATGATGACTAAAAAACTAATGATTTGTTTATGAACGGGAGTTCTTAATACCGAAAAGAATGTTATTTTTGAGATCGGTAATACTCAGATTAAGACTGGTGAGACGGATTTCTTCAATCATGTTGAATATCCTAATTTAGACTTCGTAAAATACAATTCATTTCAACTGTAGAATAAGTAAGTTTTCACAAAAGCAATGACATAGGTACGTACTAATGGCTGGTCGGAAAATACCGACTGGAAGGTCAGCCGCCTCCTCCTGAATCACCTGCTCTCCCAGAGCCTTGGTGTAGGTGTAGGTGTTTGGGAATCGACCAAGTAAGGCTGGTGCCATCTTGTTGACCAACTCGGTGCTGAGGGATTCGTTCAGCTCGAGAACCTTGTCTGAGGAACAGGTCAAGTGCTCCGGATAGAAACGCTCTTGGGTGTGGGTAACCACACAGTTGGAGAACGCCGTGGAAATGTGGAGAAAGGCCTCCAGGCGACGCATTTCCTTTGCCAGCTGGACCATCAGACGCACTGACCGCGTGTTGATGTTCAACGCATCCTGCAGTGGCTCCATGAATCTAACTGAAGCGGCTCCATGAATGATCACCTGAACCTCCGTGGTGAGGATCCTCCGATCCCCCTCGCTGATGCCCAAGTCCACCTCACTGCAGTCCCCCGCAATGGGAGTAACATGCTCCATTGCCTGCGGCCTGTCCTCGAGCAGTACCTTAAAGATCTGCACAGACAAATTTAAGTAGTGTTGCCTTCAGTTGCTGTAATTCAAGTTGCTGCCAAACTCTACGATTTTCGGACAGATTCATTAAGAATTTCTTACTCGATTAAAAAAAGTTTTATTCCAGATTACATTTTTCAGCTCGATATTATAAGACATGGAACAAAGCCTTCACTTGCACTCACCTGATCCTTTTTCCAAGTCTCAAATCGTTCTTTCACTCCCTCTCCTCGCTTAGTTCTAACCAGGAAATATATACGTTCCACATCGGTTACCCGCAATAGCTTTTCTATGATCACTGTAATTTGTGGGACAAAACATTGCTATTATCCTTTTGTTGACAATGATTTTTGATATGTGGCGAACCTTTGCCTAGAAATCCTGTGCCTCCGGTTATGAAAACTGTTTTGTCCTTATAAAAACTTAAAATTTCACTCTCCATTTTGTGCTTCGAAAATGACACTGGCTCGTCGGACTTACTTTTTCAAATAAGTAGCCCTTTTCCATTCATATGTATTTATACCATTTTATACCAACCCACATATTATGTAACAGTGCAACGATATGCAAAGGGACCAGAAAATAGAATAAATTTCTTTGTAAATTGAATACTTTACGTACAGGGAGCCTCGATAACTGCAGCCAAACGTAAGCCACGTATTTGTTTTTAATTAATTAACTTGCAATTAAAATTAGTGTTTGTTTGCCGAAGTCCCGTTCTATAGTGTCAATAAATGATTTAAAATTACATACATAGGGAATTGCATTTTTAAACGACTTTCTTTTGTGTTTGCCATTAAGTAATATTAAAACAAAACTTTTAAAACAAACGCCACGTAATAGCCCTTTAAAATTTCTTAACTTTTGCTATTATCTGAACTATTAGCTTTTTAATCGTATGATTTAAAACCTGGTTTTGAGAAACCCTTTAGCCTTTCTTAGTAATGTTTTTAGTATATAATAACTTTAGTGTTGCGATACAAAATAAATGGTCAAACATAAGTTGTATGTATTCCGGCATTATAAATAAAATGAATTTATGACCTGACAATTTCCATTCCATCGTCCGTTCCGACTTATATACTGCGTGCAAAGGAAAGAAGGGTGTGTGCAAAGTTTCTATTCGATATCTTTAAAACTGAGAGACTAGTTTGCGTAGAAACAGACAGACGGACAGACAGACGGACAGGCAGACGGACAGACAGACGGACAGACAGACGGACAGACAGACGGACAGACAGACGGACAGACAGACGGACAGACAGACGGACAGACAGACGGACAGACAGACGGACAGACAGACGGACAGACAGACGGACAGACAGACGGACAGACAGACGGACAGGCAGACGGACAGACAGACGGACAGACAGACGGACAGACAGACGGACATGCTTATATCAACTCAGGACGTGATCCTGATCAAGAATATATATACTTTATAGGGTAGGAGATGTCTCCATTACTGCGTTGCACACTTTTGACCAAAATTATAATACCCTCTGCAAGGGTATAATGATGACAATATTTAAGCCTTTAAGAGCTCTTCATATTAAATATTGAATGAACTCAAGGCCCTTAAAGCCATTTAATAGTTCGATAAAAAGCTGTAGGCTAAAGGATTTTTAATTTAAGAAAAGCAATTACAAATATTTTTAAATGATAATAATGTCAAATCATGTAATACAAAACAGTTAACAAAATAAATAAATACATTTTCTTATCTGTTTAAGATTAGTTTCGCTGAATGAATTTGATCCAAAATCCTGATTTTGGCGCCAATTGAAACCCGGAACTGGCAAGCTCTAGTGGAATGCAGGATTTTGGAGCGGGAGCAAAGCGGAAGTTCTTCAGAAGATAGTAGATGACAGCTTTTGCCTCGAGAAGAGCGAATCGGGAAGCTAAAAAAACAGATGTTTTATTGTCAAGCAAGGTTTGGCAATATTAACCAGTAGATCATATTACCGATGCAGTTTCGTTGACCCAGTCCAAAGGGAAAATATGTAAATGGTTGAATTGTATCCTTGTTCTCTTCGCTGAAACGTTCCGGATCAAACTTCTTGGGATTCTCAAAATATTTGGGGTCACGATGGAAGCCACAAGTGGGCAGCCAGAGGACATCTCCCTTTTTAATTTCCACTTTCTGGCCATCCGCTTCATAAGTTATATCCTTGTTGCACTCTCGGTCAACGGCAATTGCTGGCGGCCATTTTCGCAGGACCTCTGAAACGACCTGATCCAGATACTTCATACCCATGATGACCTCATAGGTCAGCTCCTTGCCCTCCAACTCCGAGTCCACTTGTTGCACCTCCTCGTACAGCTTCTGCTGCACATCCTGGTTCTCCATCAATTCGTGTGCGGTGAAGCACATCAGCACAGCTGAAGTCTCGAATCCAGCAAAGAAAAACACAAAGCACTGGGCGACAATGTCGCGATCGCTCCACTCGCGAACGGCTGACGTCTTGGCCTTCTCCGTCTGGAGCAGACCGCGGGCCTCCATCAGCATGTTGATCATGTCGGGACGGATGATGTTGTGCTCCTGTCGGTACTTCATGGCATCAAGCACCAGACGCACGAAATATTGAGTGCTCTTTTTATCAAAGATTTCAACTTTCACGATCTGAATAGAAGTAAACATATAATAAGATATGTATCCCCCTTTTGATCAATATCTTCGGATAGATCAAAACATTTCACCAACCTTGTTCAAACTCTTCAATGCGAAAAACAACAGGAACTTTAGGTTCTGAAGGAAAGAAAATGTTGTCAACTTTTTGCCCATCTGATAAAAGGTATTCTCCCGATCCTTGAAAGAATTAACATTCAACCCAAAGGCCGTCGAGGCGATAACATCGTTCGTGAATCGTGTACAGTAGTCCTTCATGTCCAGATCTGACTCCTGAACAGACGACTGCTCTTTCTTAAGACAGTCCACGGCCTCCTTAGCCACCTGGTTCATCAGCTGGAACATCTGACGCATCTTGCTGCCAGTAAAGGCCGGGCTGAGAGTGCTTCGCATATCCTTCCACCGGGCATCTCGCATGGAGAACAAGGAGCTTCCAAAGAGATTGCTCATGTCATGCGGATCATCATCGCTGCTGGTGGCGAACACGTTTCGATGATTAATAAAGTGGTCAAAGTCCTTTATGGCTATCTGCTTAATAAGATCTGGGTCGCGTACCATCAATAGTGGTTGTCGCTGCTCAAAGATACCAAAAAATCTAAAAATAAATGAAATATATGTTAATGACCGATAAGCATTTAGTGAGTCAGTGAATTATAAATCTAGAAAGAATTTTTGCATTAAAAAAGATTAGAGAAAGATAACACAAATTAAACGATAGCCGAAAAAATAAATTTGTTTTTACAATGTAAAGCAAGCCTTGAATAAAATACATAAAATAACTTTAAAAACAAGAGGTAACGCTATAGTCGAGTGCCTCGACTATTAGATACCCGTTACTCAGCTAAACAACTTAATATAAATATGCCTTCTTGTATGTTTTTCGCCGCTCGAATTAGCTCCCGATTTTTATGTTAAAACGGTACCCAGGGAACACCACGTGGAGGCCGTTGATGGCGCTTTTGTATTGCGCCATCTACCCCAAGACATTGGTACCATGGGTCATGAAAGGCGGAAATGTAGGCGCTAGACAGGCTTAAGCGTTTAATGGGTTTTTGGGCGTTAGAGTGGGCGTGGCAAACTTTTATTAGGCCAATCGATAGGTATTGACATATACATATCAATTTAAATTTTCATAATAGCATCAAAACTGTGGCCACAGCTTGTGGCTTGTGGGCGTCAGAGGGGGCGTGGCACCATTTTGAAACAAACTTGCGCTGCGTAGGAACTCCGAAAATCTACGTGCAAAATGCCAATCTTCTAGCTTTTATAGTTTCCGAGATCTCAGCGTTCATACGGACAGATAGACAGACGGACAGACGGACATGGCTAGATCGACTCGGCTAGTGATCCTGAACAAGAATATATATACTTTATAGGGTCGGAAACGCTTCCTTCTACCTGTTACATACTTTTGCACGAATAATAATAATAATAATACTCTACGAATAACGGGTATAATAACTTTTATATAAAAATGGTAAAAAGATAATTGCGTTATCATCAAAGCAGTCGTTTAGAGTGGCGCCTTATCAATTATGTATTTGTCCTATCTAAATATGGGCACAGCGAGTGCCCTCCGTAACAAACAACATTTAAAGCTGTCGTATAATCGATAAGATTAAAATAAACTCTACAGATAAACATAACAAAGCAATTCGCAACAGTAATCAAAGGATAAAATGATAGCAATATTCGCATATGTTTGAGATGAATATTCAATTACACAATTGGTTGGAGAGGGTTTGACAATTTGATATTCAATAATTACTCAAACGCAGCCGCACCCACCATATACGTAAGTACATATGTATAGATCACCGATTGCGTGACCTTCACAACTACGGTTGTCAATGGAATGTTGTACCTCCATAGTGAAACGAGTTTAAAATAGTAAACTACTTAATGCACTTAATGTTTTTAATTCGTTTCAATGAAATCAACTCACTTGCTACTGCCGCCTTTTTCGTATAGACCGCAGACTATGTCAAACATGGATTTCCTTTTTAAAAACATATCGACCATGTTGCCAAAATACAAGAGCGGCTTCTCGTAGGGAATGTCCCGATCCTTGAAGAAGCCATTGTTCGCGGTCGCCCAGCGATAGAATAGGACCAAGCCGATCGCAAAGAGTGCCAGAAATTCCCACAGCATGATGGAGGAGCGATTCGTTTGGCGATCCCAGCGTCCAGAAGTTAACTAAATACGCCAAAAATAAACTGGGAGCGTTTTGTTTTCACTACGCAGAGCTTTCGTTTAAAGCTTTAGGTTCTGCCGCTAGATACAGATGTATGTAAGCGGCATTTGATAAAATACTTGTTGTCTATAATATACATATATATGTATACTCGGTTTAATCAAGTATGTTCTTTTGACTATAAATGGTTTAGACAAGCGCAGCATTTCAAAATCATGGCATTTATTGGATTAGGCTGCCGACTCTGGGTCTCAGAGAGATGTTTGGATAGATAGCGCGCTCTGAAAAAAATATCAACAAACAACTTGTATTCGCTTTGCCGCGTAGTATACCGCACATGATAATATAATTGTTTTTTATTTGAATATGTATAATCAGTATAATCAAACATTTAGGAGTATAAATATCTGAGGCAGGGGCTCATCATTTTAAAATCAAGGCATGAAGAGGAAAAGGCTGCAGACTCTGAGTCTCAATAGATGTTTGAAGCCAGGTAACATTTAAATGGCGGACGCCGCGTCGATAGAGAGGTCTAAAAAAATTAAAGCAATTTAATAAAATATATAAATTTCAAAAATTATTAAACTTTACCTAAGCTTCTCCAGGTCCAATTCCCCATTATTATTATAAAACACCAGATTAGCTTTTCGGGTATCCGTTGTACAAGTTCCTCCATACTGCGCAAATTGTTCCCTTAGTTTGCTTAAATCTTTTTCCGTTGTAAAGTGAGCTATTAACCCTGCGAATAACTTGATTTTTGAACTTAATGGATTTAACATTTTTTCCTCCATTTTGGTTTCCTTTTTAACTTCTGATTTCAGCTCTTTAATGGGCTTGAAAAACTCCTTCATCCCCTTTTGAGATGGCGACAAGCTCCGATCCACTTTTTGCTCCTTGCGTTTGCTCACCGGCGGAACTGCCTCATCATCCGAACCTGTTTTTGACCTTTTTAATTTCTTAATGCTACTTGTTCTACTGTCACTTAATTTTTTCTCTTTTTGTGGCGTCTTTTCAACATTCAGCGCTTCTTCTTCATTTCCACAATTGGCCAAGAGCAGATCGACGTTCACATTCTTCTTTGAGGCATCAAACAGATCTTCCAAATGAGCCAGATCATTTGCCTCTTTCGCCGTCTTATCGCTGCGCAGACGGGTAATCCTGGGGAACCGAATCGAGATGCCAGATGCCGAATGAGCCTCGGACTTGGTGAACTCCGCGCCCGTAATCTCCCACACAGGCATTTTTAGCGGATCTTTTGCTAAAACATCTGGCACTAAGGACTTACTGCATAGAAGCCAATTAGGAATATCGTTAGCATCGACACGTTCGGTTAGCTTGATAAGGGATTCGTGTACTTCCGAGTTGGTGGCATCGTCCAAGCCAGAATGCACTTTGGTCACTGTCTTCCACATACGACCCATTGCATCGTAGCAGCCCATGAGAAAAATACTGAGCACGCCACCCTTTTTTCCAGATCCGTACCATGCACCCAGGACAACCAAGTCCGCTGTATCAGCCATCTTGCCTTCGAAAAGGTAATCCTTCTTGACCTTCAACCAGTTTCGCTTGCCGGGCTGATAGGTGCTGCTTGGACTCTTCAGCACCACTCCCTCTAGATTGGCGTGCAATACTTTGGCCGTCATCATAGCCAGTTCCTTCTTGGTCTTGAGAAATTCCGACTCGGAAAGCTGTACGTGCGACTTAATGGGCTTAATATTCTGCTCGAGGATCTCACGGCGCTTTCGGAATGGCCTAGAAGATAAACGATAATTTTAGAAAACAGGCAATGTGGCTACTACTCACAGCTGAGTTAAATCCTCGCCATCGTATAGAATGCAATCAAAGACGAAAAGGCACACTGCAGCATTGGCAAAAGTTTGTTTCTTATGGGCACCCAATGAGCCAAAGGGCAGCAGTGCTCCCGTGTCAGTGTCGACCAGTATGATCTCCGAGTCCAGAATCATTTCCCCGCCTCCTGGAAAGGCTCGTGGTATGTATTCTTTTAGAGCTCTTATCTTATGCTCCACAACTGGCTTCAGATTGCGGCTGAAGAACTTGAAATCGTCTCCCTGCTTGTGGATTTGAACTCGCTCTCCGTCGTATTTGATTTCGCTATACAGTCCGGCGGGGCTCTTCTTAAAGGCTTCTTCAACGGATTTGCAGGCACTGGCCAGCATAGGCGATATAGGAGTCATTACCTGAATTCCGCTCAAGTTTGTTTTCTTAGCCTTCTTAACCGTGCTGATTGCGTTCTTTTTGTTCTCCTTGCCGGCGAACTGTTGCACAATTGCCACCAAATCGCGGGAAGATTGATAAGCGGGATAGGCTTCAGAACCAAAGGCATCCAGAATGTGTCTGGCTCGCGCATTGATCCGAAGGTCGTGCTTCACCAATCGGATAAATGTGCGCAGATCCAGGTCGGTGGCCTTCGTGCATAGCTCTTGCAGTAACTCGATCTGCTCATCCTCCTTGGTGCGCTCCACCAACTTGAGAAGCAGCTGCTCCACCTCCTGCAGGTAGAGTTTGCTTTCCGCTTGGGGCTTCAGTTTCCTGGAAGCAGCAAAGTGCTTGCGCAGCGTTTCCGAAACGTCTCCATCTACAAGCAACCAAAAATTAGCTAATGTTTTTTAAAATGGTTTTTTGGGCACAGGCACAGAACGAATTCCCCCAATGTTTAAGAATTATTATACATGGTAAGGACTCTAACTTGCCCTGCTCCAAATCCAGATGCATTTGCTGCTGGCTGGCGTTGAAAATTCGCGAGAACAGCTTTATCAGCGCTTTGTTTTGCAGATTATAGACACGCTGGTTGGCCGCCGGGATGAGGAACTGCACCCAGAGTAGGGTGTCGCCCTCGAATCCCTTGCCACTGCTGCCACGTTCGAAGAATCGCTGCAAGTTCTCGGCTTTCTTCAGGTAGCTTGGCTCGCCGGCTATTTCATCACAAATCCGACGGAAGGTGTCCAACTTGTTGTCCTCATTGTGCATCCGCTTGCTAACCATGTTTGTGCTGAGGAGACGAGTTAGGAATCTGGCCTGCCACGATAACTTGGGCAATGACATACGCACACTCACTACGAATTAAAAGTCATTTTCTATTTCACAGAACAATGCAAGCAGACCTTTGACTCACGAGTAAACAAATCGGGCACATTCGACTCGAATCAGCTGTTGCTAGCAAAACACGCTCTCGGCGGCGTTTTAATTGGTGGCTCGAGAGTCCTCCAATGCCGTTACGAATTCGAAGCCCATCCGCCGGAACGGGTACAGATTCGATTCCACGACTTTAACGTGCCTACGGAGCACGAGAATTCTACGGGGTGCCAGCCGGGGGATGCACTTCATGTGGTCTCCGAAGTGCGTGGACGCTACGAGACCCAGGAACTCCTGTGCGGCGCCTTCCTCCCCAAGCCACTGATGTCGAACGGACCGCGGTTGCAACTGCAGTTTGTCGGAAAGTATCCACCCGCCATGACCAACAAGGTTCAGTACTACGGATTTCGGGCAGAGTACCGCTTCCTTACCAGTAAGTTTTTCCACTGATTTTTATAGTTATATCCTATTTCCACCCTCATATATCATATCACGCTTTGCTGAATTTACACTTTCTTCACATTTGTGAAATTTGTATTAGAAAAAAAGCAATTAAATGAAATATAGTCGTCGACAGGTCTTTTTTACTTTTGTAAAATATATGCTTAGATCCGCTGGCATTAGAAGCCCGTTTATATATTGTAAAAAAGTTATTTTACTATATCAAGGAGTGAACACATTTATTTTAATGTCTATTATAATTGAGAAGTAGTAATTATCTATAACCAATGTTTCAGTTGACCTATATAATTAAACAATTTATTTTTTATTCTTTTTTATAAATTTTCATTTTCTCCAAAACAAAGCAAAAAAAGATTTTATATATAATATTATTTATATTATTTTGAAAGACTATGGAATTATGTCCGGCGTTCAACAAGAGGACTGTTCTTTCGTCTTCAATAGCAGCGAGCGTATAAGTGGCCTCTTTCACTCTCCAAATTTTCCTGGCTACTATCTGGAAAATGTAGTGTGCAATTATTATTTCTACGGAGCCACTGACGAGAAGGTAGTACTGCACTTCACCTATTTTGATATCGAAGGCATTGGAACGTAAGATCTTTGGTATATCAACACTATTATATTTATGTTATTGTATTTATATATTAACCATCCAGTTGTGACCACCAGACCGCCAGCGACTTCATTGAGTTTTCTAATTTCATGAGCACAGATCGAAAGTACAGCAGATACTGCGGAAAGCTTCAGGATTTCGAAATGCGTTCGGATGGACGTTTTTTTCGCGTCACTTTGCATTCAAATGATCGTTTTGTAGCTATTGGATTTCGCGCCCTGTACACTTTCGAAGCCATTCCCGTAAATAACTCCATCGTTGATCTGAGAGATAATGCCTCTATGCAAAGCTTCGTTTCACTGGCTCCATCGCTTCCGGTTATCAACTTATCGAAGATTATCTTTTGTATTTTGTATATGCATTTATAAAACATAAGAATAACACTCAACCATAGTATTATATCTGCCATAAAAACATTCAGATGTTTGCGATAGATCTGTTTAACTGAATATATTTTCATTACTGGCTTAATTTAATAAGAATTAAAAATAAAGTTACCAATCGTTACATCTTATTTTGGAAAGAATTGCATCCACAGTTAATTTAGAAAATTCAAAATTTTGAAGTTGCGCAAATAAACATCTTAAGACACAAAAATAATCGATATAAAAGTAATCGATTATATCGATTCGTTAGTAGGCAAGACTTTAAAAACCAGACAGTTCGGAATAAAAGAATTATTATTAACTAAAAGCTTAAAGATTTGAAAATATATAGGGGTTTAAAGCCTTTGAAAATCAAATTTTAGAGTAACCTACCTCTATATAATTACTTTGAACAATAATTTCATAAGAGTTTAGAATAATAGCAAACGTGTAAACGAACCACTTGTTACTATCTGCAATCGGACATCACCTGTAAGATTGTGTTTTTGAGTTTTGTAGAGTCACGACGCTACTATCTGCAATAAATACAGCTGTTATTCTGTGCGATTAGCACTATTAACATTTTAACAGTCGGCCGAAGCAGCCGAATTACCTCAGGCTCTGGAGCTGATAACGCAGTTCTAGTCAAAAAATATAAGCGCATAATTGTGACCTCTGGAATGGCGACAAAAAAACTGGATGCCATCATCTTCGGTGCGACCGGGTTTACCGGAAAGTACACGGTGCTCGAGGCGGTGAGCGTGCTTAAGGGTCTCCAATGGGGCATCGCCGGTCGCAACCAAGAGAAGCTGCAGTCGGTGCTTCGGGAAATGGGTGCAAAGTCCAAGACAGACCTCTCCCAAACGCCCATCGTCATTGCAGACGTGAACAATGAGGCGTCGCTACTGGAGATGGCAAAGCGCTGCCGGATTGTGGTCAATACGGCGGGACCGTACAGATTCTTCGGCGAGAAAGTGGTCAAGGCCTGTCTAGAGGCGGGCACCCACCACGTCGATGTCAGCGGCGAGCCCCAGTACATGGAGACGATGCAGCTCCGCTACAATGATCTCGCCAAGGAGCGTGGCGTGTACGTAATAAGCGCCTGCGGATTCGATTCCATTCCCGCCGACATGGGCGTTACCTTTCTGGAGAAGAACTTCGACGGAGTGGTCAACTCGGTAGAGAACTTCGTCCACATGGGTGTCAAGGGTGGAACCAAAGGAACGGGTGCTGCTGCCCTGAACACTGGCACCTGGGAGAGCGCCATTCACGCCATCGCCAACCGGAGTGAGTCGGTGGCCATCCGCCGGAAGCTGTTTCCCGAGCGCCTGCCCAAGTTCCAGCCGGATCTGAAGGCACGAGCTCCGCTTTCCCGTGCCGCCGAGGTGGACAACAAGGTTATCCTGCCGTTCCCCGAAACAGACCGTTCGGTGGTAATGCGCTCGCAGCGCTTCCTTTACGAGCAGGAGAAGAAGCGTCCCATCCAGATGCAGGCCTACATGACTTATCCCTCTTGGTTCGCGGCCAGCGTTGTTGTGCTTTTTGCTTCTGTAATCGGTATTCTGGCCAAGTTCTCCTTTGGCCGCCAGCTGCTGATCAAGTATCCCGGCGTCTTCTCCGGTGGCATGGCGTCCCGGGAGGGTCCCAGCGAGGCCCGAATGGAGCGTTCCTTCTTCAGGATGACCATGAAGGGCACCGGGTGGCCCAAATCTGAGCAGCTGGCCGAAAGCACAGATCAGTACAGCTCACCGCCAACAAAGACATTGACAGTAAGAATCACGGGTCCCAATCCAGGTTACGGATCCACCTGTGTGGCTCTGCTTTCCACAGCCAAGACCATCCTTAACGAAAACGATAAAATGCCTGGCACGGGAGGAGTCCTGTCCCCGGGAGCCGCCTTCCGCGGAACCAGTCTAATTACCGAACTGGAGAAGCACGAGCACGGCATAAAGTTCGAGATCGTGGCCAACAAGTAGTGCCCAAAAATGTACACAAAAACCAATAAAAAAGAAAATTATATCATATATTTAAATTTTGATTAGCGTTTTTCCTAAACTTAAACATGACGATTTTAATTTTTTTTTATAAACAATTTTAGTATTATTTTAATGTGTTTTAAATTATAAGAACTTATTTTTCGAAAATACGTTTTTTAAGTCATTTAAAAACTAGACTTTTTTTAAAATGGGTGAAATAGCGAATTTAGCACTCCGATAAGAAGGCTTTCTTAACAGTAAATAGTTATGTAATATCTTACCGAAAATTGATCAGTAAGTTTGCCTAGGATCATTTACGCAAATATACTGCATACACTAAGTGTGACAGAAAAGAGACAGCAAAAAACAACAATTTGAAAAGATATACATATGTTGATAGCTTTTAAACCGCACGAATAAACTATGTACATAAAACCGTACTTCCAGAGCTATAGAATAAAGTCTTGATAGAGATAAAGTTTTGATAAAAAAAAAAATTTTGGTACGAAAACTGAACAAAAACAGAAAGAAATAGCAAATTTATTCGAAAACAGCAAACTTAACTATTTTTTTCCGATGGTTTATATAGACGTTTAGTGAGCGGCGTTTTTAAACTTAATCTGCGTAAACATACAAAAGGACAATTACGAATGATTTAAGTCCAAGCTTTTACACTGAGCCTTTTTATGCTGATCAATATTTCTGAAAATATTTTATGGGGTCGGGATTGTCTCCTTTACCGCGAACTAAAATATTATACCCTCTGCAAGGGTATTACAGAATCCCTCTGCCTTCTAATATCAATCGAAAGAAGTGGTTCTTCACTAGTTCCGTTCAGTTTTGGAGGGGATTTTAACGCACGGTCACACCGATAGCGAATGGCTTTGTTTGGCCACCACTATCGCCTTTGGGATACCTCTTTGTTGTTTACCTTTTGCTCATTACCATTTTGGACGCCAACGCGAAAATATATAATTTATTAATATGAGTGCTGAAATGTCCGGTTTTCGACGGTTCCTGCATTGGGGCCCAATTACAGCCCTGAGTAAGTAGTGACCGGGCTAATTGGACCTTATAAGCGGTATCAGTCTGGAAAGGATCCAATTTGCAAATGAGTGAAAGTAGAGTTCGTGTGAATGTGAATGAACCGCTCGCAGGATGGGCCCAAATAACAAGGGCCATTAGGTGGGCGGTACTGGCTGCAGCCGCGCCCCATTCCCGTCTTGTTTTGTGTCTGCGCCATATCGTGTTTCATATGCCACCGCACGCCACACATCCGTCGCTCGGAGCCCCAATCGGTTGTCAACCCACCAGGGACTTTTAATTCGCTTAATGTGCCGCGCTAATTGCGTTTTAGTTGTGTGTCGTATGCCCTTTTATTGCCTTTTCCCCAGTCCTTTGGTCGTTGGTCCTTGGAGCCTATCGGGAATTTCACGGAGTTCTCGAACATGGCGTGCGATTTGCCCGTTTGGTCGCTGGCAGGGCAGACGCCATAAGACTTCCGGGCCTCCACGATATTGAACTGATATACAATTGTTCCTGGCATAATGGCTTTATTGGACGCCGGCCGCTTGTTGCTGCTCCTGAAAAGGATTCCAGAATCAGTCAGAGAAAAGCCAAAATGACTTATTACTAGACCGGGGTGCCGGCTAATCAACTCGAAAAGCGACAATAAACTAAATAAATGAGCCTTATTTCCTCTGCACGCAATTGCCAAGCGAGCATGGCCACCAAAGCCACCCCATTCAAGCGAAAAGAGGGCCAGTTCCCTCAAACCGTGTTTATTAAATTTTGGACATGAATCACTCTAATGTTTATCTACCTCTTCTCTTTCAGGTATCATCAAGTGCATAACACTGACGACCCTCTATATGAACTCGATGTGGTGGCCGCCGAATGAATCATTCGCCGGGTTCGCCCACCAGGCCCTGTTCCTGCTGCTCTCCACGCTGGCCACATTCAATTACGTCATGGCCACGTTGACAGGTCCCGGACTGATGCCAAAACAGTGGCAGCCGAAGGTATCCGGAGAACGCCATGGGAAGCGGAATGGAGGAGAAGCAATTGTTGCGACACAATGACTTGCCCACCCCCATTCGTTAGAGACACCTGTTACATTGATAATGCCTTCCATTGGCCCGAAAAACTGGTGACCCGTCACGAACTGCCAAAGTACTTTGTCCAAGGGTGGTTTCAATCCCTTTGTGCATCGTCATTCCAAAGCGGAAGCGATTGTTTAGCGTCCAAATAGAAAGTGGTGAGAGCTCTGTAGGCTTAGAGCCTCTGGGGGGTTTTTTTGTCCGAGTTTCAGCCCAGACAAATGGGCCAACCCGGCCCATTGGCGTGTGTGACTGCTTATCGCATAATCCGCGCCAATTAAACGCTGCAATTTATTTTAAAGAATCCGGAGCCTCCGGGGAATCAGAAAGATGCCGTGCAAGGGTCACCACCGCCTGTAACGTTTTTAGAGTCTAATTCATTTTGTACGGCCGTGGTGCGACCCAAATATAATTTATTAGCGGCGACTCCTCACATTACGGCCGAGCCCTGCACGCGAACGCATTCTACGGGCCCCAAAGTCCGTAATGCAATTACCCGAATTTGCATAAATGTTTTGTAGGCGAGTCCAGACGCAAGAGGGGCGGGCTAAATGGGTTAGTTGGGTGGACCATGGGTAATGGGAGCCGGTCACTTAATGAGCTGTGCGTCGTTAGGTTTTGTTGTACCTGGCGGTTTCGCGGGAGGCGCGCATAAATCACGAATAATATGCCCATTTTCTGTATTTTAATGAATTTAAATTTCGGCAGGAGCCCAAGGACGCAGAGTTCCTGCAGTACTGCAAGAAGTGCGAGGGGTACAAGGCCCCCCGCTCCCATCACTGTCGCAAGTGTAAGTCCACATTGTCGCTTATACATACATATATACATATTATAAAACACCTATAAATAATTTGCGTAACATATAGCCCTGATTTATAATATATAATTCAACAAATTTTAAGTATAATTTAGTTTTACAATATTATTATGTTTTGACAATTTATAGAAGTCAATAGTTGAAAAGTACAGAAAAATAAATAATCTCTTTGGTTGACTTCAAAACAAAAAGCATTTAAGATATAAAGACTTGTATATTAAGGTGTTCAGAACACACAATAAAAAAAGTTTCAATTTAGCCTGCCATATAAAAGTCTAATTATTCTAAATTATGTCATTCAAAGTGTGATTTCTTGTAAATAAGAAGGTTTGCAAATTTTTTTTCACAACTCTTGTACTTTTTAAACATTATATACACAGGTGATCGCTGCGTCAAGAAGATGGACCACCACTGCCCGTGGATCAATCACTGCGTAGGCTGGGCCAACCACGCGTACTTCACCTACTTCCTGCTGTTCTCCATCCTGGGTAGCCTGCATGGCACCGTGGTGTTAAGCTGCTCCTTTTGGCGTGGCATATACCGGTACTACTATCTCACCCATGGACTGGCGTACCTCGCCAACGTCCAGTTCACACTGACCAGCATCATCATGTGCATCCTAGGCATGGGACTGGCCATCGGCGTCGTTATTGGCTTGAGCATGCTGCTCTTCATTCAGCTGAAGACGATTGTCACCAACCAGACGGGCATAGAGATCTGGATAGTGGAGAAGGCCATATACCGTCGTTATAGGAATTCCGACAGCGACGACGACTTCCTCTACCCCTACGATTTGGGCTGGCGCCAAAATCTGAGGTTAGTGTTTAATGACGAGTGCCAAAAGAGAGGCGATGGCATCGAGTGGCCCGTGGTGGAGGGTTGCGATCAGTATACATTAACGGTGAGCATGTGAAATGGTACTTTAGGGTTTGAAAATTACCTTTACCCTTTTCAGCGAGAGCAGCTGGCGCAAAAGGAGGAGAAACGGGCTCGAACCCGAACCTTCAGGTGCATCAGACCTGTCACGGGTCGCTGGCTGCCGATTTTCTCGCAGGGATGGCGGGTTTGTGTAGCCGCTCCCTGCTCCGATGAACCGCGGATCCGCCTGCGACCCGACGACGTGGTTAAGGTCACTCGCTTCCGCAACCACTGGCTCTTTGGCGAGCGGGTGCTCTCCGAGCAGGAGCAGGCCGGAGACCAGAAGCGCCAGCGGAAAGGTCACATCCGCGGCTGGTTTCCGCGGGGCAGTGCCGTTGAGGTCATCGAGGCGGTCCAGGAGTGCGACAGAAATCTCGAGCCCCAGCCGACCCAGAACGGCAACTCTCACAGCCACCTGAAGCAGCAACAACGAAACGGACACGCCAAAAAGTACATGTAGCCCGCGAATCTATGCCACTTCTTCCGGCTTGTAAATAGAATAAGATACCGCTTCAAAACTTGACTTGATCACGCTTATACAGGCCGCCGTCTTGTTTACTCTGTTAACACTGTCGACCAATAAAATCACACGAAAGTTGATATCAGTTTTTGTTGATCGAAGCTAATCAGTTGTATATCAGCAGATGGTCAGCATTATCGTTAGCTTTTTTACAGATAATCGTTGCATCATAATTCACTTCACTTATATTAAATGGGAATAATAATAAAATCCAGATAGCAACAAGATTCAATTCAAATAGTATTTATCAGACCTCAAAACATTTATTTGTCGATTATTCCATAATTTGATTATGTTACAAGTATATTACATATGCATAAGTGTACAAAATATTACCTCAGAAGTGAGCCGCAGGTCATGTTTATGCCGAGCTCATGGCTGCCTCGATTTCCTCGACTGTCCGTGGCACAATTGCAAAGTTCTCGACGCCAGTTTTAGTGATTAGTACATCATCTTCGATGCGCACGCCTCCAAATCTCCGGAAGCGGTTGAACATCTCCACATTGATGTATTTAGCGATGTTTGGATCGGCCAGGGCGCGGTCCATCAGCCAATTGATGAAGTAGCAGCCCGGCTCAATGGTCACATACATACCGGCTCTGAGAATGCGGGCAAAGCGCAACTTGCTCAGCCACGGCTCGCTGGGGCGCTTTGGCTCGGCGGGCAGGTAGCCACCCACGTCATGCACATCTAGACCAATCAAATGACCCAGCCCGTGGGGCTGGAACACGCCGGAAACACCTGCCTCAAGCATCTCCTCCACATCTCCGTTGAGCATGCCGCCCTCCTTGAGGCGCTGCAACATCACACGGCCCGCCAGCTTGTGCATGTCCACCCAGGACACTCCATCTCTTGCCGCCTCTGTAACTGCATTGCGTGCATCCAGCACGGCGTTGTAGATGAACTTCTGGTCCTCGGTGAATTTTCCGTTGGCTGGGAACGTACAGGTGATGTCTGCTGCGTAGCCGCAATAGTTGGCTCCCATGTCGAAAAGACAGAGATCGCCATCCTGGACGGGTCGGCTGTTGGGAGCTCCGGCGTGGCCTATTTTTATCGTGCCATCATTAAAATAAAATAACAAGGTGTTAAAACAAGGAGAATTTAAAAAATTTCGTCTTTTGACTGAAATTACAATACCTTCTGCAATGGTATAAAATAACTCACCGTAGTGCAGGATCGATGAGTTCGTCCCGCTACCGCATATGCAGGTGTAAGAGGCGTGACGACAGCCACCGACAGAGTAGGCGTGGTGCAGGAACAGGGACTCGCCCTCAAACTCCATGCGGCCCGGACGCATGAACTTCATCACCCTAATGTGAGCGTCGGACGAGACCTTAGCCACGTAACGCAGCACTTCGATCTCTTCGGGCGACTTGATCACCCGGCACTCAGACAGGATGGGATAGAGCAAATCGCAGTCGGTCACGTACTTCTCCTTGCCTTCGAACTCAGGCGGCTGAAGGGTAAGTCCGCTATCACTATTAGTGCCGCTTAGCGTGAGTATCAACTTGGGCGACGCCCCCTCCAGATAGACGTTGAGTTCGTCGGCATAGAGAGCCTCGTCCACCTCGTACATATCTTTAAAGTCCTGTGGGAGGAGCAGTTCACCCATCCATGTGCCGTACTCGTCCGGAAAGCGTGGCACAAATAAAACGCTCCTTTGGTCGCCCGTCTTCACGTCGATAGTGAGAATGCCGTAGCACCCCGGCTCCTTGACCCCGAATAGGTACTGAAAGTACGACTCCTGCCGGAAAACGTAGTCCACGTCGGTGTTGTACAAGCTCTTGTCCTTGCCGCCCTCGAGGAGCACCAGCAGGTTTCCCGAATCGAACTTAAGCCCCGGGAGCAGCTCTTGGAGGATGGCCTTGACAGCGCGATCCCTGTTGCCTCGGAAAAGGCTCATGGGCACAGCATGACCCGATCCCATTTGGTAGGCTGCCATGGTGAATCGATGGAGGGCAAAGTTTAACTGGCCTGCTGGACAATACTGAGCACTCAACCCAGTAAGATTAGCTGACAAAGGCAGTAAATTATTTGTTTTTATCAGTGTTTTTATGTTTTTGCAGTATGACCGAGTAACAAACGCCAAAATAAAACGACTTTTATGATCGGTGTTTGGTGACCCTCTTAATCCAGTTTTTTAGTTTTTCTAAAAATTGAATTCGAAAAATGAAAAATTATTCCTAAAATTTTAAATTAATAAAAAATAATTTGTTTTATAAAATTTCCAATACAAGTGTATTCTTCTTTTTCAGCTTTCCTCATTCTCCCGAGATTTAATAACATAATAATTGGTTTTAATTACTTAAACACAAACATTGAAAAATTTCAACTAAGTACTTAATAAAAACAGAGTCACATTTAACTTCCTTTTGTTTTTGAAATATAAATTGGTTTTGAACTCCGAACTGGTTCTTTACAGCGACGCACAACAACTATCGATAGGGTACGACAACTTCAGCATTTCCGAGTCTGGTCACACATGAAAAACTTTTATTGCAAATTTTATTTCTATAATTCGGGAGAATTTGCATTTTAAAGCGGAAAAGAGGCGGTCTCTGCGCCCTAATATTATCTTCAGAACAGCCAACTTGTCAGAGCGGATAGTGGAGCATCACCAGTATTACGTATCGGCCATCAAATCCCAGTGACCCGTTTCCATCCGATATCCAATGTCGGCGTCACAACGCGGCGGATGCAACAACAAATGAGTCTAATTGTTCTGAACCAATAAAGTGCAAGCTGTGTGGGCTGCGGACTCCAATGCACCGCTAGCAGGGATTAGGACCAGTCGGGGCCATGTCCAGTTCGGTGTTTACGGAGGCGCCTAGCGCCCGGCCGGAGTCGGCAGACGGCGATTCAAATCTGGTGGTGGTCTACAGCAAGAATGGAGTCTCCTTCGACGAGCGCGCCATTGGAAACATCATGGGTAAGTATTGTGCCTAAAATATTTCTTCGCTCCTTAACTGATTTTTGTTTTTCTGTAGAGGAAAAATCGATTTCCACTATCAGCGTAGTGCGTCTCACATCGCCCACGCCCAGCATGGTGGATCAGGAGGAGGCCGAGCGGCTGGAGGAGCTGGCAAGCTTCCTAGATGCGGCCACGGACTCTGAAATGGACAGTGACAATGGTAGCCAAAGTGGCGGCGAAGATGCCAGCGATGTAAGCGCCCAGGATGAGGAGAATCAAAACACCGGCGAGGAGAACAACGGTGATTCCACCGAGACGGAAACCGATGCCCCGCGCACACGTAGGCGTGCCGGTCGTAAGCCCAAGGCCATAAAAAAAAAGAAACGTCGCAAACCCAAGGAGAGACCGCAAATCGTGGGTCTGCGGGTGGAGCAATTCTATGCGGACGGGACGGCCGATATGGTTGTGAAAAATGCCCTGAGTAAATAACGTACATAGCTGTGGTCAAAATGATAGACCAAAGAAACCGTATTATTCAGACCACAACTATAAGCAAACCCCTTCGGCATCTTATTAACATAATTCCATTCAATTTACAGAGCTGGCCGGAGTTTCCATCTACAAGAGGACTGCGGAGACAGACGCACTGCTAGAAGTGATTCGTAACGACCACAACTACACACCATTTACCTCTCCGGAGCAACTGAAGAATCACAAGCGGGCCGAAAAGATTGCAATGGAAATGCAGGCCCAAAGCCGCAAGATCATTATGCAGGCACCGGGAAGTGTGAAGTTAATCAATGCCAAAAAGCGGGTCCAGACCATTCCCTTCAGTCCGCTGCAGGTAAAGGTCCAGAGACTGCCCATGAAGCCCACCCCTGTTCAGCAGCCTCCGCATCTGCAACCTAAAGTGCAGCTGATCCGAAAGACGATCCAACAGCCACTGCCAAGACAGAAACCAGAGATTATCGTGAGTCCCATGGCAAGTGTCAGGCCGAGACCAACCCGCGCTCCCGTCAAGGTTATTGCTCCTGTGCAGGACTACATCGAAGACGACGACGACGCCCAAAGCTCGGATCCCGCTGACGAGGAAAATGCCGATAAGTCCTATGACACGGAGGAAATGAGCGAGGATAGCGAAGACTTCCAGGACTCTGACAACGACAGAGACAGCGACATGGACTTCAACATGAGGCGCAGCGGCGGCCGCAACCCGAACAAAAGGAAGAGGGTGAGAAAGGTGGTCAGGCCAGTGCAAACTAAGCCTGCGAAGCCGATGCCCGCGCCTCCACCAACGCCCCAACACTTCCCCGAGCTGAAAAAACGAAAGGAACTCGTGGAACAAAAGGCTCCGCAGATCGGCCAAATTATTCAGTTACCTCCAAAGGCGCCGCCCACAGTAATTGCCCTAGGAAGAGGTCTTCCGAGCACATCGTTCCTCAAGATCCGACCCACACATCAGACGCTGCCCGTCAAAAAGCCTCCACTGCCAACGACAACCGCAAATACCAAAGTTCGCCGTATGCCTGTCGTGCACTTGGGGAGAATAATAAACTCGGCCACTCCCGGGGTTTTTACTACTCCGCCACCGGAAGGAGTCAAGGAGATTATAATAAACAAGAACATGGCCAGTCCCAAGGGCGTGTTTACCAACCTCAACAGCCTGCTGGGCGAAAACAACAATGCAACCATCAAATCTTCACCAGATCCTCTCCGCCATCGGGCCGTAATGTCGCCCAGCACCCCAAGATCGAGCTACAGCCACCAGCTGGCGCCAATTGTGGTTCCTGTTCCTGCTCAAGCTCCTAACCCGTCTAAGGGGTTTATGCCCATCGGTGTGGACACGGCTCAGTCGCATAAGCTGCCCGCCCAAATTGTGATCGAGACCCATCAGAGTTCCTCCGAACTGGCGGCGGAAAATGACAAGCAGCTTGATCTGATCAACTCGATTGTGCAGGATGAGCTGTTAAAGTCAACGCTGGTAGACCAGCCGGCAGTGAATGCGGACGAGGATATACCAAAACTTGTGAAGATGCTGGAGAGTACAGCGGCAGGCCTAGATCAAGCAACAGTGTCCATGCCCACCCAGAACTTTAACAATTCAGAGATTCAGGGAGTCAACAATTCTGGTTTAGTGGATCCCATCGACATTATGGAGACGGCTGACGAGGATGAGATAACGGCAGACTTCCTTCAACACGTGGTAGGTCTCATCGAGGAGGACAAACAGTTTGAGGCGGAGGTGGTGAAGCAAGTGCTGGCCAGCACCGAACCAGGATCCCTGGATTCCATCGTTTCTTTACCTGCTTTACCTACCTTGACACAAGCGCCAATTGTTCAGGTTAGTTTAAAGCTTTCAGCTTATTGATTTAAGCTTAACTCTCACTATATTTTCAGCAACAACTGAATCTGCTCTCTCAGGCAGTTCTTGCTGAACCTGCGATGACCTCATTGCCCATTGCCTGCAGTACACCTTCGAGGAGTTTGGTAAACCCTCTTTCAACCTCGGCGAAAGTAGTGCGTAACAACGGACGGGTCATTTACCTTCCTCCTATAGAGGCGCCTACTACACGGGCCAAGCGGCGGGCGCAATTTCCTCCGGACTCGGGAATGAATACGACTAGTACGGGGGATCTGGGCAACCTTTCTTTTGGTGAAACGACGCTGGAGACAAGCGTTAATCAGCTAGCCAATAGTAGCAGCCTCAGCAATGATAGCCAGTCGGGAATTGGGCCTAAACGACCAAATCCAAGAGAGCCATCGCTGGCCAGGCGTTCAACGGTGCCCAGAAGATCAAAGAAGCCTAACACGAGTCAGAGCAATGATCCCGATGCTTCAGAATCTCAGGAAGATGACGATGATCCCAACAAGTAAGCGATCGGTTATAAGCCCCAGAAATTTAGTTTTATAACAAATTTCTATGAGAATTTATAATTTTGTATAATTTTCTTTTAGGCTCTGGTGTGTTTGTCGTCAGCCGCACAACAATCGTTTTATGATCTGCTGCGATTTGTGTGCCGATTGGTTCCATGGAACTTGTGTGGGGGTGACCAAAGCAATGGGCACAGAGATGGAACAAAAGGGCGTCGACTGGAAGTGTCCCAAATGCCTTAAAAAGCAGGAGGAAAAGGTAATGTGACATAAATGATTTCGAGTCAATATAATATGATTGATTGCCTTATTTTAAAGAGCCAACCAAGGATAACGGAAATGTTGGTTACCAAAACATCCGCACAAGCCGAGGAGAAACCAAAAGAAACCAAAGTACTAACGTTGTCAGCGGATTTGGTCCAGGTTACGACTCCTTTGACGCCCAGGAGAACTCTCCCGGTTGGTGTTACTGTGGCCAGTTCTCCCATACGAATTCCCATGATGAAGCCGCTCAAGAAATTCCCATCCGGTACTATCCCTCCCCAACAGCAGAAGCTAAACTTCATAAAATTGGGTCCATCTCCTGCTAACCGCGTTTCGGAATCGATATGCGTGGTGTGCAAGCGAGCAGCCAGCTCTCATTCCGTTTACTGTGGTGAGGAGTGTATACGCAAGTATGCACAAAGCGCCCTTCAAGCACACTCACCGACCAAGGGTCCAGATAGTCCATTGCCACATAACGTCAGCACTCAATCGCCACTAAACAACTCCCTGGAGGCCAAGAAAAACAAGAAGAAGGATCTGTTTGAGGACGTGTTGCGACAAGCGGACTCTGTGTCGAAAGTTGAACGGGTAAGCATAAGACTGTATTTTAACTTCAGATATTTAACTTATTTTTTAATAAAATACGTTTTAGATAAATGTATTTGAACGAAGAAGTGGACGAGTAATCACTGGCCACTTGGCACCCACCGCACATCAATTCCGAAAATGGCTTCAGGAGAATCCCACTTTCGAGGTGCTGCCCTCGGGAACCCTTCAGTCAACCGACACAGAGGTAAGTCGATTTTGTTCAATTGAAAAATAATTCATAAAATGTATTGCTAGAAGCGTCAGCTAAAAAGGGCACCAGAAGTATCCTCCGCCGACGAATTGGGAGGCCCTGCAGTTCCAAAAAAGCCGCTTGAAGCTGCGACGAAACTTTCCCAACCCATCGGAGTTCAAGTCAACACACTAGGCATCTCCCCGGCGCGTCCCCTGCCCAAGAAGGATAAGGAGAAAGAGAAGCCTCCAGCACAGGTGGCAACTCCCGGTCGAAGCGATGGAAAACCCGAGCCTGTTCGAATCGGCATCCGGCGGTCCCTCAGGGAGCAATTGCTGGCGCGCATCAAGGAAGCCCAGGCTGAGGAGCAGGCATCCAAGCAGACCACAAGCCAGTGGCTGACATTAAATGAGGTGGACCAGTTTGTCAAGAGCGTGGAATTGGAAATGTTTAACTCGTTCGGAAGAGACGTGGGAGCCAAGTATAAGGCCAAGTATCGCTCGCTTATGTTTAACATCAAGGATCGCAAGAACCGGACCCTGTTCGAGAAGATTTGTGCCAAACAGGTGGAACCCAAGCAGCTGGTGCGGATGACTCCGGAACAGTTAGCTAGCCAAGAGCTGGCCAAGTGGCGAGAGGAAGAGAACCGACATCAGTTGGACATGATCAAGAAATCCGAGCTGGACATGCTGTCATGTGCCCAAAACTATGTGGTGAAAACCCACAAGGGGGAGGAGGTGATTGCCACCAAGGTGGATGTGACCCTGCCCGAAGAGGACATCAACGAACCGTCAACGGTTGATAGAAAACAGACCTCGCTGGTCAGTGAACCAGATACCTCCACACTTGAACGTTCCATATCCAGGGACAAGTCGGGGACATCCAAAGAGAAGCGTCACAAGAACCACAAACATCATCACCGCAAGCGGAGTCGCAGTCGTTCCAATAGTCGAGGTCGGAACGTCGAGAAGCGCCATCGGAGGCACCACAACGAGGGAGAGTCGGGGACTGGTTCCGGTGGAGGGGAGCGCGAGCATCGGTCCCGTGAGAAACAGAGTAGAGAAAAGGACGAGACTGTTCCGTCGCCTTTACCCAAAATGAGAGACGAAAATGATCTGTCGCCGCTCCCCAAAAAGATTCCAGAAAGAAAAACAGAGGCGAGTGCCTACAACCTGATTGATCAAATTCTGGAATCTGAGAAAACGGTTGAGCAGGCAGCGAATCTGGGACAAGCTAAGCCGTCACCCAAGCCACTTCCAACGCTTCCAAGTTCCTCAAAAGCCCCCGAGCCGATGGATAACTACTCGCGCTATGTGCATGGACAAACCACGAGCCCGCTGTGGTCTGGACCCCTTAAGATGATTGATGTGACCGAGTTCGAGATGACGATGTACCCTGTTCAGGGTAACTGCCACCAGATGGGCAAGCTAATGCCAAACCAGCTGGACGTAATCGGTCGCATTACCCGCGTAAATGTCTGGGAGTACATCAAGAAGCTGAAAAAGAGTCCTACAAAGGAAGTTGTCATCGTAAATATATTCCCTGCATCGCCCAACGACACGTTCAAGTTCGATCTTTTCTTCGACTACCTCGACTCGCGAGAGCGGTTGGGCGTCATGGGAGTGGATTCGGATCAGATCAGGGACTTTTACATATTTCCGTTGGGTACCGGCGATGAGTTGCCACCTGCACTTCAGACCTCGGAGCGAGTGCCCTTTTACGAGGACACCCAGAGACCGAACACCCTGCTGGGGATCATCGTGCGCTGTCTGAGCAAACGACCTCTGGAAGCTCAGTCCACGCCTCCATCAGTGCCTTCTCCGGTTCCCGCTGCTAGCAGCAAGGTGGCAAAGGTAAGCAGTTTTGAACTTTTAAAATGATTTGCAATGATACAAATTTAAAATGTGAAATGCTGTTCATCTTGCAGAAATCTCGCAGCACCAACTTGTTGACACCGCAAATCAGCCCCAAACGTAAGGCCAGCACACACTCCACAAGCTCCAAGGATGATGAGTTCGATATTGATGCCATCATCAAGGCGCCAATTGCAAAGCTGCAGAAGGGTATGTATACGCAATAATTTGTTTAAAAATGGCTTTCCTTAATGCTAACCACTCTCAGCGTTACCAAAAACGGTGCCCGTGCCACCGGTTAATAACGATGCCGATGAGCCCTACTCGCCTGGCGGCTCTGACGACGAACTGGTACCGGCTGAACCAAGAATTCCAAACGATCTTGAGCGGCAGGTTAATGAAATCAACAAGCAAATTGCCGCGCAACAGATGGAAATTGCCGGTCTTCTTAAAGTGGAGCCTACGGTAAGTTCTGGATTTTCAATACCAAGGCTTTTTTCAATTGTTCATTCCACTTCTCGCCTCTAACAGGGATCCGCGTCCTCGTCGAAAGTTCTAGCCGGCATATCAATTCCGCCAAATCTTTCAAAGATCTTGGCCAGCATCAAGGACAAGACGGATCTGTCTGCCAATCCCGGCGACGGGGCTGACGAATACAATCCCGAGGACGCAATCACCACGTCAAGTTCATTTGGTGAGTCAGCTGATTGCTATTGAAATCCGAATTTTATAAAAGCGCTCTTGCAGCAGCAAAGCCGAAGAGCAAAGGTCGTTTGGCGCATCTAAGTGAAGCTGAGCTTCTTAGCATGGTTCCGGACAATCTGGCTGGCGTGATTCCCACCTCGTCGAAAAGCCGCCACCAGCAACCTCCGCCGCCGCTTCCGCCACCGCCACCACCTCCGGGTGTCTAGGGGTCGCCCACCTGGAAGTAGGCCTAACCCGCGCGCTAATCCTTTAATCGTTATTAGTTTCTGAATGAAATTCACGACACTTGATTTGAAATTCTCCCTCGCCTCTCATTGTGTACATTCTCATCCAGCGAATTCAATACCATCTCTGTATTATATCTGGCCAATCGGAACTATTTAGTTTTCAGCCCTCCTAACCCAGCCCTCGCACTTTAACAGGATCTTTTTTCGCGTTGCAATGCAAGTTAAGAATCGGTTTTTCGCATTATACTCTATTAAATCCTGTACATTTCCTCGAAAATAAAAAGTGCTACGTAACATTTGTTTTAGGGATACGATAATCGTAACGATTCTTTATTTCTGACAGAACTTAGTTGACCTCACAGGGATCGTCCTTGCCGCTAAAGTGGGCGCACGTGATCTTGGGACCGTTGTGCACCCTTGGAATGGCGATCCGAAATAGTGCGCCATGTGGCATGCACGCACAGATCTTGTACTGGACACTGCCGGTGCGGAGTCCCATCTCCGAGCTGACAATTGGGATGCGGCTCATGTCGAGGAAGATGCCCGTGCCAGCCTCCAAAATGGTGGCACCCTGCGTGGAGTTGATAGAGACGTGGTGCTCGGCCTGCATGTCCACGCTGGCTCCATCGAAGTAGATGCCCTCGGAGCCCCTAATGGCCATACGTCCATCACTCTCCATGACCAGAGAATCGTCGATGGGGCTTGCGATGGCGCTAGCGCTCACCACCTTGGCGTACAAGGCCTCTACTCCACCGGGAATGTTGTATTGCGGACGGTGGGTGGTAAAAATGGGCTGCTTGTCGACTGGGTCCTTGACCTCGAACAGATTAGTAGCCTGGATAAGGATGCCCTCCTTGTTCAGGACTATCCTATCGCGTTCGTTGCTGGCCCCGTTGGCATTGCGGAATACCCGCACATGGACGCCGGCCTCTCCGTCGCCGGCATCACTGCTGATGGTCACTGGTACATCCGAGAAGCCGTGTATCTGGCCAATCGAGTTTGTCTGCACCCGCTCCAAGTCCGTGGAGCCGTAGAACTTGACCACATCCTCCTCGGGAATCACCTCCATCCCCTGGACTCCCTTTCCCAAACGCAACACTCCCACAATAGTGAGAGTCAGGATGAGATTGCCCACGGTTAGGACCAGAAGGAGAATTACAATGGTCCAGAAGGCAAAAGTGTTGCGTCCTTGATGGCCTGGATGAAGGCGGGAGCAGCTGTCGCTGTTGTACTTCTCGTCGAAGTAGTCTCCAGTATCCGTCTTCGAGTCGTCCCGGCAGAAATCCAGTTCCGGCACCGCTGCTCCGATAGGCAAGGTGACGGACAGCGCGTTCTCCGAGTTGGCATCGTCGGAGTAGGACGGTGAAGGACCTCTAATAAAGGTGTTCTCAAACGTGTTCATCATTGGTTCAGAATATATTCTGTGCTTCTCTCGAAAAACCGTCTGTATCCAGTGGCTACAAAAATAGTGCATGTACATGTGAGGAATACAATTTTCTGACATGCGCAGATATCTCAATCCGCCAGTTTTGAATACTATCTGCATTCGGGAGACTTTTTAGAAATAAAAATAAGAAAATAAATAATAATCTTTGCATAATACATTTTTCTAATATTTGTATAAACTTGAAATAAATTTCAGAATTTAAAAAAAATGTATGGCACATAATTTGTTAAATATCTAATTTACAAATTTGTTTTATAAATTACACTTCTCAATACTATTTTTAAGATGTATAACTTTTAAGAAATTAAATTAGTTTAGTTAAAGCAAAACCTAAACGGATGTGACATTTTGGAAGTATCTTTATACCCTTGCAGAGGGTATTATAATTTCAGTCAAAAGTTTGCAACGCAGTGAAGGAGACATTTCCGACCCTATAAAGTATATATATTCTTGATCAGCATCACCAGGAGAGTCGATCTAGCCATGTCCGTCTGTCCGTCCGTTTCTACGCAAACTAGTCCCTCAGTTTTAAAGCTATCTGCTTGAAACTTTCCCAAAAGTTGTATTTCTATTGCAGGTAGTGTATAAGTCGGAACGAGCCGGATCGGGCCACTATATCATATAGCTGCCATATAACTGAACGATCGGAAAAGCCATAACGTTGGTGTTTTTAAAGTTAGGAAGTTGGGATTTTTTATAAGTTTTATTTTTGGCCAATTAATCCGACCTACCAAATTTCATAAGGATCGGACGACTATATCCTATAGCCGCCATATAACTGATTGATCGGATATGCCATAACTTTGGTGTTTGTTAAGTTAGAAAGTTGGGATTTTCTATGGGTTTTATTTTTGCCGAATCAATTCGACATATCAAATTTCATAAGGATCGGCCGACTATATCCTATAGCTGCCATATAACTGAACGATTGGAAATGACATAACTTTGGTGTTTTTAAAGTTAGGAAGTTGGGACATTTTATGAGTATTAAGAATACATCATATGAATAATTTTAAACAATATAATTTATAAAATATTCTGCAAGGGTATATCAACTTCGGCTCCGCCCGAAGTTAGCTTTCCTTTCTTGTTTTTTGACTATAATTACATGATTATAAATTAATTTGATTTGATTAATTCAAATTTGAAGCTATCGTTTATAGTTTACCAATAGTGTTTACTAGTTTGTTTCGTTTAAATTCATTTTAAAAGTAAGTGGTATTTTTTAAAAATATAAATAATATTAAACGCTTTTTATTCTTAGTCTATAATTTTTTTAAGGCAGTGTTTGAAAAAAAAATAAAAGAAACAATTTGAACGGAACCAGTTCCGAAATAAAATATCGCAGCCCTGTAGAAAATGGCATGTGAAAAGGGCTTGACTTTGGTGTATTTCGAAGTTGTAGTTACGGTCATACCGCCTGTCTCCATTTTTCAAGATGTCCTTTAAGGTGAGCTTTTGCCCAAAATCTTAAGTCCTGACTAACCACCAACTGCCCACAATAAACAGCCAATTGATCCGAAGCGTGACGAGATCCGGCGCTATTTGGAGCGCGGCAGCGTCCTGGACTCACTGACCAAGATCTTCATACGCGTAATTAAGGAGCGCCCGGAGAATCCGATGGAGTACATCCGTAACCACATCGGAGTGGTGCGTCACCAACACGACAAGTACGAGCGCCTGCAGCAGGACCTGCAGCTGGCTAACGAGGAGATCCAGCGGCTGCGTGGCATTATCAACAGCATCAATCCGGATGTGCTGCAGGGCCATCAGCCCGTGGCCCCCAGTGAGGCGGCCCCAGAGATTCAAGATGTCGTGGCAGAGCCAACTCCAGTTGCGGAGGAGAACGTAGAGGCCAATCCAGAGAAACCTGGAGAAAGTTCAGCAGCAGTTGCGGAGGTAACAGCTGCTGTGGAGGCCTGCCAGATTGAGGAGAAAGCGGTCGCTTCCAACGAGGTGGCTGCCGTCCAAGTTCATCCCAATCCATCCGTCCAAGCCGAGGCCAGTAGCGCCAACGAGTAGATCTCAGGAGCCAGCAGCTCACACCAAAAACATCCCATCAGAACGCATCCATTTAGAACAAGTGTAAAGTATTTTCCTAAACGTAAATGTAAATAAAGCGAAATACAAAATATGCAGGTCTGCGAATTATGGATTTTTCAAATGTTTATTGAAATCAGTTTCATAATTCATACACTTTTTATATCATTTGTTTATTAATACAAAGGATTATTGATAATACATATTAATAATAGTTAATTTTTAAAAAAACACATCTTAAAAATGACGGGTTGGGGATCGATTGATTAATGACGAACGGAAAGGCGGAAAAGAGTTGAATGCAAAATAATAAATTTCTTTGATTTGGGTGCAGGTATTTCTGGGTCCATTTGATCGGACTGCAATGTGGACGAACAAAAACTGATTCAAGGTCGAAACTTAGTGTTTATATTTCACTTCTTGGCAAGCGTTCTCCTCTGTTCAACGATTTCCCGTCTTCGATTTTTTGTTTTGCTTTATACTCTTAAGGCCAAAGAGCGCTACAGGGCCCCCTTTCTATATATGCTTTGTGACCGACGAGGTCCAGTCACTCTCCGTACGTCTAATCCAATATTATGCTGGGTGCTCTGCTCGTACGGACCTGTTTACCTAGTGTTTAAAATTTGGACAAAACCTATAATCGCAGGTGTGTGTATGGGTGGAGTGTTGGTCGGTAGATATATGTATATATGCGGGGGCTTTTAAAAATAAATATGTGGCTTTAATCATGGTATTTGTCAATGTGTTTGTAATTGCGAATAAAATCTCATGAGGGAAAAACTATAATCTTCTGGTAAGGACCCAGGAAGTCCTTCGGTCGAGGTTCTGCTCCTCCATGCATTCGCTGACTGTTCGCGTTGTTGAGGGTTTTTTTTGTTGATTTTGACTCGCCCCGGCTGCCGATGATAAAATTGACCAAAAACAGAGATAAGGTTGAGGTGAGTGATTCACTAGGCACTAGGTTACTCTGCCTTAGCAGCCCACACTTACGTTTCATCCATGATCTGATGTGTGGTTTCGAAGCATTTTATTTCTGGTTGTTGGTGTGTTTTTGTTTGTTTCTTGGTTGTTTTCGTTTTCTTGTTTTTTTGTTTTATATAGAAAAAGACTGCTCTTGGTGCTGTGAGTGTGTGATATTACTTTTTACGCTTGTCAGCCGGCTTGAGGATCTGGAACGAGCACATCAGCGTGTCGTCCACGGACATCATGGCGCCAGCATTGTCGAACTCGCCGCAGTAGTTTGGCGCCGAGAAGAGGGTGACCAGCTGACGCTTGGCAAAGAACTCGTACCCATCCTCGACAACCTGATGGGCTCGGCAGATGAGATCGAACTCGTGTTTCTGCAAGAACTTGGCCACCACCTCGGCGCCGAAGGTGAAGCTGACGCCGCGGTCGTTCTCGCCCCAGCCCATGGTGTCCTTGTCCGGATCGGACCAGAGCAGATCACACAGCAGTCCCTGGTCGGGCACATCGGTGGGGCGCATGATGCGCCGGATTTGCTCCATGGAGGTCAGATCGGGACTGAGGCCGCCGTGGCAGCAGAAGATCTTCTCATCGACGATGGCCGCCACCGGCAGGCAGTTGAAGCAGTCGGTGAAGGTCTTCCACAACTTGATGCTGTAGCGACGCTTGCACTCGTCGTAGAACCCGTAGATACGATTGATGCTGGCGCACTCGTGGTTGCCGCGCAGCAGGAAGAAGTTCTCCGAGTATTTGATCTTGTAGGCGAGCAGCAGGCAGATGGTCTCCAGCGACTGCTTGCCGCGATCGACGTAGTCGCCCAGGAACAGGTAGTTCGACTCCGGCGGGAAGCCGCCGTACTCGAACAGGCGCAGCAGGTCGTAGTACTGGCCGTGGATGTCGCCGCAGATCTTCAGCGGAGCCTCCAGCTCGAGGAGAATGGGCTGCGAGAGGAAGATCTCGCGCGACTTGAGGCATAGGCCCCGGATCTCGCTTTCCGAGAGCTGTACGTTCTTGCCTGGCCGTGCCCCACGCACTTCCAGAAGTCGTGATATTATGCTGTCGATATTCATCACGTCGCCCATGTTTGCTGCTTGATCTCTGGTGCACTGCTGCTACTGCTGGTGTCGAGGATGCCGCGAACGATGGTTGGTAGCGCCGAAATAGCCTCGAAATCTGTAATTTCCCAAATCTATTTCTGCTAAATACTTTTCACAGCTAACTAGTATGAAAATTTCTCCAGTGTGTCCACATTGCCCGAGCAGCAGGAAGGAATGAAACAGGCAGTTAGTCATGCTCAGGTGCGCATGGCTGTCCCTTTCTCGCTTTCTCGCTGGTCTTCTGCGTCGTACGCTTGTAACGGGTGCGAGCGGGCTGGCAAGTGTGCACCTAGGTAGTGCTGCCACATCGGGGAAAACGCTGTCTGGCCAAATTAACGACGCCATTTTGTCTATTCGATTAATTATCGATAGGGCACTCGATAAGCTATCCGTCTACGCCCGTCTATCATCCAATTAACTGTTAAATTAGGCGGGTTCAAATCCGTAAAAAATGCTTCTGAACGATATTATTAGCGGAAAAGTAGATGACGCCGTATATATTATTGCGGAAATTGGCCAGAACCACCAGGGCTGCCTGGAAACGGCCAAAAAGATGATTTACGAGGCCAAAAAATCCGGGTGCCATTGCGTTAAGTTCCAGAAATCCAATTTGCCCGCAAAGTTCACGCAACCCGCTTTGGATCGGGAATACATCAGTGATCACGCCTGGGGAAGGACTTACGGAGAGCACAAGGAGTACCTAGAGTTTTCCAAAGATCAGTACCTCAAACTGCAGGCCTACAGCGAGGAAATAAATGTAGACTTTACAGCTTCCGCAATGGATGAGGTAGTATCTAGTAATTAATCTTGACTGATATATTTTCTTTAATACAATCAAAATCTATTTTCTGAAAGCTCCAATATTAATTCCTGTTGATATACAAATATTAAAAGATAACCTACAGAAGTAAATAAAGTTACGGTTTTCCATCTACAACTTAAGTTAAAACATCATAGAATACTCAAATTCTGATCCACTGAAATAATCTGGATAAATTAAAAAAAATTTTAATTAATTTCGAGATCAGTTTGAATTTTTCGATTTTCTAACCTCATCCCATTATAACTTATACTTATGATTTTTGATATCTCATTTATTTATAAACAGTGCTCTCTGGACTTTCTGGTCGAACTGAACGTGCCGTTCATTAAAATTGGCTCCGGAGATGCAAACAACTTTCCTCTTCTGAAAAAAGCGTCCCGGTTGGATTTGCCCTTGGTAATCTCCACCGGAATGCAGACCATGGAAACGATCGAGAGGATTGTGCAAACAATGGAGGATGCTGGAAAACGGGACTACGCTCTAATGCACTGCGTTTCATCTTACCCAACGGCCCCTAAAGATTCCAAATTGCAACTGATTTCCATGCTGAAGAGGCGCTTTCCTGATGTTCCTATTGGTTATTCGGGGCATGAACTGGGAGTGGTCATTAGTCAAGCAGCTGTCTTGCTAGGAGCACGCATAGTGGAGCGCCATTTCACGCTGGATAAAGGTCAGAAGGGCTCCGACCATCAATGCTCCCTCGAACCCCAAGAATTGGGAACCCTAACCAGAGCTATTACTAACTTTAACCTGTCGGCAATTCCGCTGCCTCCTAAAGAAATCTTACAAAAACTAAACGGCGGTCAAGAACTGGAGGAAGCTCTTCAGGACGCTCAGTGCAAAACAATTTTACCTTGCGAGTTACTCTGTCGAAATAAACTGGGCAAATCCATCGTTGCAGCTAGGACTATCAATAAAGGGCACAGACTGCAGTTGACGGACATCGCTATCAAAGTCAGCGAACCCAGCGGCCTAACAGCGGAATCATACATGACCATAATCGGCAAGGAAGTAACAGACAATCTTGGTGAGGATGAACCCATATTTGGGAGTAGTATAATTCTTTAGGTCAAGAGCTTTGGAAAAATACATGAAGTGCAACATGAAATACAGTTGTAAAATAAATAGACTGAGATGTTTTACTCTGCCCCATCGTCGCTGCCGTCATCCTCGTTCTCATTCTCGATCATTTCGATGTCCTCCTCGAGGTCGCCCTCCTTCTTGTCCGTGGGCTTCTCGTAGACAGCGGTTAGGGGAGAGACGCACACGCCGTTCCAGACGGACATTTCGCGCACGATGCTGGTGTTGCCCTCCAGTCCCAGGATGTGTTTGTACCCGCCGTGGGCCAGGACGCGGAGCAGCGTCTGCGACGTGTAGCAGCACACGTCCTGCTGCTCTAGCGTCATGGCAGTGTGCACCCGGATGTGGCCCGGTTCTGTGGGATCCGTGATGCCGGCCGAGCCGGGCAAAAAGAGTCCCGCGGAGAGCAGCTGAAAGACGCGACGAAAGGCTAGATTGATAGGCAGCGCCTGGCGCGAAGGGTTGTTCATGATGGCCAAGTGGGCAATCAGGTCCAGCATCCAGGCCGACAAGGGCGCGAAGGCGTCGAAGCGCCTGGTGAGATCCTTGAGAATGCGAATGAGCACCTTGATCGAGGAGTGGTGGGCGTTCTCCTCAAACCAACGCGTGTGCCGTATAGCGGCTAGATGGCTCTGCATCAGCTTGTGATCCAAATGAATCTCCGGCTCTAGCTTGCGCAGGTTCTGCGGTAAGGTTGCGATAAGGATGCGCACCTTGGCATGGACGTTGGCGATGTCAAAGCCGCGCTCGTGAATCTGGACGGTATGCTGGTCGCCCTTAGTCAGAACCTCAGTCTTCATGCTGGCCTTTAGGTCGGCCTCCACCTTCTTGGCCAGGGCATCGACCGACTCTTTGGTAGGCAACGTCTTCAGGATGACCACCACATCGGCCACATTGTTGCCGGTTAGAATGGTGCCTTTCTTGAAAGAGCCCACTTGACGCACTTCCTCCAGTTGCTGTTCATGGATGACATTGAGATTTTATGTCTGGCTAGATATCGTAATATACTCACACAAGTAGTCAGATCGCCGGGAGCCACTACCAGATTGTCCAGAACAGCCTGCACCTTGGTCACCAGGTTCCCGATGGCCGTCTGCTCGCTGGGCGTGGGGCTCAAGTCCTGGTTGCGCTTCAGCAAAGCCTGCCGAGAATATTATGATTAAATTTAATCCGCCACGCATGTGCGTTTATTGATTTACCGCAGTCAGAGCCGAATCGTCCACTGAACCGGCGAGTGGGACTTTGGGAAAAAGACCTCCGCCAGGGTCAAATCGAACGGATGGCGGGGCACAAAGGTTTTCTTGAACGGCGGCCGGATGCCTCCGCGCATGGGGCGCCCACCTCGGAGAGCTCCGCGAACCATATTCCTGTGAGGATGAATTTTAACTTATTTTCGCGACGCCGGAGCGTTCTGTTTTACTTGAGGGATGAGAACAGTGTGCCCGGAGTTAAGCCGGCAAAAAACACCATGAGTGCTATGAATTGTATGTCAAAAGACCAAAATAAACCAAGTAGATAGTTTCTGCTGCTGATGTAGAATAAATGTATAAACGTTCACACAGAGTGGAGTTGAAGTGAAATGGTATACAAGCCGTGGAAAAAGAAACAGGACAGTGCCCTTCTCAAAATTTGAAAATTTAAAAAAAATAACGTTATTTGTAAAAAGATAACGTTGTAAAATAAAAAAACGACCGTAAAAAAATGTTGCAATGATTTGATGATATCCCAAACAATAAAATTAGTAACATAAAAGATTAAGGACTTTATAGTTATATATTTTTTAATAATTGTATTTGGTCCAAAATAACACAGAAAGGACGGTATACTTTATAAAACGTTAAAGTGTGTGGCCAAAAATTCAGAGTGCTATTTTTGAAGCAGTGTTCCTTTTCTAGCATTCCGGATTTGGTCACACTGCCGCCCAATTGCTGTGTCATTTTTGTTTCTGTGCGAAGTAAGTCGGCTTTTTTATTTTAAACATCAAATTACTGCTGCTAAAGCCTAGGAAATATGGCTACTGAGCGCTACAGCTTTTCGTTGACCACGTTCAGGTGAGAAAACCGGGTTAACCGATGCATCCCATTTCCAAATGGAACTTAACCTGCCGCCATGACTGGGCATAACTACAGTTCTCGCAATTTTGCAGTCCCTCTGGAAAGCTTGTCCAACTGGAGTATGCATTGGCGGCCGTATCCGGCGGAGCTCCCTCCGTGGGAATCATGGGTGAGTATCCCCAGATATCTGCATTGTTCATTTAATATATACTCCTCCTTTGGATGCAGCTTCCAACGGCGTAGTCATTGCCACAGAGAATAAACATAAGTCTCCGCTCTATGAAGAGCACAGTGTGCACCGCGTGGAGATGATCTACAAGCACATAGGCATGGTCTACTCGGGAATGGGTCCGGACTACCGCCTGCTGGTCAAGCAGGCCCGCAAGATCGCCCAGACGTACTACCTGACCTACAAGGAGCCGATTCCAGTGTCTCAGTTGGTGCAGCGCGTGGCCACTCTCATGCAGGAGTACACTCAGTCTGGGTAAGACAAAATCAGCTCTCCGAGTTGTATTCCCTGATAACAGATCCCAATCCTTTCTCCAGTGGTGTGCGTCCTTTCGGTGTTTCCCTGCTGATCTGCGGCTGGGACAACGGCCGTCCGTATCTTTACCAATCGGATCCTTCGGGCGCGTACTTCGCCTGGAAGGCCACTGCCATGGGCAAGAATGCAGTCAACGGCAAAACCTTCCTGGAGAAGCGGTAAGTACTAGTACCAATCAAACTCTCCAAATAAACACAATCCCTAATAAATCTTCCACATGCAGTTACAGCGAAGATCTGGAGCTTGACGACGCTGTCCATACCGCCATCCTTACTCTGAAAGAAGGCTTTGAGGGAAAAATGACTGCCGATAACATTGAGATCGGGATTTGCGATCAGAATGGATTCCAGCGTTTGGACCCCGCCTCCATCAAAGACTATTTGGCCAGCATCCCCTAAACGTTAAGCGCCCCGCTAAGATTAACCCAAGCTAAGCTTTTTTGATAAGTACGGGACATTAAAAATATAAAATTTCTAACTTTGGTGTTATTTGAAATACAGTTTTTTAATGGAAGCCGTAGGTAGACCGGTTCACTTAGCTTCAATGGTCTCAAAATATCCCGCGCAAGTCTCGGGGTCGAATACAAAGAGATTACGGTGCGGTGCTTCCATTTTGGTAACAACCTTGATGACCTCTTGAGCCACTACGCCGCCCACTACTGCCACAGCTGGAGAAATCTGGGCAAAGATTGTTCCTAAAGCTTCGTCACTCAGGGCTGAATTTGGCAGAAGTTCGTCGCGAATCCCGCGAAGCAGTTTCAGATCCGCCGCTCGGGTCTTGTAGTTGGGATCTCGCTGGTGGGTGCTCCGGAACTTTTGTAGAACACTCAGCAGCAAAACGCCTGGTCCATTACGTTTAAGCTTGCGCAAATAACTAGGCGCTGTTATATCGAAATCTAGCCAGACCGAATACGCAGGATAATCCACTTCGCGTTGTGTTGGAATGGACACAGTTTCGTACTTCTTTTTCTTATCTGGGTTCGATACGATCTTGTGTTTGATTACATCCCTGGGAAAAGTACACATTCATTAATATGATTTTTTTATCACAATATACTAAGTCATTATGGAAGTAGGTCTTGGTTAGCATATTCTAAGACTATTAATGACTTCTCTCAGGGGTTTTAAGGTCTACCAGAGGCAGAATCTAAACATTTAAAAGATACAACATGCAAAAACATACTCGACATAGCTGTGCTTTTGAAGACTGGCAAAGTAGAAGCCGAATGTGCCCCAGACGTCGGTGGCAATGAACTTGACTCCCAGCTCCCGGCAAATGGTGTCGATGCGCAGCAGTTCCTCGTTTGTCTCGCCATTAACAACCACAACGTCAAACTGGTCGAAGAACTCGGCTGTCTTCTCCTTTAGCGGTTCTCTGTCGGCGGAGATGTCCACCATCGGATTAAGAGCACGTGCCCGCACCAAGGAGGCCTCGGCGCGGTTGGTGTTCAGGGATTCACGTGCGGCCAGGAATTGCGAGCAAAAGTCCGCTTCAGTGACGGGTTTATTATCCAACAGCTTTACGGAGTTAACTCCAGACAGAATGATATTCTTGGTTATTTCCGCACCAAGGCCACAAAGTCCGGCGATAAGGATCTTGGCCGTGCGCAGGCTGGAAATTCGCAACTTGTTAGAGCGCCATTGCAAAAAGCCGGCTTTCTCACACTCACCGCTTTTGCGACTCCAGACCCCACAGGCGAATTTGTCTGTCGTACAGCTCGTTCTCCGCCTCCGTGAGCTCCACTGCCGCCTCCTTGGTGTCCATTTCCACGCCCATAATTGATTTCTAATAGTTAAACTCTTTTTATTTGCTCAAAGCCAATTTTTTCGCAACTAGAATTCGGGGACGCCAGTTGTAAGCACTAACGCGTTTTCAAACCACCAGAATGACATTCACGGTATCAGTGCAGCCACTATTGACGAGCTACGGGACAATATACTAGCTACAAATGTTGTTAAATCAAGCTAAACAGATTTTTTAATAGAACTCAATTATTTGTAGGTGAATAACCATTTTTTTTTGGTAATAAATATGTTCTAATTGATGGAGTTTAACAGGAAAAATGTTTGATTGTCTAAAAATTTTTTGTTGCAAATTTTATAGCAACAGGATAGAAACTCATGTGGCTATTAAATTGCGTTTCTCACAGACACAAATCTGTAAACTAGCTGGATTTGACGGAAAAGAGATAGATAGTACACATAAGCAATCGGATGGTGGCAACCATGAAACACATTTACTACTGAACTGTTTTTACGATACTTGACGAACATTTAATTTTCCGGTAAGCATTTCTGCTTTCTTACTCTGTAATTGAAAATAATTGATTGTTTTTGCATAAGAACATGTTGCGAAATTTATGCAGACTGGTGGGCCAGCAGGTGGGTCAGCAAGCACGTTTCACAGCCTACCGAAAATTTTCCTCAACAAAAGCGCTGCGTAAAGGTACGTACATAAGTTGGCGGAAAAGCCGGTGACATAATGTGGGAATATATTAACCGTGACACCTAAACCATTCCAGATCCAGCGCTCCAGGAGGCAGCGGAGTCCGGTCCACCCAAGAACATTCTGGTAGAGAAAGACAAGAACATCACGCTGATCGGAATCAATCGACCGCAGCAGCGCAATGCCATCGATTCCCTCACTGCCTCGCAGCTCTGTGACGCCTTCGCCAATTTCGAGGCGGACGACAACTCCCCGGTGGCAGTGCTGTACGGCGTTGGCGGATCCTTCTGCTCCGGCTTCGACATCCTTGAAATCAGCACTGACGAGAAGGAGGAAATCAGTGTGGACATTCTGATGCGGCCGGAGGGCTCCGTGGGACCCACACGCCGCCAAATCAAGAAACCAGTCGTGTGTGGCATCAATGGGTACTGCATAGCAAATGGCCTGGAACTTGCCCTGATGTGTGATCTGCGCGTCATGGAGGAGTCCGCTGTTTTAGGATTCTTCAATCGTCGTTTCGGTGTGCCAATGCTCGATGCTGGCACTATTCGTCTGCCTGCCATGATTGGCCTGTCCCGTGCTTTGGATCTGATACTCACAGGACGTCCGGTGGGCTCACAGGAAGCACACGATATTGGCCTGGTCAACCGAATAGTGCCCACTGGCACTGCTCTAGGCAATGCCCTGGAGCTGGCCACATGCATCGCAAAGTTCCCGCAACGTGCCCTTATTCACGATCGCAACTCAGTCTACTCGAGCACTTTTGAAACATCTACGTTCCATCAAGCGGTGCAAAACGAGGTGATGTTCACTTCGCGAGAAATTATCGAGGACATGCAGAACGGCATCAAGTGGTTTAACCAGAGTAAGTTCTTTCAGTTCATTCGGTGTTTTCTTATTCTTATACATGCAACTTCCTATAGCCTTCAAACCGGACACCACGCATTCTTGGTTAAAGCGGGATCGCTCCATGGCCGACTGGGACGATGAGGAAGTGGCTGAGGCTGCTGCGCAAAAGGAGAAACTAAAAAAGGAACAGGAGGCTGCACTGGCCGAGGCTGAAAAACAAAAGCAGGCCGAAAAGTCCCAGAAAAAGTCAAAGAAAGCTGAAGAAAAGCCTGCTGAAAGCGCAGATAGTAAAGATCCGAAAGACAAGGCAAATGAAAAGTAGTGACGCCTTATCTAAACAAAAATTAACTGTTCCAAATCATTTAATATAATTTTGTATATAACGCACTCATCAGCAGTTCCAAACTGTTCCATTCGACTTTGCTAAGTTATTCAAATACATTACTTAAACGAAACCATCTGATTGAGAGTTAATGGTCATAATATTTTAACTTTAAATTCGTCACTATTTGATTGGCTGATATAGCTTTTATTTTTGAAATATTTCCATTCTAATGGGTTCCTTTGATCCCTTAAGGTGTCTTGACAAGGCAAATGAAAAGTAGTGACGCCTTATCTAAACAAAAATTAACTGTTCCAAATCATTTAATATAATTTTGTATATAACGCACTCATCAGCAGTTCCAAACTGTTCCATTCGACTTTGCTAAGTTATTCAAATACATTACTTAAACGAAACCATCTGATTGAGAGTTAATGGTCATAATATTTTAACTTTAAATTCGTCACTATTTGATTGGCTGATATAGCTTTTATTTTTGAAATATTTCCATTCTAATGGGTTCCTTTGATCCCTTAAGGTGTCTTGATCTGGGTCTTGAAGCACCAAAAAATCATATTTTCGTGAATTTTTTTAAAAGATCTTACGACAATTTCACAAATTTAATTTATTGTACACTAATGTTTAAGGTTTGACCAACATTGTGTAAAAATTTAAACCAAAAATTTTAAAAATTGATCCGTTGAGGCAGGCTTGAACTTGAGCACACCAAAAATCGTGTCCTTGCGGTAGGCATAATATCTCCATCAATTTTTATCTGAAATCAAAAAGCCAAGATTTTTCTGATAGTGTATGTGTCTGGCTAGTCTTTTACGAAAGATTATTTTTTTTTACAGCTTTTCATAAAAAATATCATTTTTAAGTAAATGTTGGCCATATTTTATCTCATAAAATGAGTTGTAATTGAAGATAAAAAAATCCTTTCATCAACGACCCCTTAAAAACATGTCTAAAAGAAGTGTGCAAAAGCAGAAGTCGATCGGTGCAATAGTTTTTGAGAAAACGCGACTTCCAAAAAGTGGTTTTGAGAAAAACGCGTTTAAAGTGACGCATCTGCTCGACGCATTTTTCTTCGCTCGACTTGAAATTTTCGGACAACATTCCTGACACTTTGTACTATTATTTAAAAAAGTTTGAAAAAAATGATTTTTTTAAGTGTCAAGACCCGCATAACCCCTTAAGTCTGAAAAAAAGATTAGGATAGAATTAGAATTTGAATTAGTCAAATTTTTTTTAAGCATTTCAACCTTTTTCTTTAATTCTCAGAATTGATAAAATTTCGATTTAATTTACCTACGCATATATGTACAAATAAGTTTTCTTATAAACCAACATTTTTAGAAATCGCCCAGATAAAAACCTAACCAGTATAAAAAGAACAGTTTAGCTACCAAATTATCAACGATTTATGATAGTGTTTATAGTCTGTGCCAATTATAACTGATATTGCTTATCGAATAGCTGAAGGGATTTCTTCGTGGTGATCACGTCCAGGGTTGAGGGTCGAGCTGAGGAGGTCGGATGCGATAAGAGTAATCGGCGTGTCTGTAGGAAAGTTTTAATTTTATGACGTCGTGACTTCTTTAGGTGCTTGCGATTTCTCCTTGACGTCCAGCACATGGAGCACGACCTTGGCCAGCTCCTGGGCATTGACCCCCGCCTCCAGGAGCTCAAGGCAAAGGTCGAAGGCCGTTTTGGACAAACGGGTGTGGATCAGGGCCGACATTCCATGCAGGGCTATGTGCAGCGGCGGCGATGTGTGGAGGCAAAGAAAACTACCAGTGGTTGTCTGAGCCATTGGCTTTAATCCCGGATCTTCGTCCGGCTCGGTTCCTTGCGACATTGTTTTCGTCTGATTGTTGGCTGGGTTGACAACTTAAAACATGTGATAGTTATATCGGGTAGTAACGGCAGTCAGGATCAGTCCCCCGGCAACGGAGACCTTGTTCCAGAAGTGGAAGCGCCTCAGATCCCTCGTGGCCAATGAGTTCCCTTCGAAGGACGCATCCCACCAAATATGGGTGTCCAGGCAGTGAATGGCCATTAGAAGGACCAGTAGTCCGGCTGAAATCTTCAACCGGAAGCCCACCATTACGAGGGCCAGCAGGACCTTTAGGACGTACTTATAGATGATGTGCCACAACAAGCACTCCAGATCCTTGAAGTTAAGGTAGGTAATCAGCAGAAAGGAGACAACAGCCTGTCTTCTGGAATTCAGCATCATTAGGAGGAGGGCGCTGATCGGTCCACAGAGCTCCATGTACCTGGTCAGGCTCCACAGCGTCGGATTGGCGGCCAGGCGCATGTGGGCCGCCATCCACAGTATTCCCGTGGCCCAGAATCTCTCCCTTTGGACCACGAGCAGCAGGGACCCAGTAAGTTGCGTCGTCACCTGGAGGCTGATATAGACTCCGGCTACCCAATAGCCACAGTGCCACCTCATGCTCAGGATACTCCGCAGCAGGAACCAATTTTGGCTGATATACAAGGCTTCTGCCAAGAAGTTGGACACTATAAGACACCTTGCCAAAGTGGTCAACAAAAGCTTCATCGCTCGGTTCTGGTAAACTTCAAGGATAAGAGGGTCCATTGTTCTTAGCGACTTGACAAATAATATCTCTAATTCTGATTGCGATTATAATATTAACTTAATATGCGCAACTTAACTTAATTTTTAAACTGTTTATCTGGGATACCTTGTTAAGAAAAGTAACTATGTAAAAGAGGAAGAAAAGCTAACATCTAATGATTAATTATTTTTTATGATAAATAGGTATCTAGCTACGAAACTGATTTTTAAATCAGTAAGAAATGCCACGACTACTGAGTTTTGACAACAAATTTCATATACACATATATATGTATGTATGTATATATAATTAAAAAGTATTTTTTTTTCAAGGACTCCAAATATTCCAGTTTACGGTATACGGTGTACGTATGTACATATGTATGTTGGTATTGGGACCTAGTGGTTTCTCGACTTACAAATATCGTACGATAATTGCTGATCAGCGCGATGCACATTAAGGAACTAGCATCACTTGTTACTTTCTCGTGGTGAACATGGAGGATATCTCAATGGAGGTGTCCAATTTTAATGACCAAATTATTTAGGATCTATCTTAGTGTATTTGAATATATGGTATTCAGCTAAGGGACTTGTTTGATTTAGAGCCCTAACGAAACATAACATTTTAATTTCTTATTTAAAATTTTCTCCTACGTCCTAGAAAAAAATAAAGAAATTCTTATGTTGAAAGTTTTACTCAAAACACATACATATGTATATGTAACTACAAAACCGAGATATGTACTCTGTTCAAAAATGTGTATATACATATACATAGAGTCGAAAATTACTCCTAACATAATACAAAATTATACGGGGGTACATATATAAACGCCAACCAGAATGACTGAGTTCCCTCTTTTTCGAAGAATGCGCAGAAGAACATATAAATAATATGTTAATTATTATCTATATAATGTGTGAAATAATTCAGTCAAAATAAATTATGGCAAACAAAATCCAGTTGATTGAATTTGGTTGTAATTAATATACTTTATCTTAGATCGTTATAAAAGACATAAATACAACCATTAAAAGGCTAGATAATATCGATAAGAAATCGTTATTGAAATTATCGATACATATCTTGCTCATTACTACGTGGTCTGCTTTGTCATCACTAAAACAGGAGGTTTTTGGAATAAAGTTGGCCATAAAATCATAAAAGTATAGTAATCCTCGGAACTTAAATAAAATTTGGGTAAGTAATATCACAGTGCCAACCGCACCATTAATATAAAGTATTACATTGAGCGATTGTTGACATACACGTTATCGCAAATCTGGCTTCTGGCCGGCGTCTATTTTATTGAATTGCGTGGTGCTGATTAGAAAATTCGACGATTATCAAGTAATGGAAATTTATTTAATAGAATATAGTTCAGTAAGCAGTGCATTGCACCGAAAGTTGTTTACATCTGACCTTAGCGCGCGCACGCCCCGGTGACGTCATTCCTCATGCACCTAGTCCCCAACTGATATAACCCTTTCAAAGGCATTCAGAACTACGCATTCCCAGCTTCAATCAGAATCTGATTTGAAAAAATTATTTAATACCCTTGCTGAAGCTGCTTTATTTTTTCTGAAATTTGCAAATTTAAATAAGCATTAAAACTCATTACTCATTCTTTTGAGATATTTGAAATGAGAGTTAAAAACTTTCTTATTTCCTGTTTTTAATAGACTGGCCAGTGTATTTATCAATAAAAGATAATATAATTAATATTATTGCTTGTGCAATAATTTTGAAATCTCAAACAAATTTTGAATTCCTTCAAAAAATTGGAAAGTAAAAAAAACAAAAATTGTGGATTTAATCATTTTTAATTTCTGTTAGTCATTTCGATCTTACTGTTAGCTTTAAAATAATTTGTACTTATAACTTTTTATAAAACATCGCTGGTAGGGTATAACAAATATATAAAAACTATAGTTTGTTTTTCAATGGACGTCTGAAAAACTACCACGTAAGCTAGCACCTCTGGTGATCAGGTTAAGAAAATTATAATTGCTTCGTGATTAATTTAATTGAAACTATGAGAAAGTGTGAGGCAAATGCACACATTTTGTACGGTTTTGAAGATGAGGAGCTTTAACTGCGCTCTATGCAGCACATTGTGGTTCGATAAATGTATGTACATAAGTATAAATATATGGATGATCATTAATACGCATATATTACATCACATATCACATATGCATGACCTCCTTGTATATAAAAATATTTAGTTCCCATAGAACTCTATACCGGATTCTTAAATATTGTTAGCAGAACTCAAGGTTGTAAGCGGTAGTTAATCTTAATATTAAGCTCTTCGGTACATTTTCCTTTGGCGCAAGCCATTCAGATGTGCATTTCATAATTTTAGACGATGAAATAAATATTCAATTAGTATGAAACTAAGCGTTTGGAAGTTGTAGAAAAAATTCGCGTGTCACTTAACCTCATCTTCTGAAATTTAAAAAACAAAAAATATGCAAAGCATCTGCCTTGTTTTGTATGTTTGTCTTTAGTGAAATATGTAAAGTTATTGGTCTAAAGCTCGAGAAGGTTTATCTTACTAACAGGTTTGGACCGGCCAAAGTACGACAACCGTAAAGTTAAATAGAAACAGATTATGAGAGGCATGGTGTTTTCACGGCTAAACCATTATCATCAAAATACCGGCAAACCAAAAACCGATCGATTAGATTTGGAAAAGTTGCAGCTGGTTCTAAAGTGCGAAGGCTAACCTTTCCGGTGATGTGCTGGACCTATTTTTACCTTAAGATAATTGCATTGTTTACTAGCCCAAAAACTCCACCGTTTTATTTCAAATTCAACTAATCACTTAGGAGCTGGGCGGTGCACACACACATAGTGGGTGTTATTTCGCAGATGTTTACAATTTCGCGGAGATTAGGACGGGAGATTGGGCTACGTGCATGCCGCTAATCTGGGGAACTCGGGGGAAATAGCCACAAAATGCACACGACGGCGGAGAAAAGCTCTGACGTTGTCTCACCGCTTTGCCTAATCGATTTGTTTTCGTTTTGGCAAGTGTGCGAACGGTTTGTCAGTTCAATCCGAAGTCGTCTAGTGAATGGACGTGTGCTCTGGCACTGCTCCACTGAAATAGTGCAAATAGATTGAAATCTCAAAGAGACCCACAGTTTTTGGACAACCGACTGTGCGAAGAGGAAAGTGCGAGTTTAAGAAGTTTTAAGAGTGCCTTTTTTGGAGGAGCAAACAGGTTGGTTTTCCATCTGGACTGCAGTGGCGACTTGTTGAGTCATTGCAACAGGATTTATATTTTCCCCGGATCAGTGTTTACGTAAAGCCAGCCCCAATAGTAGAAAATCAAGAAAAGCCACTTCATGTAAGAGTTTTTCGTAGCTTTCAATTTGCCTAACCAACTCTATACACTTGTGAATTTCATTTTGAAGCCCTCTGGCTCTACGATCTTGGCTCAAGTTTATGTAGCGTTCACTCTTCATTTGTCAAGGTTTTAGTTGAACAGTAGCTGTTCATATCGGAAGGTTAGGTCTTGGTTTCTTTAAATACCCTTGTGGTCAGTTAATTTATTCCATGAGTTAGCAGCGTAGAAAAAAAAGTCTTGCTATTCCCCAAACTAAATCCAAACATGCTTAGAATTTTGTGGATCGCCTAAAACATAAGAAATGTACTATTTATTCGCTTTTTGTACTATAAAGATAAATTAACATCCAATCACATTTGCAAGGGCAATCAAAAGTTCCGTACCCGACGCACTCGCTTTTTCGTGTTCTACTCGATTTATCGTATGAAATGAATTAATTCTTTCGTTTTCGCATTTTAACTAAGCTGAGCATTTTCTCTTTTTTTTACGGTGAATGAACTTTGACTGTAATTATACATGGATACGAAGTGTAATTTACCGCTTAAATTGCAAATTGTTTCGAGTTTGTGAAAAATGAATTGTCACTCTTTCGCACTGCAGTCCGCATGTCAGGCAAACTAGTGTTACAGTTAAAGTCTATTTGTCAAATTAGATAAAGAGCTAATATTCAATTGTCAGATATAACAGATAAATAACACGTTTAACAAAATATGGACTTGAAAAAATACTTTAAAGAATTACTTGTTTATACACATTGTTTTTAAAGAGAAGAATTAAATTGGTAAACAAATTTGTAAAGTTTTCTTAATGTACTAATAAATAGTCAATCTTTGACCTCCTTCCAAAAAAAACCCAACATGTTCTTAGAAGAACATTAAGAGTATGGTCAATGGGTAGTCACTTTTTTTCGCTTGTAAAACTTACTTCGGTAAATAATCTTCTAGAAAAGAATAATTCTGTAGATGTAAAAGGATATTTTGTGACAGTTTCCTTGTTAAAACATTTAATTTTTTTGTTTGGATAGAAATTTTGGAATACATTTTTTACGTATTATATCGCAGTGAATCATCACGCTCTTGCAACGTGATAACGCGCCACAGCAACAACAATAGAAAACTACTCTCCCTCTTCCCCCCTTTCGCTCATCTTGCTCTCTGATTCTGTTTTATTCTTGCTCGCTCACTCTCTCGTTTAAGCTCCCACGTTTTCAGCTCCCTTCAAAAAAAAGCAAGAAATTGGCAACAGGCCACGCAGCTGCAAATTTCAAGTTCAATGCGTGTTTTTGATAAATGGACAATGTTTGCTGACCACGGCTGCTTTTTGCCGGTTTTTGGACACATTTAAGTATGTATTCACATATGTACTTATATCGCTCTCCCTTGGCTCCAGAGACAAACGGTTGTTTTGTTGACATGCTGACGGCATTAGCTTTTTTCTCACCTTCTCTTACTATCTCGTACCCTTTCTTTTGCTATGTTAAAAGCTTTCGCTTGTGATCTGCTGTTCTTGCATTACAAATACATATATGCACATACCTAAGTATGCGGAATTGTTGTTCTTTCCACCCTATCTCTCGATATACAGGGCAGTAGATAAAACATTTTACAGAGGGGTATAGGAAAAGGTAGAACGACGGAAAGCAGATCACTTAAAACTGTTATTTTCGACGAAAAGCGTTTTGCGAAAATTTGTTAAATATTTTATAATTACATATTTTACTTCAAGGATTACAAAGTACGTCAGGAAAAAATCAAGATTTCTTTAGTTGCAATTTAATTTTGTAGTGTCTAATTTTTAAATCTTTAATAAGGCAACTATTTAAAATGTTAAGATAAATTCAAAAAGAATACCAAAAGCAATTGTTTAAAATACTGATGGAAAATTGCAGAAGTAAATTTCTAGATTAAATTAAAATTTTAAACAATAACCATAAAAATACATACGTAAAGCTATCGAAGAGAAAGCAAAGTCATCTAATCATTAATTTTCGGGGACCAATTCGCCTAGAACCCACTGGTAACGCCCCTGTTCGACACTCTCTTCTAATCACCTTTTTGGTGTCTATTCCCATAAGCATCGCATGATTTTTAAGCTCTTGCCTGACCGCAGGTTCACGTGTTTAATTGGGTTGTGTTTCCGTCCAGGGTTCGAAGTACACCTGACTGTCCAGTTTTGTAAAATCTACTTATTCACAGGTGTTTGAATCAAGATTGAGATATAGATAGAGCCACGCAGCCATCACACGACAGGTTGATAAGGGCCACCAACCGATTAGGCCAAAGTCGCCGCGTCTAGACATATCAAATATAACCCTGACCTTAGCAATAGGCGAATTTACCCACCGGCCAACATCTAATCTTCAAATAGAAGCATACCACTCACACCTGCAAAAGCTTTCCAGCGACTAATCTAGAGCTTGGGAGCGAGCTTTTTGGCAGCTGCCGCGACTTTTCTTCTTCATACGACAGAAACTTCCACACAGCAGTTTTAAAACCCAAGTTAACCAAAGCGGCTTGTCGTTAATTTGTGCTGAGGCAGAAATAAAACATATTTTTTGGGTGTAAACCAGGTACAACAAAATGGGTGTCTCAAGTGCAATTCGTCGAACGTGGACAAGTGTTTGCGGTTCACTTATTGCTGAATAGTTTGCAATTCTTGTTAATTTGGAAGTGCGTATGTGTGTGTCTGTATAACAAAGCATGCTAAAGTTGATTGAACAAGGAATTTTCCACGAAGCGTTTTGCCCCATAACCTTGATCCAAGGTTCCTAGTTCCTAGTGACCCACAAAACACATGTTCCGCATATTCACCACCTGGTGCTTTTTCCCACACACCGGCTTTTTCATTATTCATGCTGTGCGAATCCTGACACAAGGACGTGGCCAGCGATTATTGATTTTTTTCCTCCATAAGCCATTAGCCGATTAAAAATTCGTATTTGGCAAGAATTTAGTATCAAAGGTTCGGGTACTCGTCTTGACTCGACGACACCTCGGGGTCTGGCCATAAAGAGCTGCTCGAATCACCTCCCCAAAGCGTGTCAAGTTCAACAAGCTAATTGCCCAAGCCACCAAGTTGGCACACACTAATTGCTATTTTGTTTATTTCGTTGCTAACTTTTTTTTTTTCTTTTTTCCCACCGACAGTTAATGCAAGATGCCGCCCAACGCCCAAGCCGGTGCCCAGTCCATCACGGACTCGCTGCTCGCCGCGGCTAGTGCCGCCGCCGATTCGGGGCAGAGCCCCACCAAGCTGCAGGAGGACTCCACCGGAGTGCTCTTTGAGTGCGATGTGGAGACCACCGACGGTGGCCTTGTCAAGGACATCACCGTGATGAAAAAGGCCGAGAAGCGCCGCCTGAAGCTTGTCTGGCGCAACATCATCGCCTTCGGATACCTCCATCTCGCGGCCCTCTACGGCGCCTACCTAATGGTTGCCTCCGCCAAGTGGCAAACCGTCGTCTTCGGTGAGTCTAACTAAATCTTTATCGCGGGTATCCAAAACATTTTTAGCGGACTTTAAAAACTTAAATTTAAAAAATATTGAGTTGAGTGTTTTAGTGTAAAATTACAAGCCCTATTAGCCGATATCATATCCGTAAAGTAAAACTTAAAATAAAATTATTATGAAAAAAATGGTAAATGGTTTTTTAGGATTAGACTAATTTAAAAATAAAAGCGTAGTGTAAAAATGGTCATTATAATGAACTTTGTTTTGACAACAAGAAATTTTACTAAAACGTAATTGCTAAAGGCAAGGTTGAATTAATAAAAAAATTAATTTCTCAATTATAAAAACATTTTTCTAGAAGAGCATTGCTCATATAAAACTAGTTTGATCTTTCAAAAGCAAGCCTATTTCTTACAAAAACCGTTCTTAATTGTTAAATGCATTTTGCTAAATAAATTGAGTAAGACTTAGCAACTATGTCATCTTCTTGACGCGTGCCGGACTCGCGAATATTTATGGGTTATCTATGGCTTTGGCCCTGATAACCCTTACTAAGTCGTATTTATGGGTCTCCGGACAAATCATGCGACAGACTGCTGATCAGGCTTTCCTTAAACGCGATTACCTTTACGTGCTGATATTTGTTTTCGTCGGAAATTTAAATGCCTGATGCTAATACATCTGTCTCTTAGATATAGCTTATAGATATAGTTAAACCAAAAATTGGACCCAATTTTTGATATATTGTGATAAAGCTTTAAATTAAATCATAAAATTAAAATTCCTTGCATTAATTTTCATATCATTTTCGATTATATTTTCACTTACTAATTAGAATTACTCGTTTTTATGATTCCAGCCTATCTACTATATGTAGTTTCTGGTCTGGGCATTACTGCCGGTGCCCATCGTTTGTGGGCGCATCGCTCCTACAAGGCCAAGTGGCCTCTGCGTTTGCTTCTGGTCATTTTCAACACGGTCGCTTTCCAAGATGCCGCCTACCATTGGGCTCGTGACCATCGTGTCCACCACAAATACTCTGAGACCGACGCCGATCCGCACAACGCCACCCGTGGATTCTTTTTCTCGCACGTCGGCTGGTTGCTGTGCAAGAAGCACCCGGAGGTGAAGGCCAAGGGCAAGGGAGTTGATCTATCCGATCTTCGTGCCGATCCCATCCTCATGTTTCAGAAGAAGTATGTTTTAAACTGGAACCATTTAAATGGAGGAAAAGTCTAATATAATTTTAACTATTGCGTAGATACTACATGCTGTTGATGCCTATTGCCTGCTTCATCATTCCGACCGCGGTGCCTATGTACTTCTGGGGTGAATCGTTTATGAATGCCTGGTTCGTGGCCACCATGTTCCGCTGGTGTTTCATCCTAAACGTAACCTGGCTGGTGAACAGTGCTGCCCACAAGTTCGGTGGCCGCCCCTACGACAAGTGAGTGTTAAAAATAAGCCAACATTTTTAATGGGTACTTACAATTAAAAAAAAAAAAACTATTTGCAGATTCATCAACCCCTCGGAGAACATCTCGGTAGCTATCCTGGCCTTCGGCGAAGGATGGCATAACTACCATCACGTGTTCCCCTGGGACTACAAGACGGCCGAGTTCGGCAAATACTCGCTGAACTTCACCACCGCTTTCATCGACTTCTTCGCCAAGATCGGCTGGGCCTACGACCTCAAGACCGTGTCCACGGACATCATCAAGAAGCGTGTGAAGCGCACCGGTGACGGAACCCACGCCACGTGGGGATGGGGCGACGTAGACCAGCCCAAGGAGGAGATTGAGGATGCCGTCATTACACACAAAAAGAGCGAATAGGCAGGTTGAGCTTATGGCTTATCAAGGGAGGGTTTACCAGAAAATCAATCAAATCCAAATAAAACCAAGTAACATAATTTTCCATTTAGCACATGTCCGCGGAACAAATTTCCTAAAAGAGCAGATGAAGCCCATTTAATTAATTCTAAGATAAAACGTTGATGATAACTGTTTGTTGTATCTCGAAAACTTTATACCGTCTGTGTTAAACCAGCTCTGGAAATGTTTTTATTTCGCTCTGGAATTGCTTTTTAAGAGAGACGCAAACTAACTTTGTATTTATACATGCATATAATTGCTTAAAACCTGGATATCGATGTACAATAGACGGCAATTGGAGCTTTTCATTCACTGTTATCTCGAGGTCACTTTGTAATTTGAGAGAAATTTTCAGTTCAAAGATATAAAAAATTATACAAATAATGGAGGAAAACTTTCCGTTTCAAAGAAAAAGAAATACCTGCAAATGAAAGATTTTAGTATTTAGCGTAAGCCAAAAACACAAAAAGAATTATCAAGAAACTAATATATTAAATATATAATAAACGATCGATGTTAGAAAACTAAAAGGCTCTTTCACCTATACATATGATATTTCTTTAAATGTTATCAAATAAAATTGAAAAACGCCTCTGGGATACGAATCCCAGTAGACTTTTCCATAACTTGAAAATGTCAAAAAGTCCATCCCAGGGTATACCATTTATTTCCATCAGACGTTTGGAACGTAATAGAACCACAAACACATAATTCAAATTATCGTTTTTTTATTTAAAAATGGATGCTTTTAATGTTCCCAAAAAGGTGAACCGCAATGTTGTCAAGGCTCTCGGCATCCTTCAATCGTCTCGCACCGATTACATCTCCATTGATGATATAACCCATCAGGTAAAGGTCCAAATGCGCAACTCCAAACCGGTCGCCAACGTCGACGAAGTCATCAAAGAGTCTCTGTGCAACCTGACAAACTTGGGCTTACTGACGCGTTTCAAATCGACGAGTTATGCGATTAGCAGTCCTGTTTTCGGTCGTGTGGGAAGGGCTCTGCCCAATCCCAATACAAATGTGCCGGGTATTCCCGCTACACCACAACGACGCATTGTGCAGAATGCTGTAAGTATGGATGTCCTATCTATGGTAATAAAGATCATACTGGGCATAATTCCTTTTTTCGTTATAAACTTTTTTCAATAGTTAAGGAAAAAATGCCAGTTTTTTGTAATTTTCTAATTTATGTACTTATCAAACTGCATTTTTTAGCGCCGCAAGCGCAGCCTCGGAAACTTGAATCCATGGAAGCCGGCCACCAAGGTCTTGAGTGAAGACTCCCTATCTGGAAATGAGATGGACAAGGCGCGAAAGAGGATGCGCAGCAACACCAAGCGCATTGTGAAGAAGAAACCAGTAATTACCTTTCCAAATCAGGGACCAAAACCGCCTGCAAGTGTTCGGAAGGTCAAGCCTGAGAATGATTTAGGAATCCTGTCGGCGAGCGAATCGACGGAGAAAGCAATCAGGGATCCACAACCATCGTTCGGCTCTATAGGATGGACCCACCCCAATCTCGATACAAATATCCTTGTTATTCCTGGTACGACATTGCCATCTGAAATTACGAAACCGCGGATTCCTCAAAACTTGCAAGGAGACGTTTGCGACGATAGCTGTCATGCGGTTTCCTCATTACATACGTCCTGCGTCAACACGACGGTGATGGATAACATAATGGATCTAGATGAGGATGAGGATGTAGTAGAAGTATCAATTAATTGCGCCAGTCCTATCGGCTTGAATATCAGGCCCACTGGGTATACGTCTGGAGGGGAATCCGATGTGGAAAATGCTTCAAAGATTGCACTCTGCGGCAGTCCCTTCTTCGTGCAGGTGGAGCGTCAGCTCCCACATCAGGATATAGTCGACAAGAGTCTTACGATTAATACGAATTCATCCCATAGTTCAGTTGGCCAAGAAGTTCAATTATTAGTTTTTCGAGGAGCACCAAAGGGCATCATCTTTACAGAGTATAGGGCCATATCTCATGAGGAGGTGAATTCCATCTCTCGAGAATCAAATAATTTATTGCCTCAAGGAGCTGCTATATCACACGGCTTTATTATTCAAAATGTGCAAAATTCCATATCCGGAGAAATGCAATCTGTATTACCCCAGGAGGAATCAATTAAGATCACTGAGGTGGTAAATTCAATCTCTCAAGAATCAAGTTACTTATTGCCTCAGGATGTCCAATATTTAAATTCCCGAAAAGTGCAATTACCCGAGGAGGAACCAAATAAGATCCCCGAGAAAGCGCAAAATTCAATTTCTCAAAAACAAATCCTTAAATCTCAAGATGTGCTTAGCTCAGATGCTGAAGGATCACCTTCTGCGGCATCCTTGGAAGTTCAAGGATCAGTATCTGAAAATGCACTGCTTTCAAACTCTTGGCAAGTGATAGGATCCATTTCTCAGGAAATTCTGACTTCTATTTCCCAAGAAAACCGTGATTTAACCTTTCCAAAGGACAACATTTCTACCGACAAAGAAGTACAATCGTCTTTAAATCAAAACCAGCGCTCGAGCGCATCCAAATTTGACTTTTATAAATGATTTGAAAATTCAAAATAATTATCGAGCACCCGCGTGGAAATCGAGTCATCGATAGTTGCCTCGCGTGATTATTATCTGACATCTGGCTCACGACTTTGTAATTGGATGTGTGTGGGTGTTTTTTCTTTCATACTCTCTCAAATTCCTTTTTCGTACTCTTTTACTCTTGCGCATGAAGTGTCCATTGAATTATATAAAAGAACATTGTAAATTTTTATTTCAAAATTGGTTTGCATTTTACTTCAAAAGGTATTTTTTATAAATTCAAGTTGTATGTCTTTATTTGATATACTTTAAAATGTTTTCGAAACAGCATATAGGTGGAACGTCCAAATTAATTATGGACCTGAAACAATAAAATTATTTTTTTAAATAATTTGTTTTATTTAAATATAAGCTTTATTAAATACGCTTTCATACATTTCAAGTGAGGATTGCCTTTTAAGCCCAACTACTAAGTCTCTAAAATTACGTTTACAAGCAATAAATAGAAATTGAATACAAATGTTTTAGTTGTTGAAATCTGTTGCAAAACAATGCGCGATCTTCTATTATTCAATCTTCCGTTACTCGTATAAGTCATTAGAGTAATTCAAATCAAAATGTCAATGTATATAGGATTAGCGACCGTAAGTGCATACAAAAGTCGCTGTGCTGGAGGTTCGTAGATTCTTTTATTAGCGCGCTGCCTCCCGAAGTCTTTTTTCATTCAACTCTCGGTCCTCGACGCGTAAACATTGCATTTAACATTCGTGCTCAGTGTTTTGCTTTGAGTTTACACGTGATTTATTTGTTGTATTTTAAGTATTTGCATTGTGTTATATTGCTTTCGAGAAGTGTTAAATGCATATGTATGTAGATGTGGCCAGTTTATTCTGCCTTTCGTGCGATTTTCACTAATAATTGAGAGACAACCAAAGTTCACGCCCCTCTCTTGTGACGTCGTTGAATGCAAATGCAGTGCGCGGCGGCAAGTTAATTGAATTCGATTTGATTACACTCGACTAGCGGCGGGAAAAGATACCTTTAGCGGCCACAGGATGGATAGAAAATTCCTGATGATTCTCATTCTGGGCTTCGGCTTCATGTTCGTCTTCACGGCATTCCAGACCATGTGCAACATCGAGGTACGTTCTCTCTCTTAACGTGTATGTATGCGTGGGCGTTGTTGTTGACATCCTTGCCATTGGACGTTCGTCCTTGTCCTTGCCAATAGACAACGTAGTGCCCTTGCCACCCACACAGTCACAGGATGTGGCGACGTTGCCGCCATTCAACCCGCAATTGCTGTGTCGTAAATTACCCCGTGATTTGTGGCGGTGTAAAGTGGCAAGGAGTTGCTTGTAATAACGATTTAATGAACTGCTCCAAAGGTCAGCAGTCATTCAGAGCCATTGTTCGCTGTGTAAAACACATCTGGGGGCTTCAATTGATAAGAAGTGTAAGCACTGAAAAACTCGTCATCAGCCGCCATAGAGCAGTTATCGTTAGTAATGCAAATGGAGAATAAAAAGTTGACCCCAATAAGGAAATTAGACATATGCCTTAAAGAACAGTTATCGTTTATAAAGCCGTAGAAGTCATCTGGAGCCAGAAAAGTTGACCCTAATAAGGGGTGCACTCGTAACATTCTTACAATTATTTGCCCGAAACCCACACTTTCATGGGTTAAAAGTGCTGTATAACTTGTAAATTACGATTGCTCATCGGAAATTTAGAGTTATAATTTAACAAAATTGTTGAGTATATAATATATTATATATACAATATATTCAAGATTCATTCCGATGACCCAAATTTTTACATCCCGCAGAATAAAAAAAACTCGATAGCGTTATATGTGATTTAAATACTCTGGAATTAGCAAAGATGATAATGAAATTAAGCATTAAGGTGAATTTATTTATGCCTAGTGGTCTCTAGCTGATATATGTATGTAGTTCAGAGTTAATCAAGTTCCGCTTTTTTTCAGTTATTATTATTTCCAAGAACCAGCTGGTGAGGATTCCATTCATAGAAAATTTAGGGGAGCACCTCCAATCTTTCGCTATAATCAAGTGATAGCGATTACCTAATTAATATTTGCAAATAACCACATTGGAATACAACTACCACTTATGTATGTACTTATTGGTAATGATGGGCAGAGATAACTCCATGGACGCGTTCATTGACTAGTTGCCTTATAACGGCTTATATCGTTGATTATTTATTGTCAGTAATAAAAGCCGTAAGATCAAGGCCACGCAAAAACAAAACCAGAAAACAGTCTTACCTATTTTTATACTATATACAAACCATATTAATTCGCACACAGATTGTGAGTGTTGTGGATTCATTAAGCAACTGGATTGTCGGGTATGCGAAAAAAAACGTTCTTTTTCAAATTTATCTCGTCTTATTACGTATGCGACTCGTTTTTGCTGCCCAAACTGACCATCAAATGGGTCTTTGTCATTGTTTTGCAAACAGCTCATTTTTTGAACCATTTTGTTATGGTTCAATGGACTGTATAAGTGCCTTCTGATAAAAACCGCGAAATTGTTTTGAACCGAGTGAAGCTATGTAATTTGTCCCTTTGATGTTACTTTTTCTGGTTTGCTTTATGCTTTTATTTTGGCCTTTCAGCGCGGCAAGCGGCGCATGCGCAATATATTTTATCTGCCTTTGTGCCTGCCCTCCAGTTATTGTTTCTCTTTATAAACAATTTATAACGGCAGTAGCAGCAAAAGCAAAAGTGACTTGGAATTCCAATCAGGGCGTGCTTTGGCGTAGTTAGCCAAACTTATATACCACACAGGAAAAAATTAGGATCTTAAGGGGTTATCAATACTTAGTTAATTAAATTTTGTTTATAGGAAATACTTAACTTTTCTTCAGGCAATATAATATTTATAGAGATATGACGTTAACTCGAGTACATCTCATCTGTAAAGAGAAGTATAGTTAAGGATGTTCGCGAAGTGAAACTTTGTCTTCAGGAAAAAGGCAGGCTATTTTTGTATAATTTCACCAGCAGATATCCAGTGAACCAGATTTTTTTGAGTGTAGTTAGCAACAATCGATTGATCGGCCAGTATTTGGCCCGTATTTCGTGGCTATTAGAGAGCAATTTTCAAGCGAGGCCTTGGCTCATATGTTGCAATCGTTGGAGTGGCACAGAACACTTTTAGAGACCGCTTTCCTTTCCACCTGATTGCGCAATCAGAAACAAACGCCCAACGCAAAACGCGTCAAACGGCTGGTCTTTCAATGTCATTGCAATTGCAAGTTCGCTGTCGCTACAAACACACTATGCACACACACACACTGGTGTCAGTCGTCAGGCTCAAGGCCACGTCAGAAATAAAGTAAGCCAGGTTGACCAACATACATATGTATGCACACATCAATTTGGCCAAGACGGTGGGCTGTTGGCGGAGGGGGTGGCGACGGGCGGAGCGCCTGCGCCCAGCTAAAATGCATAGCCAACAGCCGGTTGCACAACAACAAAGCGAAAAGTGGGTGTGCGCCGACGAGCCCACCACTCACTGCCCGAGCCACCGTACCCCCCTGAACACCATCTGAACCCCCAACCCTCCTGATCCACCACCAGTCGAGTGCAGCAATGTCTGGCCAAAAGAGCGGAAAATCAAGTCTAGCCTGGCCAGACCGAGTGTATTGAACACCCTATAAAGACACCATGGCCCCAACGAAAATGGAAATTTACCAGTCTCTGAATTCCCCATTGGTGTTGTAACATTTTCAAAAATTGAGTTAAATAATCGAATAAACATGATTACAGTTTGTGATTGGGACTACATTGTATTATTAATAATTTTATTTTATATGTTAATAATATATACAAATAAAACATATTTATTCTATGACAATTATTCTTTTACGGTTTTTTTAAATCCGTTCATGTAAATTTTTATATATATAATTAAGCAGACATATTTTGTGAGTCTAAACTTTTTTTTAGATAAAAAACATTTTTAAAGCTTTTTGATCAAAATAAAAAAGTTAACAAGTTAACAACCAAACCAACCAAACACAATTCTCAGCTTAAAATCTACTTTTAGATTCCCATGAAGAGAAGAAATTTAAATTAATAAAGTTGTGTTCAATCTAGTAAGCTTTAGAAATATATATGAACAAAACGAAACGAAACAAGCATATATATTTGAGGATAACCCATATTTATACTCCGGAAAAATGGCCAATTATTCGAGAAAGGATACTGATTTTCATGTTGAACGCCAAGAGGATCTGCTCAGTGATCGCACCTATGGGTTTATGAAGACCATTAGGTCGGATACTCCCATCCCCTTGGCAAAAAAGAATCTCTCTCCCACATCACTGATCGAACGGTTGACCAGTATGCACGGAAATATCACGACAAATAGTGAAAGCGATGATTTATCAATTGAAGAGCAGACTCCGTCTGTTTCCACAGCATCAAACGAAATGACCTTTGAAATGAAACGGAAGCTTTTTGATGAAGCCGAGTTCACCATAACACGAGGTCAGAAACTCAGTGATTTAGTTCATCCCGGCGAATCAGAAGTAAAAATAAGCTTTAATGATCCTGCAAAGCAGACTCTTAAGGAAATCGAGGCATACTGTCAGAGGATGAACATTAAGTTTTCCAAATGATTCGGCTGGTATTTAATTTACGTTTCCTTTTTTTTATTGAGTGAATTCAAATTTACCTTTTAGGTCCATGCTAAAAATAATACGATCTAGAAAGCCTGAAGATCATACATCAACAAGACAATAAAGTCAGTAAACAAATACTATCTAACTCATAACATACATATATTTATTCCACAACAACAAAATGGCAAAATATTTGAAAAAGGATATTGAGATCAAACAAGATCGGATGCTACCAAACCAAACTCTCAGTTATGGTTTAATGAAGACACTCAGGTCGGATACTCCAATCCCCATGCCCCAAAAGAAACTCGATGCTTCAACCCTTTCGGAAAGGTTGCAGACTATGCACCAAAATATCTCAATTACTAATGAAAGTGAGGAAGGATACCGAAGAGAATCGTTTTTTTTGGAATCGGTGCCAGTAGATAAGATGACCTTTGAGATGAAACGGAAACTGTTTGATAAAGCCGAGTTTACCATTACTCGGGGCCAGAAACTCAGTGACATCTATCATCCCGTGAAATCAGATATAAATCTGGACCTAAATGATCCAGCACAGCAGACTCTAGAAGAAATAAAGGCATACTGTCGCCAAATGAACATAAAGTTCTCTAAATAACTTGTATTTCAATTTCATTTTTTATTTTGTCTACTGCAGCGGGTAATAATAAACGCCAGGATTTAATTTTGTGTGCCATTTAAATCGGTAATTAAGAATGTTAACTATATGGGTTGCATTCAAAATTAAATAGCTACGTACAACTTCAAAAAACCGACTTTTACACAAAAAATATTAAGTATGCGTTACTTTTGATGCGTGCAAACTTCAAGTAAAAGTCTGAATACCTTCTGCAAGGAAAAACAAACCAAACTCGTTTCTGCATTTTTAAAGTTTTTCGTGAGTCGTTGTGCCAGTTTGTTTTGCGTAATAAATAAACAAAGTAGAGTGACGATCGAATTAATAAGTTGTTCAGCACATTCTCCTACAATTCCGCGTACGCACTTTACTTTCTTTATTGCATTCGACTTTCTTTCGATTGTTGCTTGCACAAAACTTGACCCAAATCCCTGGTTGGGTATTTATGTCCGTCAATCCAATAATGGAGTATAAACAAATGTTCATTGAGCTCCATTGATTAGTGATAACGCTGACTTGCACTTGAAACTCGAGATTTCTTATCAGCACCGTCGACTATAACACAGCTTTTTATTATTCAGTACAACAGTGTGCCATAAACATTATTTGGCAAGATTTTAATGTACGTAGGAAGTGGAAATGCCAGTCAATACATTTGTAAAATCCCCTTTAGCCACTTTCCCTAGATAGATTTATAAATAGTTCCTGCATTCTCAAGGGCAATCGACACATAACTACTTCAAACTCACAAAGCAGTTCCGCTTATCGTATGCAGACAATTAAATTCTTGACTTTCACTTACTGTAGCCCCTGTATCTCTCGGTAGAGCGATTTTAAAGCATTATCAGTAATTGCAACCTCTCAAGTTGGACTTAAAAATGGGCACGAGGACCGAACCAGATTCGCAGCGTAATTGATGCAAATAGAAATCGAAATCGTGTCAGAGTCAGAATTTTTCGCTGCGATAACGATATCACTTGCTCGTTTACCGAGATGCGTCCTTTGGAATGGAAAATTTTTAAACTCAACCGCAAACATGTTTCATATGTGCAGCTTGTAATTTTCCATTGCTAGCCGCAAGAATTGTAAAGTTGCACTTGGCTCTGATCCAAGGCGCGCCCAGAATCGGATTAATTCGTTTGGAACAGCTGCGGCTATTTTAACGCACTAAGAAGTCTGCCGTATGTTATGCAAATTAAGACATTTAAATGCAACTTTGAGATAAAAATATAAAGTTATCTTATTAATAACAATTTTCTTATACATTTTACCTTTTTTTCTAAAGTTACAAAAGAATTTTAAGAAAAATATATATTAATTTTAATATATTATATCTATATTATTTAATTTTTTAAATCGGTTTCAATTTAATATTCCAGATTTGTAATTGTAATTTGTAATTTACTTATTATAAAACTACTAGAGTTTATCCGCTTTAAACTGTAGAAAAAGTATTAAATTACAAACCGCAAAACCTGTTTTATATTTGTACTCAACGAATGTGATAAAATTTCAAACCAACTTTTTTTAAATTGTATACTGTCGTTTTCAGAGATTTGGTTTAGGGAGATGTTGGGGGCAAAAACCAAAACGTATCCGGACAGGAAATACCTGTATGATGTGTACTTGAACCGAGAACACGTTTACCGTATAACATTTAAAGAAAAACAATAAACAAATGCGTTGCTGCCGGTTCATTGGCATGCAGCCGTCAAAATGTGTCTGGCACGTTTCCAAAATGCTAATCGTTTCACTTTTCGATCTGACCTATCCGACAGAAAACCATACTGGACAGCATTTCCCAGGAGGATGATAGTTTCAAAGGCGAGGGTTACACTAGTCTGGCCATCATCTATCTGTTCTTCTCGCTCTCCAACTGGCTGGCACCGTCGTTCATTTCGTTCACGGGACCCCGAGTGGCCATGGTCGTCGGGGCACTGACCTATACGTGAGTAGATCCCCTTTGTATAATTTATAAAGTTTGGTATCTGACATTTCCCCACTTGCAGGGCCTTCATGATCACGTTTATGTTCCCATCCACGGTGCTGCTGTACGTGGGCAGCGCAGTGCTGGGACTGGGTGCCTCGATCACCTGGACGGGCCAGGGAACATACCTGGCACGCTGCAGTGAATCCACCACCATATCCCGCAACTCGGGCGTCTTCTGGGCCCTGCTGCAGTGCAGCATGTTCATCGGCAATCTGTTCGTGTACTATCAATTCCAGGACAAGACTCGCATCGACAAGGAGACACGGAACCTGGTCATCGGCGTGCTCACAATAATTGCAATACTGGGCATTGTCTTCCTGGCTGCCTTAAGATTCATGGCCGACAATGCCGAGCACGACAATGAACTGGAGCAAAAGCACACGGGCTGCGGACAGGCCATGTACGCACTTAAATCGGCTGGACAATTGTTCCTTACCAAGAAGATGCTGCTCCTTAGTTTGGCTTTCTTTTATACAGGTGCGTGAGCAGTATAAAATGGTAGCAAAATCATTATACCCGTTACTCGTAGAGTAAAAGGGTATATTGTATTCGTGCAAAAGTATGTAACAGCTAGAAGGAAGCGTTTCCGACCCTATAAAGTATATATATTCTTGATCAGGGTCACTAGCCGAGTCGATATAGCCATGTCCGTCTGTCCGTCTGTCCGTCTGTCTGTCCGTCTGTCTGTCCGTATGAACGCTGAGATCTCGGAAACTATAAAAGCTAGAAGATTGGCATTTTGCATGCAGATTCTAGGAGTTCCTACGCAGCGCAAGTTTGTTTCAAAAAGGTGCCACGCCCTCTTTAACGCCCACAATCGTTAATATACGATTTTAAAAATTTAAATATTTTAGAAAAGTAAAAATGCAGTTTTATTGTGTACTTCAATACCTATTGAAGTGCAGAAGAAATTTTTCAAATCGGACCATTCGTTAAAAAGTTATGCGTGATCAAAGTTTCTATCTCCATCTCCCTCGCACTCCCTTTACCTGAGTAACGGGTATCTGATAGTCGGGGCACCCGACTATAGCGTTCTCTCTTGTTTTTATTTTGCTAAGATTTTAATTCCTATGCCTTGACTTTTGCAGGGTTGGAGCTTTCCTTTTTCAGTGGCGTCTTTGGCTCCGCGATTGGATTCACCACGAAAATAGCTGAAACCCCGAAGGAGATCGTTGGCCTGGTGGGCATTTGCATTGGAGCCGGCGAGGTCTTCGGAGGAGGACTCTTTGGCATACTGGGCAACAAGACGACGCGATATGGACGCGACCCCATCGTGATTGTCGGCTACTTGATGCACATGGCGGCGTTCTTCATGATCTTCATCAACCTGCCGAATAGCGCACCGTTTAAAGATACCACCGATATATCCTACCTGGATCCGCCCAGAGCCAGCATTGCCCTGATCTGCGCCTTTCTTTTGGGCCTGGGCGATGCCTGCTTCAACACCCAGATCTACTCGATGCTTGGCGGGGAGTATGTGAACAATGCCGTTGGAGCTTTTGCTCTGTTCAAGTTCACCCAGTCGGTGGCGGCGGCCATCAGCTTCTTCTACTCCTCGCACTTCGGGCTGTACGTACAGCTGGGCATCCTGGTCGTCATGGGAACCATTGGCACCATCGCCTTCGTCTTTGTCGAGTGGGGCTTCAAGAGGCATCACCGCGAGCAGGAGGCCCTGGAGAAGTAAACCCGCCTGGCCTGAAATCCTAGGATCTAGAGTATTAGCTGCAGGTTACCGTTAGGGCTATAGGGCTATGGCCATTTGTCCGCGTTTGTTGAATTCCTCGGAGTGCGTTGAATCCGTTCGACTGCGTCGTCTTCCTAGACAATAACTGATAAGTGTTTTTGCGCGCTACTGTTGGTTGCTATATGTACGTATTTTAATGTTGGCATTCCAAAACGTAATTGTAATCTAGTTGTCTATGTTTTTATATGTGTGTATTGTATACGTGCGTTTATTTATTTTAAGCAGCGTTTGTGCAACTGTAAATTAATTAAACAGCAGGTTCGAAGTATTATAAGAGAAATGGGCGGCGTGCAAGAAATGCACAACCGTGCAAATATATGACGAATTTTAAGAAAACATTTGACTTGGGCGTTGATTATTTTGGTAAATATATGAAGGTGTGGGAATTTCTCAAAAATGGTAAAATGGAATAAAGTCTTCTTAAACACTTAAATTTATTTTAGGGAATTTTTCGTCTATTTAGTTTATTGGGAACCTGTCCTCAGAGTTCCCTTAAGCATGAATATTATCCACCAGTTATTAGAAAATATAAAGTTTTTCTACTATTTTTGCCAATATTAATTTAACTTACTTAAATCATAATATATTTTTCAAACGGATTCTAAATTTTGAAATTCTTGACTTTGGCGGTTGACAATTTATACTCGATTATAATGCATTCGATATTGACGTAAGTCAATAGGGCCTTGAGTAAATATCGATTTGCCAACAAGGTGCACTCATTTCGTCCATCACTAAAACAAACCATTCGGAATATCTGAAAAGTTGGATGAAAACATGAAAAATGGCAAAGAATAAGTCGACGGTGTACCTGGGCTACGAGGATGAGGAAATTACGCCTAAGCAAGAGCAGTTCCTGACCAGCTGCACCAACAAAATCGGAGGCACACCAGTAAGGAACATTGCACGGACTTCGAAAGAGACAGCTGATAATTGAAATTGATTTTTACCAACAGGATTGGCCCAGACACGAGGTGACCGTTCCGACGTGCCCGCTGTGCGGTGCAGTACGTCCGCTGATCGTGCAGATGTACGCTCCGCTAGACCGCTCCCAGTTCCATCGCAGCCTGTATGTCTTCGGATGCGTGAGCCCCGCCTGCTCGCAGAACTCTAAGAGCTGGACTTGTGTGCGCACCCAGCACCTGGACCACCAGTTCGAGGTCATCAGCGAGCAGTCGCCGAAGGCTGCGGCCACCGGCAAGCAGCACTCCAAGAAGAAGGGCAAGTCCAGCGCTTTGCAGGCGGTCAACTGGTGCAGTGGAGCAGACGACTGGGGTGACAGCGGAGGAGGAGCCATCGAGCTGGCGAAAACCAATTCGGTGGCTTTGGACGAGGCCATGGATATAACAGCTGATGACGAACAGAACGAGCGCAATGGCAACGTGCGACCCAATGCCCTCCAGTACGCCAAGGGTGATGTACAATTGGGGGAACCAGCAAAGCTCGAGCAGGTCAAGATTGGTGGTGATGAGGACGACGACGAGGATGAGAGCACTTCGCTGGAGAACGATCTGATCTCAGGGTTTCATCAAATGGATATGATCTCGGCTCAGAACGCCGACGACGATCCAAATGCCAATTGTGCAGCAGCCGCTGCTCCCAGTTTAGATGTGGCCGGAGCGAGTGCCGCCTCTGCGTCCATTTGCGCCGAGATCGAGGGTCCTGAAACGGATGTGGTGCTGGTTGATACACCCAAGAAGCCCGAACGCGACCTGATTGCCCTCCTGAAGCACACCTCGCTTTCGGTGTCGCAGATAAAGGACCTTACACTTAAATCCTACTACATCGCCGTGGATGTGGAGAGCAAGACACAGGTCGAGGAATACGAAAACTATGGTGGCGCTCTCTCCATGGACCACATACGTGATCTTTACCAGGAGTACAAGCTGCGGGATGAAGATGCGGCCCATTCACCAACGGGCGGGGCTTGCGGATCTGGCGACTCGGGTGAAGATCACGAGTCCTACGAGAAAGCCCTGCCCGCCCATGGCGACATAGTTTTTCACAACTTTATCACTACTATCCAGCAGAATCCGGGACAAGTGTTACGGTAATTTTTTTCTATTTAACCACCTCGGTTTTCTCTCTACTTAAACTGTTCCGCTTTAGGTATTCCCGTGATGCGCTACCGTTGCTGGTGGCTCCGCTGACAGAACCTTTACCCAAGTGTCCCAATTGCAAAGGGGAAACCATCTGCGAGGTGCAGTTACTGCCCACACTTATTCCCAAGCTGCGGTTTCAGCTGAATGACTGCAATGCACCAATAGAGTATGGCAATGTGCTGGTCTTTACCTGCCTCAAAAGCTGCTGGGACACGCCCGACCTGATGCGCTACGAGCATATAGTGGTGCAGTCCGAATCTTAGAGCTGCGTCCGGCCATTTTCCAAAGCCATAGAACCCATTCGCTGTAGCTGCTAGGGTTGCAGACTGGTGCAACGAATTTTAAACGCAAACTGCAGAGGAAAGCTAAGCTTCTCTATTGTCCTAGGAAGATTTTATGCTCTAGTTGTTAAGAACGTTGTAAGCTTTTAGACACTCCAAAAAGGATAGTTGCTAATTATATCTCGTTATTTCCACTCCCCCTTTAATAGGGTTTCAAATCAGAGCGTTTTATTTCCCTCTCTAAAAGTGTTTTAAATCTTAGTGTTTTATTTCTAGGCTAGAGGTGCATCGGCATCGAGGTGGTAGCTCTTCACGGTGGAGAACCTCAGCGGCGGATATTTGGCCTCCGTCAGATCAAACTCGGAACTAGTGTCTACTTTGTTGCGCTTCTGCACAAGCGTGTAATGTGACCAAACCAGCTGGGTGCAGCGTCGCTTGGTTGAGCTTGTGATGCGCAGCTCGATCAGGAACTGCGACGAGTCCTCCTCTAAGGGCATGATACTGCCTCGCCTCTGTCGCATGTGTCCCGGTCCCCGTGCCTGCGACTTCTGCAGCACCAAGGTGACTGTGCTTCCAAAGAGCCGGTAGCGTCCCCTGAGCATTTCGGGCCGTACGTTATGCAGATGCTTCAGCTTGGATACACCCTGTGCCGGCTCATCGGCGCTTGTCATCATCAGCACCTTGCCATCGGGCATGAAACGGATGTAACGATAGTACTCCACCAGCTGCACTGGCCGGTAGAACTGATCCTGAAAGCTGTTCTCGCCCATTCGCAGGTACGTGGTCTTGCTGATATAGCATCCATTGAAAAGCACTCGCTCCCGACGGATGAACATGTCGCGCCAGGAGTAATAGACGTTGCTGATGTCCGAATCCTGAGCCTCCAAGGTGCCAACGTTGTGGCCCCATACTCTAATAATTAAACAAGAGAAACAATAACAATAATTGATCTAAATGGATCGTTGTGTGGTGCAGATCATTCAGATCCATTTAAAAATCATCCTTACTTGACGCAGGCCAGCCTCCATAGCTCCTCATCCCGGGCGTAGACATAGAAGCCCTTGGACACGGCGGCGCACTGCTCCAGCGAGCGCATGTCTAGCTGGGCGGACACCACCCAGCGCAGGATCCGCATCACAATCTCGGGCGGCAGGTCGGAAAAGTGTAGACCAGTGGTCAGGACACTGGCATCGCGGCTGGACGCGATCATCTTGCCATTGTAGATGCTGTCCTGTCGCAGGTCCATTTGGAACTTATCGTACAGGTTGTCTACTGCCTCCTCGCCGCCTACCGAAGTCTCGGGCTGTCCCAGATCCAGCTGCTTAGCCAGATCGCTGGCCAAACTGTGATACTTTTTGTTGACATCGCTGCTGAGCTTTTGCTGCTCGTAAAACTTGAACTCAATATCCGGAACGATCTGCGTGGCCTTCCGGTAAAAGGGAAGTGCGTCGTACACCTTGCCACGCTGCTCCAACTGAACGGCGGTCCGATAGAGACTCTCCGCCTTGGCCTGAAGGAGATCTGCCTCGCTGAGATTGGAATTGGCCGCCTTGAGGCGATCTCCAGACTCAGATCGGTTTCTGGATTCTGTGGTTAGATGACCTTGAAGCTCACGCTGCCAGCTCTCCCGGAACTCATCCAGTGCACTGGTGCCCGTTTCCTGGCCAGGCGCCTCGCCATCCGAGTCCACATCCGACATGGCTATCGTAAAACTAGTCTGCCAATGCCAAACAAATCGTAAAAATAGATTCACCCGCTTTTATCTGACGCAATTTCTAACCTGAAAGGTCTTAGTATTCGGCGTTGGAAGATGGGGAAATTCGAGCCAAAATATAACTTATAATAAAGGGCCGCGCGTACTGCTGATTTTGGCCGCGGGCTTCACCCCAGAATTTTGAAGTCGTACGCAACTGGGAGCAACATGTGGCCATTGGTAAGACCCCAAAGATTAAGTTTATTCAGATACGCAAACGGGAACACTTCTACCTGTGTAAAGTTATAGTTTTCAGTGTGCACAAAGAGATATTGAAGGAATATCTGAAGAGCAAAGAGGGTCACACTACATCTATTTTTAACAAATTTAGGAACTTAAATCTTTTATTTGAAATTGTAAGTCTAGTTTTATGCTGAAAATGTAAGAAATATTGCTTTGGATCTTCAATGCCTAAATAAATTAATTTCACCAATTTAGAACTCGATATCTTATCGATTAGTTTTTACAAACAGCTGACTTCAACGCGGTTGTGTTTTGTTTTGGTTTCTCGTTTGTTTGAGCCGCATTATCAGCAGGTAAAAAGTGCTAACAATTAAAGAGTTATATTAATATAGAATTTCAGTTTGTACCGGAAGAAACCATGTCCGCGGACTACTCGCACCTCAGTTCCGCCATCCTGGAGCAGTGCTTCGGCAAGGTGGTGCAGGCGGTGTCTGACTGCCTTTTCTCGGCCACCACGCGGACCCTGGGTCAGATCACCAGTGCCACCAAGTTCTCGCGCAAGGAGGTGGCACTGGCACTGGCGGTGCTAGTGAAGTACCGACTGGTGGACTTCGTCGCCTCCAAACAGAATCCCTTCCTGGCGGAGTACGCCCTCCGGCGCGAGGATGTGCTCTGCCTTCTGCGTTACCCACGGTGAGTTGGCATGGGATACCCTCGAGTAGAGTATCAACTCAATATGTTCTAACTTTCATATTCTGCGACACAGAAATCTGTCCAATCGAAAGTCGAATTATTATTTTTAATTCGAACTTAAAAACGTTTTTATCAATTAAGCTTTCTTAACCATGTATGTATATGATATTAGAAACTGGGCAGATATAAAAAAATTTTATTTAATTGTTCCATTGCTTTGCATCTGGTAAGGGTTTTTTTCAAATTATAAAATCTTAAGACAAGTGTTTTTCATACTAACCTTGCCAAAAACCCACAGAGATTTATTTAACTCCTGATAAGGTGTATGCAATATCTTATTTCAGCTACATTCATCTGGTGCAAACAAAATACGGAAACGTGGGTGCTTCCATCGCCGAGGAACTGATCAATTCTGGATCGGATACTGCCAGCGGGATTCTGATCAAGTGCCTGACAGAGGGCGAGAATAAGGCGGAAAGTCCGGAATCATATCGCAACACTTTTCTTCAAATGATTACGGATCATTATATCATAAAAAGACCAGAGCTTTTGGTGGGCGACGACCAAGATGAGAGTGTGCCAAAATTCGAAAGTAACGAATGTGACTTCTTCAGGCATCCCCACATTGATCTACAGCTGGTTGCCAAAATTCGAAAGGGTGATGCAACACTGGCGGATGCCAAGGACAACACTATGGTGTGGAACCTGAACTGCGATCGTTTCCATCAGGACTTTCGGGACACCATCATGGTAGACGCCATCGAACGAAAGTTGGGCGAAAATGCTGCTGAGTGCTTTCGATTCATTCTAAAAATTATGTACAATACAACTGATCCATGGCAGAGAGTATGTTACATATTTGTAGCCTAAGGAAAGCATAAACACTATCTTTTTACAGAAACTTTCCAACCAAATAACTTTTGTGGAAATTAAACAGGCGATCGAAAGAAAATCAAACAACCTGGATCTTATGAAGTACTTGGACCAGTACATAAGTTTGTTGAGTAAGTTAGGTCCGCTTAAAAGTATAAATACTCCATTTATTAATTCTTAATACGTTTAAAGCTGACGACTCACTGGGATTTTTCCGGAGAGTTGGCGACATGGGTGGCGGAGTGTACGTTGTGGATATGGAACATGCCTTTGAGTCGCTTGCCTTTGTTTGTGTCGAGTCTGTGATAACGGAGCGCTTTGGCTCAAAGGCAGCCCGCATTTTTCGAGTCATTCGATGCAAGAAATACATAGAGCAGGAGGACTTGCAGAAGGAGGCTATGATCCCCTCTAAAGAGGCAAAATCGCTAGCCTATAATTTGTTCCAAGAACAGTTTATACATGTGAAGATAATTAAGAAGCCTGGCGGAGGCAGCAATGGTCCCGCAAAGGCGTTTTACCTCTTCCAGGTCAAGGAAAAGGATGTAAGTATCGCTGGTTACAAATCCGCTGGATTTTTCCAATCTAATCTATCTTTTTATTTTAGACGGTCAGAATGTTGCTGGATGCCAGCTACAAGTCCCTTTATAACACCATCGAGCGATCCAACTTTGAGAAAAATGAGCACAAGGGGCTCATTGAAAAATCCCAAAGGCTGGACAGTATAGTTGAAACCATGAAGGAACGCGGCGAAACCGATGAATATATCGCCGAGGTAATAATAACTTAGGTATAAAATAAAACTATATTTATTCGACCAATTACATTTTAGATTGTGGAAACTTTTACGCCACCCGAGTGTGAGATACTTAACAAAGTAAAAAATCGGATAAAGACCTTATCGAAGGCTGAGCTGACCCTGGATGATACTATCTTCCTTTTGCAAATGTATCAGCATCATTGCACATCGCTGCCAACGGGTATTCGGAAATTTAAATAAAAGTTATTTTTAGGGCAAAGGATTGTCTTATTTATTCAAAGGTGATGCAGATATTTGTAAATATTTTACAGAGATTTTTGGTTCGTTTTTGAATGGTACGTGGCAGCAACATCTGATTTTTATTTAGAAAATTTAGCTCAAATATTAATATACAAAACTATTATTTTTAAGCTATAATAGCATTGTTGCCAAATTATAACAAAATTTATCAGATTCAAGTTTAATAAAACACACATACGCGAATAAAATGACTGCACGCTTAATCACAGGCTATATAAATAAGGTATGCTTTATATGGTTAGTTACTTTCTGGAGTAATTACACTCCGTTTTCGGTGAACAATTCGCTGCTCGCGGTGCGCCTTTTGTAATTTCATGAAATGCTGCTCCAGGGCATCGAAATCTATGCCACTTTTGTACTCCAGCGAGTTTCGCTCATCTCTGAAAATTACAAATTTTATTTGAAAAGTCGTTAGTCAATAAAAAATTTCTTACACGGGATCATGGCCCCAGTAGTTGGGGACGCATTGCAGACGATTCCGAAGAGTATCAAAGGCCTCTGTCTGCGGTAGCAACATCAGGATGCCAAACAGGGCGTGAGCCAAGTACTGAGCATCTGCGCAATTGTTCGCTTTGGAGACAAGCGTGAGACGTAAAGGAGCGAAGATGGGAGACTCTATTAACTGAACCAGTTTGTCCAATTCAGTAAGCAGCTCCAAAGTGATTTCAACATCAGCACTGTTGGGTATGTACTCGATTAACAAAAAAATATATATATTTTTTGTTTGAATAACTTACAATAGTGTAACCAAATGCGATACATGCTGATAGCTCTGCGCCAGTAGGCATAAGGAAAGCGTGGATACTGGACAGTGGGCCCAACTCTTGTAAAGGCATTGAAAGAGATCTGCAGACTTTTCGTTGGAAATATTTCGCAGGCTGGTACGCAACTCGAAAAGCTCCGTCGAGGTGAGAAGAATGATGTTCAGCAGGCGCACAACCGTTGATGCAAACTTTAAGTTGTTCACCATCTCCGATATTATTTCGGCAAAAGTTCGGTAAATATATTCAGCATTAAGCAACACGCATAGTTTTCTAAAAGCATCGTATTATGTTAGAATTTTTGTTAAGCAAAGGGTTTATAAAATTACCTTATAATAAGGCTAGCTCGGTTCTCCAACATCATATTCTCCTCGCTGAAAAGGTTCAACAGGCTAAGTAAAAACTTACGATAGTGCGATTTGTTGAAGTCGGTTAACTCTGCAAAGAAATAATACTATAGAAACGTTCGAAAATCTAAACTATCAAATTTAAAGCGGTATCCAGATTCAATGGTCTTAGAATTGAATTAAAATAATCTTATTACCCTTGTTATCCTGAGAGTTAACGATTTCCGCCAAAACCGATAGGCTTTGAAGTACTACCTCATCCGAGTTGTCGGCCAGCGTGGATAATAGATTATTATTTAAGTTACTGGCGTGCACAGACATTTCAGATGGAAAATTGGTAAAAAGATGGTGGATCCACTTGAGCACAGCGATCTTTGTGTGCATAGAGTTTTGCGTGAGGTACTGCGAAAGAACGTCCATAATTGAACGCAAATCAATCTTGGCCACCGTCTGCGTTTTCTGCTCCTTGGACGAAACCAGCGTCATCATCGAGTTGTTAACGGACACGGCGCACTCTTTAATGCCTAAAAAGTTCAATTTATTAATAATCTTATTTGTATCGTAGGGTATTATCTTACTCCTTTTTGACTCCACATTGTATTCAAGGCATGGCAATATCGCCGTAAATATTCCACTAGCATAGGGCAGCACATTAGGGCCAAAAATTTGCACAAACTCTCGGATCCAGGTGATCGCAATAGATTTGATTAGCTCATTGGGTGATTGTGCGTGGGTTATTAACGTATTAATGGTGTCCTCCATTCGCACCGAGGAAGAGTCGCTCCTTATCGACTTTAGGAACTGACTGATCGTCGTCTCACACATGCGCTGGATCTCGGGCGTGTTATCCTCGAGCATGACGAACAATCCGTCCAGAATCTCAGTCAAGTAGTTGACCATATTGATGTCGGGCACAGCGTTTAGAATCGATATCCATGAGATCACATACTGACGGGCAAATGCATCCTTCACATAGATGTGCTCCCTCAGCAATGGAATGAATGCTTGTAGATTAAAGGTCTGCGATGATTCCGTGACAATGTCCTATAAAAAGTACAGGTAATATTTAAGTATTGTTATGAGTATAAATGATACATTTGGTAATTACAATTATGATCTATATCTCTCAATTTTATTAAGGTAAACAAAAGTTTTTAAACAGATATTTAGGAAAAATCATTGTTAAAATCAAGTTTAAGTTAAAGTTAAAGTTAAATCAAGTCAAGTTAAGTTAAAGTTATTCCTGAATACATTTTTGGGCATCTTAACATGAAATTGAACTACCTTGAGTAGGCGATCCAAAAGTTCGCTTCCGTCCTTCACCATCTGATCGGAATCGGTGACGAGTCGTGATAGTGCGGCAAAAAGTTCCGGGAAGAAGGGAATGATTGCGGATCGAGCCACCTTGACGACGTTGTACAAGGACTCGCAGGCGAAGTAGCGCACTCGCAGATCCGGATCCGAAAGGCAGGTCATGATGGGCGTCACAAGGCCCTGCACATACTTGTCGGAATCCTGGAAAATCAGCAGTTGCTAGTTAGATGGATACGAGTCCGATGACTAATGGTTACCTTGCCCAGCCCTAATCCCGTGGCTGCGAGACCGATAAGCGCCCCTTTCCGCCGATTGGCATCTCGTGATGTTGCATAGTCGGTGGATAGCACCTCGATCAGCTTACGGATCTGGGCCGAGTTGTTCTTGTTGTTGAATTCCGTGACCATTCTGGCGGAGAGTCGAATTTCCCAATTGGGATGACGAATCTGTTGGGTGCCATAGGATTCGGTACTCACTTCTCGATTTCCTGCGAGGCCAGTTTCCTTTTCTCGTAAACCTTGTCGCCCAGCGCCTTGGCGCAGGACTCACTAAGCGGGGCGTAAGGCGGCTCCATTCTGTAATCCGTGTTCTAATCAAAATAACAATACTTGTAGGCGGGTTTACGGATTGCTCTGCATCTCTCTGCAAACAGCTGATTGATGGGGCTGCCAACTCGGTCTCCAAAGTGTGCCAAGTGTACTGTTGAGAACAGAATTTTCCGTTACATTTAAATAGAAGGGATTCCACCAAAACTTTAATTAACCCTGAAGTATTTTCTAAAAAAATATATAACAATGGTCAATTTCTCATTTTAAGTAATTTACCATGTTAGTATATGTATATATATATCGTGAAAAATATAAAACCAAAAGTCCTTTAATTCAACATCCCATATATAAACATATTTAAAGCTACATTTTAACAAAAACAAATGTGGACATACGCAATTATGTCAGCTCTACTGAAGAATAAGTCAATAGTATGTTGCAAAAAATCATTGTTAACTTTTTAAGTGCCAATAATTGTTTTTGAATTCAAACCTTTCTAGTTATTTATGATATACCTTTATATCAGCTACTATTTGTTAAACCTATATTCAATGTAAAGAATTATTATGGTGTCCTCTATTCTAGAGTAAGTCTATGTTCTAGAATTATTATGGTGTCTTAAACATTAAGCTTTTAAGACATTATGTAAAGGGACCATTTAAAATAAAATGTATTAAACTTTTTTAAATTTTTAAAAATTTGTATAATCTTTTTGAAATAAAAAGGCAGAAGTATATCTTTAAAAAGTAAAATAAACTATTTATTTTTCATTTCTAATTAAGCGTATAATACAACAATAGTAAGTTGTAAAGAATTACAACTATTCAAATAAATATTTCGTTTCAGTCTTAAAAACTTAAGTAAAATAGGAATGAATGATGCACATAGATTAGATTCTTTGGCTTTAATCGACCTCCTCGACCTTGGGTCCTGAGTAGCCGCCAAATCCTCCGGCCTGCTGGCCGCAATTGGCTCCTGGACCACCAGCTGCTCCCGCTCCCGCTGCCTGCTGATGCATCTTGGTCATAATGGGTGAGCAGTGGCGGGTTAGCTCCTCCAGCTTGTGATCGAACTCCTCCTTCTCAGCGGTGGTGTTGCTGTCCAGCCACCGGATAATTTCGTTGCACTTTTCCAGGACAGAGCTCTTGTCGGCCTCGTCTAGTTTGCCAGCGGCTGCCTGCTCCACCGCCTGCTTTACGTTGAAGACGTAGCTCTCCAGGGCATTTCGAGAGGTTATGCGTTGGCGCTGCTTTTCGTCCTCGTCGGCGTACTTCTCAGCCTCGTTCACCATTCGGTCGATCTCGGCCTGTGATAGGCGTCCTTTGTCATTCTTGATGGTGATATTCTTGGCCTTGCCCGTGCTCATCTCCTTGGCGGTGACGTTCAGAATTCCATTGGCGTCCATGTCGAAGGTGACCTCTATCTGGGGCACACCCCTTGGCGCTGGTGGAATGCCGGACAGATCGAAGGTGCCCAGTGCATTGTTGTCCTTCGTCATCGCCCGTTCGCCCTCATACACCTGTATGGAGACTCCGGGCTGGTTGTCGGAGTACGTGGAGAACGTCTTGGTCTGCTTGCACGGGATACGGCAGTTTCGTTCGATCAGCTTGGTCATCACACCGCCTGCGGTCTCGATTCCGAGCGAAAGGGGAGCCACGTCCACCAGCAGCACGTCTTGGATCTTGCCGCTCTGGTCTCCGCTGAGGATCGCAGCCTGGACCGCCGCTCCGTAGGCCACCGCCTCGTCCGGGTTGATGGAGAGGTTGAGGCTCTTGCCGTGGAAGAACTGCTGCAGCAGGCTCTGCACCTTGGGAATGCGTGTGGATCCGCCGACGAGCACGATGTCGTGGATCTGGCCCTTGTCCATCCTGGCGTCGGTGAGGGCCTTCTCCACGGGTTGCAGGGTGTTGCGGAAGAGGTCCGCGCACAGCTCCTCGAACCTGGCGCGGCTCACTTTGGTATAGAAGTCGTGGCCCTCGAAGAGGGCGTCAATCTCGATGGTTGCTTCCGTGCTGGAGGAGAGCGTGCGCTTGGCTCGCTCGGCCGCTGTCCTTAGGCGTCGTAGGGCGCGCGGGTTGGAACGCAGGTCCTTTTTGCACTTGCGCTTGAACTCCTCAGCCAGGTGGGTGACCAGCCGGTTGTCGAAGTCTTCACCGCCCAGATGGGTGTCTCCGGCAGTAGAACGGACCTCGAATAGCGATCCCTCGTCGATGGTTAGTATGGAGACATCAAAGGTACCGCCTCCCAGGTCGAAGATGAGTACGTTCCGCTCCCCCTTAAGGTTTTTGTCCAAGCCGTAGGCCAATGCCGCCGCCGTGGGCTCGTTGATGATACGGAGCACGTTCAGGCCGGCAATGTGGCCGGCGTCTTTAGTGGCCTGGCGCTGGGAGTCGTTGAAGTAGGCAGGGACTGTGATCACGGCGTCCGTGATGCTCTCGCCAAGATATGCCTCCGCTGTCTCTTTCATCTTGGTCAGCACCATCGAGCTGATTTCCTCGGGGGCGAACCGCTTGGCCTCGCCCCTGAATTCAACCCCGATCTTGGGCTTTCCGCCATCGCTCACCACCTTGAATGGCCAGTGCTTCATGTCCTCGACGATCTTAGGGTCATCGTACTTGCGACCGATGAGACGTTTGGCGTCGAACACCGTGTTCCTGGGATTCATGGCCACCTGATTTTTTGCGGGATCGCCGATGAGGCGCTCCGAGTCTGTGAAGGCCACGTAGGACGGGGTGGTGCGGTTGCCTTGGTCGTTGGCGATGATTTCCACCTTGCCATGTTGGTAGACACCCACGCAGGAGTACGTGGTGCCCAAATCGATTCCAATAGCTGGCATTGTGTGTGTTTGATCCTTACTTGGTAATGGGTAAATGGTAACTTGGAGTTTTCAGCTTGTTCCTGTTTTCAGTAATAACAGCTTCGGTAGATACTTGTACTTAATTCACTTTCAATTTGCAATTGGTTGCAGTTAAGTTTAGCTTTATCAGCTGCGTTTGTTTTGGTTTGCTCAGCTTCTGCTTAGCGATGTTTTCACTTTGCTTGTTTGAATTGAATTGGCGTTAAGAGCGGCGACCGGCCCTATTTATACGCCATCGCTCTCTTCGCGAACATTCGATACGTGCTCTCTCGAAGCGTCGAGAACTGAGCGATATGGCATGCTGCTACAAACAGTGTGAGTAGAGCACTGCCGTGCTCCCTGACAGTAATTTAAGAGAGGGTGAGCGGCAATTGTTGTTGCACTCGAAATTTCTCGACTTTTCTTCAAATAAATGACCTACCGCAACTACTGCTTTGCTTTTGGAGTTCTGGAAAATTCACTTTGCTTTGTTTAGTTGTTTATATTAATGACTGGGTAAATAACTTGGTTTAAAAATAGCAACGGTATATTTGCACGGCGCTATTTTTGGCACGTGAATGAATTAATTTGTTCGTTTCTTTTTTTAACATATGTATGCACATACATATGTATGTATTTATTATTGCATAATTTGTTTATGATTATGTCTTTACTCAAATAAATACTAGCTCAATTTTGTATCAAATCCCTTCGAATATAAATATTTGAATTTAGAGTTCAGACAAGTTTAAATGCATTGGTAATAATTTAAGTAAAAGTGGGAAAACATTTTTTGTAAATACTCCCTTATACCGATTTTTAAGCCCACATTGATGATAATATTTATGCATATTTATTTATGAATGATATGTATGATTATGTTTTGACTCAAATACTAGCTCAATTTTGAATTTAACAAACCCTTTAAAATATTAATATTAATCCTACCATTAATGTGGGATTACAAATTTGTATAAGGAAGTATTTTAACATTTATTTTTTACCATTGTTTCTAAACTTATCTAAAAATTCAGTTAGAATATCAATATTTTAAGGGGCTTAACCCAAAATTGAGTTAGTATATGTTAAAACATGATCTTAATTGTAGCTAATGAAACAGGTAAGGAAACAAATTATTCAGTGAGAAACATGCATAAATAAGTACCATCAATTGGGCGTTAAAATCTGTGTAAGGGAGTAATTTAAAAACATTTCTTTCCTTATCTACCAATGTCTTTAACCTTTTTGAAGTTTCAGTTAAAATATTAATATTATTAGGGGATTGATACAAAATTGAGCTAGTATTTGAGTGAAAACATGATCTGAGTGTAACTAATAAAACAGGTAAGTTCGAAACAAAGTATTCAATAATAAATACAAATACTTGCTCAATTTTGTATCAAGCCCCTTCAAATATTAATATTTTGACTGAATGTTTAGATAAGTTGAAATACATTGGTAATAATTTAAGTAAAAGAGGCAAAATATGTTTTTAAACTGCTCCCTCATACGTTGAAAACAAATTATTCAATAATAAATATGCATAAATAAGGACAGCCAAGATTTATTTTTTTTTAATTCAAGTGTCCCGAACGCCAAATATAGCCTTGCTATTTTTAAACCAAGTTATTTACCCAGTCATTAATATAAACAAATAAACAAAGCAAAGTGAATTTTCCAGAACTCCAAAAGCAAAGCAGTAGTTGCGGTAGGTCATTTATTTGAAGAAAAGTCGAGAAATTTCGAGTGCAACAACAATTGCCGCTCACCCTCTCTTAAATTACTGTCAGGGAGCACGGCAGTGCTCTACTCACACTGTTTGTAGCAGCATGCCATATCGCTCAGTTCTCGACGCTTCGAGAGAGCACGTATCGAATGTTCGCGAAGAGAGCGATGGCGTATAAATAGGGCCGGTCGCCGCTCTTAACGCCAATTCAATTCAAACAAGCAAAGTGAAAACATCGCTAAGCAGAAGCTGAGCAAACCAAAACAAACGCAGCTGATAAAGCTAAACTTAACTGCAACCAATTGCAAATTGAAAGTGAATTAAGTACAAGTATCTACCGAAGCTGTTATTACTGAAAACAGGAACAAGCTGAAAACTCCAAGTTACCATTTACCCATTACCAAGTAAGGATCAAACACACACAATGCCAGCTATTGGAATCGATTTGGGCACCACGTACTCCTGCGTGGGTGTCTACCAACATGGCAAGGTGGAAATCATCGCCAACGACCAAGGCAACCGCACCACCCCGTCCTACGTGGCCTTCACAGACTCGGAGCGCCTCATCGGCGATCCCGCAAAAAATCAGGTGGCCATGAATCCCAGGAACACGGTGTTCGACGCCAAACGTCTCATCGGTCGCAAGTACGATGACCCTAAGATCGTCGAGGACATGAAGCACTGGCCATTCAAGGTGGTGAGCGATGGCGGAAAGCCCAAGATCGGGGTTGAATTCAGGGGCGAGGCCAAGCGGTTCGCCCCCGAGGAAATCAGCTCGATGGTGCTGACCAAGATGAAAGAGACAGCGGAGGTATATCTTGGCGAGAGCATCACGGACGCCGTGATCACAGTCCCTGCCTACTTCAACGACTCCCAGCGCCAGGCCACTAAAGACGCCGGCCACATTGCCGGCCTGAACGTGCTCCGTATCATCAACGAGCCCACGGCGGCGGCATTGGCCTACGGCTTGGACAAAAACCTTAAGGGGGAGCGGAACGTACTCATCTTCGACCTGGGAGGCGGTACCTTTGATGTCTCCATACTAACCATCGACGAGGGATCGCTATTCGAGGTCCGTTCTACTGCCGGAGACACCCATCTGGGCGGTGAAGACTTCGACAACCGGCTGGTCACCCACCTGGCTGAGGAGTTCAAGCGCAAATTCAAAAAGGACCTGCGTTCCAACCCGCGCGCCCTACGACGCCTAAGGACAGCGGCCGAGCGAGCCAAGCGCACGCTCTCCTCCAGCACGGAAGCAACCATCGAGATTGACGCCCTCTTCGAGGGCCACGACTTCTATACCAAAGTGAGCCGCGCCAGGTTCGAGGAGCTGTGCGCGGACCTCTTCCGCAACACCCTGCAACCCGTGGAGAAGGCCCTCACCGACGCCAGGATGGACAAGGGCCAGATCCACGACATCGTGCTCGTCGGCGGATCCACACGCATTCCCAAGGTGCAGAGCCTGCTGCAGCAGTTCTTCCACGGCAAGAGCCTCAACCTCTCCATCAACCCGGACGAGGCGGTGGCCTACGGAGCGGCGGTCCAGGCTGCGATTCTCAGCGGAGACCAGAGCGGCAAGATCCAAGACGTGCTGCTGGTGGACGTGGCTCCCCTTTCGCTCGGAATCGAGACCGCAGGCGGTGTGATGACCAAGCTGATCGAACGAAACTGCCGTATCCCGTGCAAGCAGACCAAGACGTTCTCCACGTACTCCGACAACCAGCCCGGAGTCTCCATACAGGTGTATGAGGGCGAACGGGCGATGACGAAGGACAACAATGCACTGGGCACCTTCGATCTGTCCGGCATTCCACCAGCGCCAAGGGGTGTGCCCCAGATAGAGGTCACCTTCGACATGGACGCCAATGGAATTCTGAACGTCACCGCCAAGGAGATGAGCACGGGCAAGGCCAAGAATATCACCATCAAGAATGACAAAGGACGCCTATCACAGGCCGAGATCGACCGAATGGTGAACGAGGCTGAGAAGTACGCCGACGAGGACGAAAAGCAGCGCCAACGCATAACCTCTCGAAATGCCCTGGAGAGCTACGTCTTCAACGTAAAGCAGGCGGTGGAGCAGGCAGCCGCTGGCAAACTAGACGAGGCCGACAAGAGCTCTGTCCTGGAAAAGTGCAACGAAATTATCCGGTGGCTGGACAGCAACACCACCGCTGAGAAGGAGGAATTCGATCACAAGCTGGAGGAGTTAACCCGCCACTGCTCACCCATCATGACCAAGATGCATCAGCAGGCAGCGGGAGCGGGAGCAGCTGGTGGTCCAGGAGCCAACTGCGGCCAGCAGGCCGGAGGATTTGGCGGCTACTCAGGACCCACGGTCGAGGAGGTCGACTAAAGCCATTTCACCTTAGTATACGTGATTTAGAGTTATATACAAGAATTATGACTGCCATACTCGATTTAAATCTTAGTTTTAAATAAAATACTTCAGTATTAAGTTAGCAAACAATTAGCCTTAAGCAGCAACAATAAAATAAATTATTATTTAAAAAATATACTTATTAATCTTGTGTATTATTTGTTTATAAATTTTCCGAACTTTCGGAACTTTGTTGACCACCTCTAAACTTTAATAAATGTGTTGCAAATGTGTTGCACTTAAAAATTTCTTTCCAAAAGATTTCAAGATATTTTATGCGAGGTTACTGGTAGAAAAGTGATTTTACAGCATTTATAGATAAGTGGTTAAACCGACGGAAATTTTTTTAAACTCTTATAAATTATAAATTATATTTGCATTTAGGAATCAAGAAAACGAAACAAACAAACTTGGAATGCATTTTAGAAAGAAATTTAACAAGAAAGGAAGCAAACTTCGGCAAGCCAAAGTTTATATACCCTGGCAGTTATTACAAAACGACTACATTTCGATTTCTATATTGTTGTCCAGATCAACTCTTCTGGTTAAGCTGATCAAGAATATATATACTTTTTAGGGTCGCAAATGTCTCCTTCACTGCGTTGCAAACTTTTGACTGAAATTATAATACCCTCTGCAAGGGTATAAAAACCGGAAAGGGGTACCTAAGCTCTAGTGGTTTCACTTTATGTTTTTTAAATATTTAGTTGATGTCAGTTTCTTCATATTTAATTGTTTGAAGCTATTTGAGAATGGTAAAGAAAATAAAATATTAAACCCCTTTACCAATAGCTTCCAGTCCCGACATCAACACATACAATAAGCGAGGTATGTCTATAGCAAATAATTTTAACTGCTTTTAAAACACGTTAATTTCACACTTTAATTTGCAATAGTTTAGTTCAGCAAGTACATTGAAATACATAGCGATTCATGGCCTTACATACTTAGACACATATGTCGTACAGTTACATAGACGGGATGCATTACTTATTCAACGCAAAGCAATTCGACTAGAAATACAATCAATTTCTTTTACTATCACAAAAGTCGTCGCAACTCAGGAGAGAGGGGAATCCAACTAACTAAATTGAAATAAGTGAATCGATTTTGCAGCGAATATAGAAATTTCCTACAGCTTGCCAATTTTGGTTGCTCCAAGTTAATTCTTTTTTACTCATTTGTAGATTGTCTTTCTGCTTGAAATTCATAACGTCCCATAACACAATTCCCTTTCATTCTATATTTTTCTATACATAATTTCGATTGCGTAATTTATAATTTTTAATTTCTTTTAACTGGATTATGTAGATTTGGTTTGCTAATGTTCTAGGTTACATATGATACTTAATGTTATAGGTAAGATTATGGCATTGCACTCTTTCCATGATACTGAGTTTTTAGAAAAGCTCTCGGAATTTCAGCGCCAACGTTTTTTAAGAACGAGTTAAACATAATGCAGTTTGCTATTGAAAATAATTATTGTTACATTGTAAATTACCAAATAAACTTGGTCAGCATGAGCTTTTCCACATATCTTTATCTAATTTGTACACCAATAAAAACTATTGCTTTTTTAACTGATATTAATATAAATATATAAAGAAAGTCGGCAATTCAAAAGCTAAGATGGTGTTGTAACCTTCTCAATAAAATGTATTAGCCAATTTTAGACTGCGTAGTACTCAAACGATCTATGGAAAAAGTGTCTTATCTCCGACAAGCCGAAGTGACCTTACATGTTTCTTACGATTCATTTGACAACATTTCATTTGAAATTGGAATTTTTCTATGCATAGTCGCGCGTTTTCTAATTGGTTTTAACTCTTCCATATGTATATTTTTTACGTATATCTCCTGTTTAGTTGGACAACAACACTTATATATGGATAGTATAGTTCCGGGGCAGCATTGTCCCTGCAACCGCTGCTTGGCGGGCTTAGAACACAACTTTAATTTAAATTCCCTATCGTTGCTTAAATGAAAATGTACACGTATACATAAACACACATTGAGTATTGCTTAGCTCCAAGGATTTTGCAAACTACACAGATCCTTGCACGAATGCTTCTGTTTTCGCCATTCCTCGTGTTTTTCCTTCCTTTGTTTTTCCTCCTTTGGTATAACAATTCACTCAAGTATTAAATATCACTTATAGGGGCATTGTTCCGTATCGAAGGGGGTGCAGACGCTATCCGGTCTAGACGTAGTAGGCGTTGTACGGATTTCGTTTCTCCAAACAGGGTAGCACACACTCCAGCGTATTGCGGAATGCCTCGCGGAAATCGCGATTAAAGTAGGCGTATATAAGCGGATTCAGCGTGGAGTTGAAGTAACCGATCCAGAAAAGCACGACGACGAGCACATCGGGACATGGGCACGCTGGTCCGCAGAGCGATGTGATGACATACCTGGGTGGGCAGAAGAGTGAGAATCACATGAGGATGAGCCGCCAGAATACGTCGGCCTACCGATTACGGATTACGGCCTACAGTTTACTCACCACAGAAAGAAGGGCAGCCAGCAGAGCAGAAAGACGCCCATGATGATGCCCAGAGTGCGGGCGGCCTTGTGTTCGGCCTTCCATCCTTTGGCCGGGCGCACGGAACCGCCTGTGAGGGCAGATAAAGAGTTTAGGACCGAAATGAAAGAAGGCAATTGGCTGATTAAGTTCAATTCGATTCGATTCGATTCGTTTTAAATCGTTTCGACTCGATTCGCCTCGGTGCGACCCAGTCTTTGGGACTTTGACCAGAGTCAAGTTCTGGTTAAGCCATTGCAATTGACAGTTTTCTGGTTCAGTTCTATGTGTGTGTGGGTACAGTCAGAAAAAATCATTTTCCTCTTTGAGCAATTTAAAAGTTTGATTTTGTTGATGGTTCCTAAATTTTTTATTTGATATGCTTTAACATATTTTATTAAAGTTAGAATCTTATCTAATTTCTGAGTAGTAAAATGAGTGATTTTTTTATATTTCCATATTATAATTAATTAATTAATTTTATGAAAATTTTATTAATACTTTTTTAACTTGAACGTAAGCTAATTAAAATTGAGTGGCTCTATGCTTAGACTGACATTGTGCAAAATTATCGAGGATGGCCATAAAATTCACAAAGATAACCCAGAAAATATTGCTCAAATATTAATTTACTCTAAGCTTAGCTAAACTAAAATACAATATTTGACATAGTACACAATATCAAAATAAACGTTAAAATGATGGAAAATAGTCTTTTTTTAAAGCATTTTTTCTAAGTGCAAGTTAAGAAAAAAAACGGTTTTGTTAGTTTTATTGTGAGAGAAAGAGGATGCCGGCATGTTGCGTATACGCCTTGTGTGACGGGTCGTGTCCTGGCATGTTTAACTTTGACATTAGTAATACTTTTGCTGTTGTATGTTGTTGAGTATCGATGGCATTTTTCCACCCGCCCCTCCACCTTCGCCCACCTTGCAAGTAACTGTCATTAAACTGCTGGAAAGGCCAACATGTGTTGTATCATGGTGCTCTTGCGTGTGTGTGTGTGCGGGAAATGTAATAAAAACGAGGCAAACAATTGAAAATATTTACACAGGACACTTGTTATCACAAAGACATACAATCACCCGCATCCATCCAATCCACCCGCCCAAACATAAACATCACTGGCAGATGGAAGAGCGGGGCGGTGGCCAGGAGGAAAAACAAATCGGACAGACAACAGTGAGCAACAGGAAGCGGCGGACCATCCTCCTATTCGCCCAACCGCTTGGTCACCATCCCATGATGAACGCCAGATGGAGGTGGCCTGGACCAGGTAAAATCATAATGCAAAACGAAAGGCAGTGTGGGGACGCAATAAAGCAAAGCAAACGCACGTGCAAACGGAAGCAATTATGTACAGCATGAGGGCAGCGAGGGGAGGAGAAAGCATGAGCCAGGTGGGTGCTGGTTGTTGGGTGGTGCGTATGACCCTTCGGATTTGGGCGCCTAAGCTGGTTAGCAGGGTATCCAGATAAGAAGGTGACAAAAACCAGCATTTCTGTGGGGATTTGCCAGTCAGGCTGGATCTTGTGGTGAGCGTTTAAAAAAACGGATTTAGCTTCTCGGTTTCAATTCTGAATTGATATAAAAATATTACACCGAAAAATAACGAGATTATCTTTGGAATAAATACTAATTGAATCTGTATAAAAAAGTTTTAGTTAAATTTTTGCACTTGAACTGAGCTTTGAAGATGTCATTATGAGCCTTGGTTTTTTAAAACAGAAAAAAAACAGAAAACAGAAAAGCTCATACAACCAAATTTAGTTGAAATAAACGTACGTTTATTCAAATTTCAACCGAATTTGATAAAAAAGTTTTTTTTACCACCCCCTTAAATATTTATTAACAAATTTCGATTTTAAATAGATTTAACTGATTAAGACATTATAATCAAACTCAAAATATAATTCAATAAATTAATCCTGGTAGAATGATTGATGGGGTATCGATGTGAGTTCTATAATTAAACGAATAAAGAGCTTAGCTAGAGTGATCCTGTGGTGGACAACGAGAATGCATTCGAATTCAAATAAGGTGATCCTGGGATGGAGTTTCCATGTATAAAAAGGACTAAAGTTTCTGATGTCAGTACTGTGATTTATGAAAAGTGTTCGCATGAAAACTGGACTGTGGGAAGTCGAGTGATTGACATTAATAGTTGGTAAAAGCGTGAGGGAATGAGACGGGTGCTGAAGCTGAGACAGGCAATAAGACAGAGAGAGAGAGAGAGCGAGAGAGGAAGAAAGAGCGGGGAGGAGAGGAGGGGATACGACAAGACTCACCGGTTGCACCACAGTGACTGCATCCGGTCTTGAAGCGGCGCTTCCGGTTCTTGCTCTGCCGCCAACATGCTGTGACCGCCGCCGTTCGCTTGTGCCAGAAGCGGGTGGAACTGGCCCCGGACCTGGACCTGGGCCCCTGGCCAAGATCGGGGGTTGGTTCGTGACTACTACGTTTACTACTAGCACTTGCAGTTGCACTTGCACTTGCATTGGTGGTTTCAGTGGTGTCGATTGTGGTGCCGGCGTTGGCGTTTGCGTTTGCGTTCGCGGTGGTGCTGCTGATGTCGGCGCCGCAGAGCGGACACTTGGGCAGCGGACTGGGCACCGCGGCGAAGGTGATGCCGCGGGGCCGCTGCTCAGTGGTCTCCGCCTCCTCCTCATCCACAAAGATGCAGATGCCGCCGCGTCGGATCAGCGAGGATTTATTGGAAAATTCGTGCTCTGCTTGCAGTTGGTTGGTTTTATTTTTGTATTGTTTTTAATTTGGCCACCGCATTTTTGGGTTTAGTTGGAGTTGGTTTTTGGAGTAGAAGTTTGTTTTTGGTTGGACATAATTTGGTGAATTTGATTTTACATATATACACATACAACACACAACGAAATGGCGTGGAAGAGAGATATAGATAGAGAGAGAAAGAGAGACAGATAGAGACAATGTACAATAGGAAATTCACAGGACAGGACACCAGTTTCGGGCACACTCCTCGGATGCCCTTCAGATCACATGCACGTGCGTGCCATGCACCGGCAAACGCAAAGGATCGGGATCGGAAAGGAGGGGATTCAGAACACTGTTGTTGGGATCCTATCTCTAGAAGTAGGTGGTCCCTTTCTGTCTTCGTTTGCAGGTGCAACTAACTAAAAGCTGGCACTATTCTATATAAAGCTAGTCAACTAAGATAGACATACTTTTTGAAGCATTGTATATTAAGTTCTCCAATTAAAGCTCCATAGCTAGTCTGTATTTTAGAAATTCGCTCTATTTTTTGGGTGTTTTTTATACCAATCCTTAAAATTGAATTCCAATATACCCCCAATCGTTTTTCTGCACAATACTCGTGTATTGACTTTGTACAACTCTGCAATTATTTTACAACTCATGTAGGTATAATTAAATTTTAAGGAAATTGACTTTATTTAAGAAACGCTTTATGAATAAAACATAATTTTCACCATAATTTAAAATTTAAACATTTCTAAGTTATTATGTAAATATACTTAAAATCTTATGTCCATTAGTCAAGTTGTGACAAAAAGTGAAAGTATTTTAAGTATTATTCAGTAATATTGTTAGGCTTACTATAAAACACAAACAAATTGAGAAATGGTTAAAGTTAAACGCTTCAAAGATTTCTACTTTTGACAGTAAATTGACAAAAACAGAGCGAGTTTCAAGAAGGCAGAAACAAATTGTCTTAAAAGAGACACTTAATCCAGGCACGAACTGCAACAGTCTACACAATAACCGGACTACTCACTTGCTGAACTGGTGGAAACGCGGCCCATGGGGATGTAGCTGCGACTGTCGCTGTTATCCTGCGAGAAGTTTATGACATTCACGTCGTAGGTCACCACGGACGCCTGTCGCTTGCGCACGGTCTGGATGCCATCGTAGCCGGCCAGGATGCTGCAGCGTCCTTGGCGGCCACCACCAACTCCCAGCCCCCCGGAAACGCTCACGTCCGCATCGCCGGCGCTATCTTTGCGCTTGAACAGCGGCGACGTGACATCGCGGTGCTCATCGCCACATCCTTCGACGGGCGACAGCGTGGAATCGAGTATGATCTCCGGCTTGGGCGATATGTTGGGCTGCGAGGGCAGTTGCGGATTGGGCACGGGCACGGGCATTGGCAGGGTGGTCACCACATCCAGGGACACGGTCGAGGCGTCACTGGGCGTGTAGCCAGGTCCGGCGGCATGCGGCGGCGGCGACAGGAAGTACACATTGATGGACGCCGACTGCGCGTTGGAGGAGGAGGAGTCCATGACAGCTCCGTTGGGCACGGAGATGGCCGGTGGAGCCGGTGTGTTCGGTGGGGACATCAGATAGTTGGCGCACACCTGGTCGCTCAGCGTGCTCAGGCGCTGGGGAGCTCCGGCCGGGCGGCCCAGCGGAAAGCTCAGCGATCGAAAGATCTCGGCCAGCTCGGAGCTGCTGGCGATCAGCAGGCCACTCGGTTCCGGCAGTTCCGGCGGCGACAACGACGGCGGCGGCGTGGCCGGCTGCTGTGGGGATTCCCCGAAGCAGTCGGCCAGCTGGGCCAGCTCGTCGTCGCTGCGAATCCTCTCCGGAGTCTTGATCTCGCTGAAGTCAATCAGCTGCACTCCATCGCTGAAGTGCTGGATCACGCTGGCGCCGGTCTGCTCGCTGAGTACATTGATGTCCAGCAGGATGTCCGGCTTGTTGGGCGTGGAGTCCGTATCGCTGTGCTGCCGCTGGCGTCGCTCAAGTTTGCGTTCCTTGCCGCCGCCGCATCCGTTGTAGCTGTGCGACAACTTCCGGTTTCGGGCGCGCCGGAAGAAGCTGGACCCCTCGGAGTTGGCCTGGTGGCGCTTCTTCTCCAGCGCGAAGCACTCGGTGCTCGAGCGCTTGGTCTTGGCCAGCAGCGAGAGGATGTTGAAGCCCTTCTCCTTCCCAGGCAGCGGCTGCTCCGGCGCGGCCCTCGACTCGCTGATGGTGCGCAGGAACTCGGAATCGCTGGCGGCGATGGCCTTCCGCCCGCAGGCCGCTGCTCCCGCCTTCAGGCGGATGAAGTCCGTTTCGCTGAGGGCGGCGTACTTGCCGCCCCCCGGACCGCTGATGATGGTGCCGCCCGTCTGCCGCTTGAAGTACAGGTAGTTGTCCTCGATCAGGCGCTTCAGCTCCTTGTTGTCCTCGGCCAGCGGCAGGTGGGTGTCGTACAGGTCGTTGCCCTCGCTCTCGTCGCTGTTGAGACCGAAGACCCGGTAGGCCGTGGACTCCGGCTCCGGTTCGCTGTTCCCACTGCCGCTGGTCAGGCTGAGCTGCTGCTGCGGAGCGGTGGGATGCGGCTGCTCCTTCTCCAGCTCCTTCGACGGCAGCATCTTGCCCTCCGTCCATATCTGCGGGTTGAACACTGGCGCCGGTGGCTGCAGCTGGTTGTGCGACGGCTGCTGCTGCTGCAGGGCCATCATCGAGGGGGCGCTGTCCGTGTGGGTGACCTTCTCGTACCGCTCCTGCTCCAGGTCGCGCAGGTCGATGCTGCTGCGGCTGAGGCGGCGCGGCGGAGGCGACGGCACTCGCAGTTCATCGCACTCGTCCCTGTCGTCGTCCTCGTCGGTGGCAGGCTGCAGCATGTCCTGTGGGCAAGGGACACAACACACACGACAGTTGGCGCATCAATTACGCAGGACCACAAAGGAAAGCTGCCGAGCAGAGTGCTCCCCTCTAGCGCCTAATCTAATCTAATAGCTTTTCATTCGTCTATTGCGGATGGAAAAAATGCTTTGATGCTGGATGCCAGTGCTGCCATCTTGGGTTGCATGTTGCTGTCGCTTAAAGCTTATAGTATCGCTTGGCCCTAACTAAAATACCTATATGTTACCTAATTTCAAAAGGAATAGGCAATAATTTGTTTCTTACACTTATCAACAAAATTTTCAAAATTATTAATTGAATGCCAAGGTTTAGAACGCAAGCAAGGACGCAAAAAAGTATTTTCTAATTAATTCAATTTTAAAATAAATGCTACTTCTGGTATTTTAAGTCAGTTTAAATTACTCCTTTGCTTTTAGCAAACTTTATAAATTTTGAATGTTTATTGAAAATTGCTAAGACCTGTTGAATGCAATCCTATAACAAAATGAGGACTTTCAAAAATGTTATTATAATATCCACATAAATTAAATCTAAGCAGTTCTAATCATAGGTCATTTAAATTACGAGTGTAATTGTCCCATTTTAATAATTCAATCTGAAATAGCATTTTGTTTATTGTTGTTTCTGTAACCTTTTTAATGTCAATTTAGTATAGAAACACAGCACATATTAGCTGTCGTAAACTGGCAACACTGATTTCCAAAGATAAACACCACCTTTGCACTTCTAAACTCACCTCCAAGTTGCTCAGAGCACTGTGCGTCTCCTCACGAGCAGATGCCACATTCAGATCGCAGTCGCTGGGATGCAGATAGCTCAGGTTGGTGGGCTGCTGGGTGTGGCCCATGTGGACGCTGTTCAGCAGGATGTTGGAGCTGGTGCGGCTGAGGGCCTTGCGCTGGCGTATCGCCTCCCTGGAAAACCGCAAAGGACATAGAAGCAATTTAGCCACCCATCAACTTCCCAGGGAACCAACCCAGCCAACTCACTTAAAGATGCGCCAGTACATCACCAGCATCACGATGCCGGGTATCCAGAAGCTCACGGAGCTGGAGATGAGGGCGTAGGCCTTGTTGACCACAAATGAGCACTGGTCCGGATGCAGCGACACCTCCCGCAGATGCTCGTCCGTTGTGTACCAGCCCAGGAAGATGGGCGTGAAGGATATGAGGGCGGGCAGGATCCACACGTTGGCGAGCATGAAGCAAACCGTTTTGTGTGTCATATTCAATGGGTACTCCAGCGGACGCACTATGGCGTAGTATCTGTTAAACAGAGGGGGTCATCTTTATTAATGGAAATGGATTGCAGACGGGACCCCTCGATGAAAGGGGCCAGGTGGCTTTCAGCCATCCTTTTAGCACAATAATTGATTATCGCTCTTTGGCTGGCTGGATAATTGTGTTTCGGTACTCAGGTTGCCATGCTGAGGAATCGATTTATAAAACAATCAAAAAGTCGTTGCATTTAATATGTGGTTAAATGCTTTTTAACAGAACTACTCTTAGTTATTTACTATAATTATTAATCACTTGATTCCATGCCAAAGCAGACATTACAGATTGTGTCTAAAAACTGACTCGTTAAAAAATATGAGTGTTTAAAAACAGTAAGCCAATAAAATTGTGTACTTCATTTTGGTTTAAAGCCTTAAAACATAGAACACATTTATGAATTTTAAGCCAAAAAAGTTTGGACTTACTTTATTATTTTAATTATAGTTAATAATACTTGAAACGTATAAGAGAATAACTTGAATTTAAGATGAATACTATATAAATGAATGTGAATATGACAGATTTATTATTTAGGCAATATTTCCCACAGCGGCTATCATTAATTTTCTAATTTCGATTGGGGTCTGGTTGTATCTTCCTTTGTATTCGGTATGTTTTGTGGCCCATCGAAAGGTGAGCGAAACACAAATTAATTAAAACAGACAAAGGGCCCATGCCACTGTCCATCCTCCACGGCCATTGTTGCTGGTCAGCCCGAGAATCGCAGCTGTTGGAGCCTTCCAAGTGGGGATGGCGGCAATTAACGGCTTGGCGGGATCGAGGATGGGGGTGAGGTGGATTTTGGGTGGAATATGGAATATGGAGAACGCCTACGCCGACGCCTCTTCGGCCAGCTGCAAATCATTTGGGCCGCATTCATCATACGGGCGGGGCCTAATGTTTGCTTTTGATGTGCGCGCCTTTCACAGTAATTAATTGTTTCTCCTCGGCAATGCTTTGCTTGGCTTGGTATTGAAAGTGATTTGGGCGCCTGGCATCTGGGCGAGATTAATGGATCTGGTCGCTTTAAACCGCTCCCCGTGGCTCAGCTTAAGCCGTTAAATATACATAGTGACATAATTGGGCACTCACCTGTCCACCGATATGCAGCAGAGATGCAGTATGCTCGCCGTGGAAAAGTAAACATCCAGGCTGTTGTACACGTTGCACATGAACGGTCCGAACATCCACCTTCCGCCGGACAGTTCCACGGAGGCGTTGAATGTCATCGCACAGAGGGCCACCAACATGTCGGCCATCGCCAGCGACACAACAAAGTAATTGGTTATCACCCTGTGAACGAAACAAAAGTTCAGGAATTGGTGAGTGCTGGCTAGTGAGTGGGATTTTCCCGGATTCCGGACTTCTAACCACTCATCACAGAGCAACCACGCCAAACGAATGGCATATGGCATGCATCATACGTGCTGAGTCCGGTGGTCTTAGCACTTTGACTTTGGCTTTGGCTGCCCTTCCGTTCCGCTGGCTAGACATTGCACTGCTTTCCATTTCCGTTTCCGTCCTCCGAGGCCCCAGGCCACCGGTATGCAGCAATTTCCTTGGCTGTCATAAGTCATCCGACTCACTAGGCAGCTGCCACCTTCAGCTGGAAGCCACTGCCATGTGAAGTTATAATCTTGTCTCCAACGCAAATGAAGGTGTATGCGAAGGTTACAGCCCTAATGTGTATTTACCTATCGTTTTGCAATATAAATATAAGAAGTTCTTAATTTGTTTTTAACTTATTGATTGTTCGATTATTCGCTGGCCAATAAATCTGTATTTCGAAAAGAATATATATAACATATTTAAAAAATAAAACCTTACAATTTTTCAAATCCTCGAAAGTCTAGCTTTGCTTGCTATGTTATAAAAATACATTTTTGGGCAGCTCATAAATAAAAGTATAATATTTAAATAATTTTATATCATTTTTGTTTTATATAGTCTGCTATGCTTAAATTTCAATTAGAAAATGACAAGCATTCTGAGGTTGTTCTTAATTCAAGCGTAAATAGAAAATATATTTAAGAAACGAAAAGAAATTTATCCATAAATAATGAAGATCTTAATTCAATTTAGAGATAATTTTTTCTGAGTAGCGTGAGCACGATTATTTGTAATATTTCTGATAGTCCTCATTAGCCACAGTTAAACAATTTTATTATTTCTCAGAAATGATTGCATGTAGTGAAAGTTTGTTCGGAAGTAAATTGGCGGAAAATGATAAAAAATTAAGTACGTTAAAGCACTTAAAAGTGTAAAAAAGCCGAATGCTGCAAAAATAAACGTAAAATGGGTTTATTTTCTTGAAGTTCCACTCATGTCTTCCTTTGTTTTCTATAAGTAATGTGTTTTTTTTAATATCTTAACGAGATCCTATACTGCGAACCGGTTACGTTCTATAATAAGCTAATAAACGATAATCTGAGCACTTTAAGCTGCTTTAGTAGGATAATAAACTCTTTAATCAACATCTAACCGCGCTGCAGAAGGCATAAACGTTGCGCAACATAAAATGGGTGTCGTGGGTGGAGCAGGGGGCGTGGACACGGGAGGCGGAATTCAAGCCCTGCGCTCAATGGTATGCAACACTTATTTGCACTGCACTCTAGGGCGTCCTGTCATCGCGTCGCTGTCATGGCAGCGATTCGCCTGTGTCGCGCATTTAACTTCGTTTTGTGCTTTATTATTCCACTTGTCGCTCATTTAAATTACAGTTATTACGCTGGCAAAGAGGTTTCGCCCTGCGACCCTCTATGTTTGCCGTTTTTATTGTCGTGCGATCCTTGCGGCAATATGACCGTCAATTAAACCCAGGTAAATACGGAGGCGGGAACAAAAGTAATTGGATATAAAGACTTACCGCAGCTTTCGATTGCGCTGCACTGAAATGATGACCAACGCATTTCCCAGGACTGCGGCCAGGATAATTGACGAGAAGATAAAGCCTTTCAGCAGCAGCAGCGATAGATCCAGCCAGCTCTCCTCCAGCTCCTCCTGGCTCTCCACGACAATGTCGCTGGCATTGGCCGTAATGTTTGGCCCAACTGTTGCGAGGAACTCGAACGGGGACTCCGAGGACGGAAAGGACGAAAACGAGCCAGACGATGTGGCTGTTAATGATAGCGAAGTCAACGAGGCATTCACAAATTGCGATGTTATAGGCAAACTGGTCGTCGTCGTCGTTGTTGATGTTGCTGCCACTGCAGCCGTTGCTGTTGTGGAAATGTGGCTCGATAATGTTGCAAGTTTCGAGTGGCTGCTGTTACTGTTTGTCGCTGATGTTGCTGTTGCTGCACCACCTGCAACGAACTCTGCAATCGATTTGCTCAGCCTACTGGATGTTGCCGCCGTGGATGTTGCTGATGTGGCTGTCATGGGCAATGTCATTGTCGTGGCCAAAATGTCAGCGACGTTAACCCCGGACATCTCTTCGATTTCACACGGAGATTGAAACGCAGCTCATTCAAGTTCCTTCCCAAATGGTTTTCCGCTGTTCTCGTGGTTTATCTTTGCCCTGGTTGCTGTGCGTAATTTAAAACGCGAGTAATTGCAATCTGCAATGCAAACAAGGCCGCCGAAGTTCGCCGTCATCCTGGTTGCCTCTGCTGCTCTGTGTTTCAAGTGTTTGCTCAAAGCTCCGACCGGGCTCCACTCCATTTCCCAATCCTCCGCAGGTCGCTTTTCCTTCCGGATCTCCTCGCAGTCGTTGTTGGCAATGGCAAAAAGTCGAGACCGTGCTTCGATTCAACACTCAAGCGCGCAACAGTCGGCGACACGGGAACTGCAAATGAATAAATAAATAATTTATGAAATAATCGGACAGTGTGAGGCTGTGAAACTGCATGAAATTGGCGAAATGAGAATGCGAACTGTTGCCGCCGGGGAGTTTTTATGCGCACATACAAAATTCAGGGGCCATATACCCTATGGCCCGTTTCCCATTGAAGGACATATTGATTTGCCGGGGCAACACAAAAGCTACGCTTTCCCCTTCCCCCGGAGCCCTGTCAGATGTCCGTCCGTTGGATGGCACTTCAACTTTTCTCCACAACATTAAAATAACAGAAATATATTGCGTATACGCAGTGCGAGCGCTTGGCATGCATCTGCATTTCTATATCCCCAGCGACAGACGACGACTGCGGGGTTGTCAAGTGCTGACACTTGTGGGGAATGCCATATAGACAAGTTGTTGCTTTAAAAGCGAGATTAAAGCCAGATTATCTCCGCAGCTAGTGGGAAAGTTTTTATTGTGACTCACGCCTCGCAGAATGGAAACTCAAACTATGCTTTCCGCTGGTTATAAGTAAAACAAAAGATTGTCCATAATCCGGGGTAATCTGTACGTTTATATTGTTTCAAGCTTTTTGCTACTCAATTCGGCCGTAAAAAAGCTGGCACATCATCAGTTAGAGCTAAAAACGAGCTTTCTCTTAAGCCCGCACATTGAATTGAAGCAGAATCGTCCTTGGCAGTCACATAAATTGCTGGCTACAAGTTTTTATCCCACTTGTGTAGAGAGTAGTTGCTGCTTCCCCAATCCCTCGTAGTTTGGATTTCAATATTTTTAAGGATTTATATATTTACACATAACCTTGCCGAGTCGATTGCATCGCAGCTCCTTGCATTGTCCTTGGGCTGTCGACTCGACTTGTTTACCCAGTCCAAGCACAGACAGAACATCGATTCATTTCCTCTTTCAAGATTGGCAACTAAATGCTTTAATGCTCGGGCTCGAGCAGGATAAAAACCACATCAGTGCTCTCTATCGTCTTTGGCTTATAAATTTCGCGAGCCATTATTTATTGGTCGCTTGAGTGGTAAAGCCCTTACGCCCGCTCACACTCTATTTGGCTTAATTATTGCCATCGCGTAAAGTTTACAAAGCCGCTGCCCTTCCGGCACTCGGGTTCCGCCTAAGCGCAAACGTCAACAGAGCCCACTCCGTGTGGGTCAACGGCAAGTGCGCCGAGTCCTGCCCACAGGACTCCTCCGCGTCCGTGGCCAGGTCGAGTGGGCGGGGGCGCAAAGTGCAAACTTCAAAGTGCCGCACGCCCAGGACACGACTAATTCAATTAAATCCCTTCGCCAGCCTGAGCCTGGCCCAAGGACATACGGTGGGCGTCGAGGGGCATTAGCTGCCGCGCCATTTGAGGGCTTAACTCCTCCGGAGCATTAGCAAACTGATAAAGCGAGCAAGAGCAAATAATTGATCCACTGGCAAATTCGAAAGGCAAACACTGAAGTCAGCTGCTTATGAAAAGTCCCTCTGGCCTCTTGGCAAATTGATAACTGGACAATCGGGTTAGACTGGGCATTAGCTGAAATTGATGGATGAAAATGAGATATCAAAATTATAAATGAACGAGAACTCAGTTTCATTCAATACGAAATTATTTATTTTTAATCCCTGAGGGCTTAAATTGGAACCAAACGAAATATTTACCACATGGATTACATAACATGTATGCCGAAATAATTTCTGTTCTAAATTAATGTACGTTTTTTGTGCCGAATTAATTAAATGTAGAACATTGTAATCTACTGGGGATAAACACAATTCCAATTAGTTTTTCCGAAGAGTAGTAGTTTACTAATAGCCAAAGTGATGAGAAATGCCAATTTATATTTCTAGGTTTTTTTTTTTTTGTGTCTAACCGCAAGATAAACTCTAAGCTTTGAACAAAAAATTGGCAGGTGAAAATGAAATATCAGATCAAAACGACTTGCAGCTGACTGTCCAATTAGTTACTCCATATAATCTGTTGATAGATTGCAGTGAAACTGCTGTGTAAGGTAATCCCCTCAGTTTTGGTTGTGTTAAATTACATTTTTCGCAACTTTATGGTTGTGTCTTTTTTTCAAGGATACATTTTCAGCAGTTGGCAAATAGATAAATCCTTCAGAGCTCTGGCTGGAAAAGAGGTCGCCCCACATTGAGTTACTAAATAAATAAATGCCAGCTGGGGGTCGTCCGGTCGAGTTCGTCTCTGGTCGTGTCCGGGTCATGTTTGTGTAAATTAGTGGCTCAAATAAACACTCGACCGGCAGCTGCAACAGATGCACGGACTGGCATCCAGAAAAACACTCGATTGATGGATGGTTGATGTCTGAACAGGGGCCGAGTTTAGTTAATTGAAAATCCTGGTGATTTGCAGCCTGCTGCTATTGAAACTCGACCAAGTGTGCGCAGCTTGTATCTTCCGGGGCGTATAAGGAATTCGATTTGACTGCCTTGTTGACCCATTCTTGGTTGACAGTCGGCAATCGGAGCCGAATGAATCTGATTTTAAATGCCTGCTGACAGGCTTCTTGTCAACCCAGGTGTGCAAGCTGTTTGGCCAACAAATTGAACCTAATGCGGCTCACGGATGGCATTTAAATAAGCCAGCTGCGGAGCAGGGACGAAACCAAGCCTTTTCCCATCCGCAAACAGGCCCCAAGCCGGGATACATTGTGAAGACAACTGTCAACATTTAAATAAGATTGATCGATTGGCAGCGTCAACGGCATTGACATTGCCCCGTCGTGGGCGTTGGCCCTAATGCTCTCGCCTTCTGGGGCGTGTCGGACTTTACACGCTCTTTGATTTCCATTAAACTGGATGCCCCACGGTTCTGCTGGGGTGCACAGCGAAAAAGATTAGTAGACTCTCTTTGCTTGTCTACGCCATTTTCAATCGAAGTGAAACTTATTTGTCAAAGAAATCTCTTTTAATTTGTTATTCCATTATTATCTTATACCTAAGTGCCATTTAAACATTGTATTTGTTATATAATCATCGACGTTAACCTTAAAGAAAGTTTTCTGAAAATAAAACGAGCTATTTTTATAGTTGTTATTTAATCATTCATGAAAATAAGAAAAGCTATTAAAATATTTATAATATTTTAAGCCACAATCGTCAATGCCATAAAATTTTTAAAATTAACTATTCAAAGATAATCGGATTAACTCAGTTGTGTGTAACGATAAAGATCTTTAATATATTCATTCGCGCAATACTTTTGACAACTTAACCATGGTTTTTTAAATCTGCAGCTCTGGCTGTGAAACAATATGTCACTTATCAGAATGCAAGCACTAACTATTTTTTATAAAGCCACCATAATAAAACATTTCAAGGTTTATCGTCGCTTTTTCAGTCATTACGAATTGGAAAGCTGATTGAAAATCTGGTATTTAAATATTGGCAAAATGTCAAAATGATATGAAGAAAAATATATGCAGATAGTCGATGGTTGTGCTATTTTTTCTCCCACTGCAAGCTTCTCCCACAATTAGCTTCCCAATTTGAATCCCAGTCGCTGTATCCCGCTTAACACTCGCTCTGTGTGCGACAAATTGGTGACGCTTCCGTTTGGGATTTGCCGCTTGATTCGCTTGTTTACGCTGACCAGCGGGCAGCCTGTTGCCGGCATTAGAGTGCATAACAAATCACTTAGCGCCCGTCCATCAGGGACCTAATCAAGCTCACATGGGGCCGTTCGCATTTGGCTATAAAACTTGGCGATCGCCACGCTGCTGGCATCAGTTGCCCGAAAGCCTCAAAGCGCAACGCGGTCCCATCACCGACTACAGTTAAAGGGTCCAGAGTGTCCTGCTTCCGGAGTTTCCTGTCCTGGGAGACCACTTGCTCGTAAACGGCCAAGCCCAGATCGTCCCACGCCCTCGTTATGTGTGGTCCCAGTTATTGCACTCTGCTGCTAATCGCGGCTTCCTGCTACGTCCTCGTGGTCTGCAGTGAGGCCAAGGCCTTGCAGGTGAGTCCCGTCCCGCCTCGTTTATCCTGGTGGGTGGTGGGCAAACAAGCGCCACTTAATTAGTGTTATTTGCCCAGGCACAAGTTCGCCAGCTTAGAGCGATAATTTCTAACGGCTGCGCTAACGCTCTTGGATGTTATGAACGGAAATTTCGGGCGAAAAGTTTTTCCTTTGCCATGTGTTTGTGCTACCATTTTGTGGCAGCTTCATTTCCACTCTGTCAACGGCATTTGAGATGCTACCAATTAGGTTGCAGATTCTGCAAGTTTTTTGCCAGCAGGAAATCGATTCGCATCCAATTTGTAGCGCTTGCTCGGAAAAAAGATACTTTTCTAGCGCCATCTGTTGGATGTTGGAGAGAAGGTATTGCGTTGCCACTAGAGTTGATAAGAGACTAGTAGATATCGGTAGGATAGCCGCGAGAGAGCAACAGTGGCAAGTGTCAACTGTCTCCGCTTTCACCCTGAATTCGATCTGGGGTTACCGCCACTTTTCCGGCGGCGTGTTCTTTCTTTTCCGTTTGGCAGCAGCAGAGTGAAGTCGAGAGTTCGCAGTGACTAAATTAAAATTCGAAAGTACACGCGAGTGATCTCACTTTAGTGCCGAAGGGAAGGAGTTAAACAACTTGGCTTTGAGCCGCATAAAAAGGGTGAGATGAAAAACAAGCGAGTTTATAGGCAGGTGATTATTTTTGGGGGTTTTATAGGCCACCGTTGGATTGATGTTCGAAGGCCGCAAAGTAAAATAAAGGCGAGTTCGATCGAGACGAACGGGCGCCCGCGCAGTTCACATAACGAGCGAGCAACCTCCACGCCAGATATTCAACTCGGAACAACAGCGCACAAGGAAGGGCGAAACAAAGTGTCTATTCATATTTCCATCTTTAATTATCCCCATTATCCGGTGTGTCAGCCCCAAATTTCATAAGCCAGAAAAGTGAGCTAGGCGCCGTCTGACCATCGAGCCGTTTAATCGAGGCGAACTAAACACAGGTTCGATCGAACCGATTTATCAGTTTCTCTTTGCTCGGAGTGCGCATGCGACGTCGCGGCTACGGTCTGTGCTTTTAAAAGTAATTCTCGGGGAGTTAGAAAGACCATATTTAGGCCAAGAAAATCCTCGCCGTTTCGGCCAAATCCCGGTCGGAAGGGTTATCGGAGTACTCGCCACGGAAAAGCGGGAAGTTTAGGTTTAAAATTCGGTTTAAGTCATGTAATAAGTGTTCGTTCGTCAAAAGTAGAGAAAAAAATTTAATTTTATTTTGTTCGGTGAAAGTGTGGTTTGGGGATAAATTCCTATTCATATCCCAGAGAAGGTAGTGCTGATGCCATCAGAAGGTCTTCACGGGCTGTACATTCCGCTTTTTATTTAATTCCTGATTTAAAAAATATATATGTCTCTGTGAGTGTGTTTCCCTTATTCAACCTTATTTAGCCATCGTCAACGAGGAAAGCGCTTTCGTCGGTGGATGGACATAAGTGTGGTGAGTTTTTAAAAAGAAAATCTATACAAAATCTTATAAGAAAAGTCAAAAGAAATAACTTAAAATCTATAATGCTAACCTAAAAGAGAAAAAACGAATATGGAGAAATAAAGAAACAAAAAAAAAAAATTGCTACACTCAGAAAAAAAAAGTAAAGTAAATTAGATTGAATTCAGATTGAACTAAAAGCTGATTATGAATATCGTGATGCATCCTTCAGTTTAAATGGTAAAAATAAAGTTAAAGTCAAAATTGGATTAGAAACAAATTAAATAAAATATGAAGATTTTTCTCTCGAGTGATATGATCCCCATGCCTCAGTTAACCATGTTGGCATCAACCAACAAGTTTTTTTAATTGCCTTACATACCCATTATTTGCCATATTTTAACATATATATATATATATTTAACGTTTATATTTATTTATTTATTTTATGCATGTCTTTTTACGGTTTAATTTAAGAAATGGTTTATATATCTAGCTATTAATAAAATTATATAATGTTTTGCTAAATTGAAAAGTGGCCGCAGCTAGCGTTGTCTTATAATGTAGACTAGCACTTGTTAAAGGGGTCGCTCAGGCTGTTAAGCGCTGAGGATATGAGCGACCATTGGTAGGGTGGGCAAGACCAGGACCTCCACAACATCCAGGGAGGCGAAAAAGAGAAGTCAGCCAAAATGGGAAAGTAGGGAATTTAAAGTGATGATTTAATGTGTGTGTTTCTCTAACCCGGTTTCAGTTTGGTGATGCACGCGAGTATCTAGTTATTATTAGGGAAGGCATTCCGAGGTATCAGCAAGACCATCACACCCATAGCCGAAGAGCCAGAGCCGGATATATTTTTTCGCGTGCGATGGTATCTCGAGACAACATCCAGCCTGATTTGTATTAATAAGTGTAGCGGTTCGTTACAGTTATGAATTATAAAATAAATAATAATAATAAAAAGATTGGCGCCCTAACGTGTTGGCCACATATAGGATTATAAGTGACTCACACACACACATATTACATAATCGCTGTTCAAAATTTTCTATCAGTCAGGGGGTGGGCTAATACCAGTCAGTGTTTACGTTCAGTCATTTACCCAAGGTTGCCCCAGCTGCTAGAAAAACATATGTTGGTTTCCACTCGGAGTTGTTCGGAAGCATAGGAAAACGGAACAGAAGTTGAAAAGAAGAGGGATCAGATTGAATTGCCTAGCCGACCGCAGACGACAACATCGAGGTAGGAAGCATACAGACGTGTGTATACCCTACACAGTGCAACCCGAGTCAAGCACATCAAACGCATAGGACTAGCAGGTGCATTTGCTTTCATAAGCGAAGCAGCTGACCACGGATGATATGCATAGACAAAGGGGCACGACCATTTTCATAGATGGGACATAGTTTCCGGTTAATATTCGCATAGGACACACTGAGCTTTAATCTTTCAAAAGAGACACTCAGGCCACGGATAATAGCGGAAGACATATGCCCAACATAAACGGAAGAGTAGAAGTGTCAGCCGCATGGACCGCAGACAGAATTTTGTTTGACCACGGCGGACTCTTCGCGCTGCTGATTAGCGATAAGCAATGCTCGCCAAATTTTTTTTCCCAATTCCTTTTTGTGCTGATCGAAACCTTTTGGTTGTATAAAAGTGCATTATTATTGCAAGCAACTAGCTATGCTTGCTGGCCAGAGTTTTGATATTGATTTTCGTTATTGTTTTATCGTTTTTATATATTTATCTTTACCTTTATTTATCGTATCTAGTGAACAACTTCAGATCAGAAATTATTTATTAAACTGTTGAACATAAAAAGCATACAACCTAAAGAAAAAATCAACATTTTTAAGTCCAAGTTTGATGATCAAGCGACCGGTTTGATCAAACTTGTTCGAACTAAGTAGATCTGGTGGATCGGAACTTGGATAAATTTTCATGTATTTATATCTAGGAATTTATATCTTTCTCATTCCTGGTATCTTGGTTCGAGTCGTTTTAAACTCTCGCTCTCTCACCATATTTTTACTTCGTTTTGGTAATTTAAATAAAAGGTCGCTAAGAGATAATGGATTTAGACGCTTCAGGGCCGTCAAAATGTGTGATTTGCGACAAATTGTTGTCGGCGGACCAAATAGCCCGTGCCAAATGCGGCCACGAGTTCCACAAGGATTGTTTAGAAATTCAAATAAAGGCTAAGGGCAGTTGCCCTGGTTGCCATCCCAAAGGAGAAAGCAGTAAGCAAAAAGGATCAACTAGTAAACAAGCAACCAGTGCAGCGGACTCTGAGGCTATCAGTATCATTGTGGCGCAGCAGCTGAAAGCGATGCAAAATGAACTGCTAATCCAATTAACTGATCGGATGGCACCAATAATTCAGGCAACTTTATCTGCCCATATTCAAGAGCCGTCAAGACAAGAAGCAGTCCATAATTTCAGAGCACCGTCGGATATGGGGGAGATCGAAATGCCGGAGAGGCCCATTTCAGCTTTTACAAGCTCTGATTTGAGCAGTCGTCCCGATAAGGTCGGACAGATCATTAGTAGTTGGAAGTTGCGTTTCAACGGAGACAAAGAAGGGTTAAGTGTGGATAAGTTTCTATATCGGGTGGAGGCGTTAACACGCCAAACGCTTAATTCAAGGTTTGACTTGCTATGCGGCAACGCCAGTGTACTGTTCGAGGGAAAGGCTCGCGAATTTTATTGGCGCTTTCATAAAACATCGGATAGCTCAAGGTGGGATTTGCTTACTGAAGCTTTACACAAACAGTATCGAGATACGCGTAATGATGTGGATCTGAGAGAGTCAATACGAGATAGAAAGCAGAAAGATAGGGAAAGTTTCGACTCGTTCTACGATGCCATTGTGCAAATCACGGACTGCCTGGAAGTACCCATGCCAGAAAAGGATCTAATCGAAACGCTTCGCAGAAACTTACGACCGGAAATCAGGCACGAGCTTTTGAATGTCAACATAGAATCTGTGCAGAAGCTAAGGGATATTTGTCGGCGTAGGGAAGGTTTTCTTGAGGACGTGAAGCGTACTTATGGTTACCAAAAGCCAGCTCCATATCGGACGCAAGTATCTGAGTTAGTACAAGATTGTGAGGACGCTTCGGAATTTTCGGAAGCGAATCAGGTACCACGAGTAGAGGCTTTCGGGTTGGTGTGCTGGAATTGTAAGCAAGAGGGTCATCGGTATCAGCAATGCAAGATGAAAAAAAGGGTATTTTGCTTTGGATGCGGCCTTGCTGATACCTACAAGGATGCTTGCCAAAGGTGTCAAAAAAACCCGAGGTTGAACACACGACCCCGGCAACAGCCGTGTGTTCTCCGAGAAAGGCCAGCGGATTCCGTTGTCAATCAGAAGTAGCTTTAAGCGCACCCGAGTCAGGCAGAGAGGGGAGATCTCAAACCTTCTGGCCACAGCTAATAAAAAATAAATCATCATCAAATTTTACAGCAAACCCATTTAGAACTATCTCTCGGAATGCGAGAAGAATTAGAGATTTTTGGCAAGCGG